TCATTTAGAATTAGCAAACAGAAAACTACCTGTATTATTCCAGCATGATCACCTCTGGATTGCTCGGGTGCAGAATTTATCCATGTCCCAGGCCAATGAGTTCCATCTGCCATCCATGTAGCTTTTGGAATCTTTACAACCTCCATAGGTTCATCTTCGGCATTCTGTCTGCGTTGTTTCATGGATCTAATCTCCTCCCTGGCATGATAAGCATCAGATCTACGTCTGATAGAGTCTGGCAAGCTATTGATGCGGACCTTAAATTCATCATATTCACGCTTTGCCCTTCTCCGGTCCTTTACAAAATCAGCCTTCACCTTGTTTTTGTATGGGTCTTTTTTCAAATTGAAATAACTTTCCGGGTTCCTGGGTTCGATGTTATGTTTACGGCAAAATGGCACCCATATGTTAGCAAAACTTGCAGCCTCTGCCATGGCTTCAAAAGTCAAAAGTGCCCCTCCATCATCAGAAACATAGCAGGCAAGCTTTTCTACAGGGTAATCAGCAGCCAAAATGGACAATATAGTGTTTGCAGTAACAAGAGGAGGTTCCTTTTCTGGATCTGCAGTAGAGACGAAGATGTCTACACCAGGAAGATCAGATTTTCCAGTAGGGTTGTTAGGTGTAGGCAATTCAAACTTGTCCTTTAAGACATTAAGGTCAGTAGCACGATTAACAGGGCAAAGCTTGGGTAGTATATCAAGAATCCAAGAGAAAGCAAACCATATTTCACACACCACTGACATTCCCCATAGCCAAACAGCATCATTGTTAGGATGTTTGATCCTCCATGTCAAGAAAAGCCCAAGAACAACCATCCGAACAAAAATTAAAAGCCTGATGGAAAACAGAAGCAAGAGAAAGCAAGAAAATTTTAAGATTCATGTCAGGTAGAGGTCAAAGTACAGATATCCAGTAAGTAAATAACACACTGGTTTACTTTAAAATTCTCACGACAATAGGAATCTCCCATAATCTGATCAGAAGAATGTCACTACTGCTATTGGAAGAAGCACATTTAGGAATTACAGAACGTTTTTGAGGAAAGTATGATATGATGATTCACAACTAACTTTTTATAACATTAAGCAATAGATACTTCCAATGAATAAGCAACAAATCTAGTGAATATACATATATCAGAATTAACCAACATATGGCATTCAATCACAAAGACGGGAAGTATCTCAAGATCTAGCTATGGACATTAAAAAAAGATCTGGCAGATCCAACTCTGGTTACAACAGATGAAACAGATTGGAGTCCAGTTATCTCAGAGTATTGCAATTGCAAAACCAAAAACTTTCACGACTCTTTAAGTAGAAAAAAGAAGAAATAAACATTTACCTATATGGGCTGATGATAGCAGCAGGAATTTTCAATTTGCGGGTGAGAGGCCTCCACGGTTTATTCATTAACTCAGATGGTTCGGCAATATAATCATCTTTCCAATTTGCATACCCTGCTTCCTTCGGCCATATAGCATTTCCATAGCCATATGTGCCCCTCGTCTCAAAAAGCCATCTGTTTTGATCAAAATCTGCAGTTTGGCTCCTCATTAGCACCGACTTTGTTGATTTCATCAAGGACAATCTTCTCTCCATTCTTGACATCCCACCAGCGGGTGTAGGTGCAGGGAGCTGAAGTGGCCTTCTGCTTTCTACTACTTCTTCCAAGTCAGTGGTCTTATATGACTCCTTACAGCCAGGGCACATTCCATCCCCAGTTTTAACAGCATCCAGGTAACAATCCCTGCATATTTTGAAATCACATTCACAAGGAACAATGTCATTTCCCCTTTCATCGCTCATAACTTTAGAGTCACATCCAGGTATGGAACACGAGGATCCTTTTGCGCCAGCCATCTGGGGGTGGTTCGACTCCGACTCAATCACCTTATCCATCAGATGTGCTCGTGTGGCAGTGTTAAACCCTCCTGTAAAAAGAGAATTTGATACATACTGCTCCTCAACCTTCTGGGAAATGGTATCCATAGGCTGGTTGTCGGGGGTGGGTGGTATATGTACCATATAGTTCATATATTCAACACTCCCGAGCTCACTATCAAGATCATCCCTAGAATAGTTTACATATCGCCCAGAGGAGGTCCTTCGATCAAAGGTCACTGTTGGGGGCAATGGAGGCTTGCCATTTTGTGAATCTTGCACATCTGAGGATATTGAGAGTGACGATCTACTTTGGTTGAATGGTTTTGACGCCATTTCTAGGACCCCCAATTCAATATCCCAGATCCTGGAAGCAAAACAGACACAGACTGGTATTGAAATACTTTTAAAAAATTTAGAAGATATTTATACAGCACATTTCATACAGTTTTCAACAATACACACTCGTATCCTCAAATTATGACTAGATCAGGTTTAGACTACACCAAATGGGAAACTAATATTATCATTTATGATGTGATATAATTGCAAACACAAATTAATCACCAGTCTCATAAATGCTCAACAACATCCTAACAAGAGTAGCAAAATCATGAGAATTAGTAGTAGTAGTAGTTCAAATCAAGTCCCACACAAGTCAAATTGGACCAGTCAAATCACACAGATCCAAGCAAACACGCGCGCGCGCCCAGCTGAGAAAGAGACACACATACCTGTCAACGCGACTACCAGACAAAGAGCAGAACCATGGTTTCAGATTCAACGTGCGGATCTCTAATCCCTGCAATGCCGAATCCGATAGATTAACCGTGGCGGTAAAATGAATGCATCATCGAGCTATTTTCACCATGACAATCTGGCGAATACGAATAAGAGATAGATGAACGGAGTGTCTGCTGCTCTAAAGTGGCATCCGGTGCTACCTCGAAGAAAGAGATGATGCCATTTCAACGGTGGGAACGAGACTCTTCCGAGTTGAAACAAGCAAAACGGAAGTCCGGTACAAATGCAACTCCTCTTATCGATCGGCGGTGGATTTGGCCGCACAGCCGCCGTCAACAGCCAGTGCTCAACTCTAAACAAACTGTGCTGGTTTTTTCTTCGGCTATATACTCGGGTAGTAGAAAAAGGGAGATAACACGCGGAGTTTTTTTTTTTTAATATTTTTTTTCTTCTTTTGTTAATTGATGGGGAACGCTGGCAGCGAGCAGGAATGATGGATGGATGAGCTGTTTGGACTTTCGGACAACATTTCTATGTATATTTTCTACTGGATTTCTCACGAGTAGAGTAGCAAACACATTTTCACAATTTTGTGTTACTTTTTTCATTCTTGAGGCCTTGAGGTGGTAAGCACTAAGCAGTGTTGTAATTTGTGAATTCCGGAAGACTAATACTCGGTAAAAAACAAAAAACAAAACTAGGAGTATAAAATATAAAAGAAAGTATCAAAATAGATTATTTTAGTACTTTCTCTATGTTTTACTCATAACCTGATAAATTTTGTTATTTGATACTCTCTCCCAAACGTATTTTTCTTCCTTATTTGACTTCTATATGATTTTTAATAAATTGAAAAATGTTTTGTTACGACTTGGGTATAAGAAAAAGAAATGATATAGAAAACATATTTTTTTTCCTTAAAAATAAAGAGGAAGAAATTTTGAAACAATTAAAATAGAAATGTAGGTGGATTATTATATATGAGTAGAGGAAATATAAGCTTTAAAATCTCAAAAACATGATACTCATATATGTCTTGGACATGAACTTAAAGTTTTTTATATTTTTAATATTGTTATCTTTTTGTTTATGATGAATTACAAACTTTGTGACAAATGAAAATTACTTTCGAAACAAACAATGCAACAATAGAAATACTAGTTGGTTGTGTCACGTTTGACTATACTCAAGGCGAGCCAAGAAAGGGCACACACCATTAGTGGAAGGGGATCACGGTCACTAAGGTCCCACACTCCCACACCTAGATCAACTCTTTGGGAGAAGCGAAGCACTGATACGATGTACAATGGTCATCACGGACTCGTAGGTTCACCTCGACAAGTTTCACACTATGATGATGGTCATCAAATGCACTAAGATCTTGCCAATTTCAATTCATTCGGTGGTTAATGAAATTGCAATCGCATCAACAAATTGAAATTGGCAAATTGCTCGTGGCACCATACAATTGATGTTTAATTTGCCTAAGCGCACTATACACAGATTTGAAATTGCAGATGTGGTTGACATTCACCTCACCCTTGTGAGACGTTAAGGTTTTCTAGTAATACTTTTTAGATTTTTGTTGTTGGCATTGCAATACAAAATTTGTCATTATATATTGGCAAATCATTGTGTTTCTGGCATTTATTTTCTTTTTGAAAAACTATTTAACATTATGTAGTGTCATGTGTCAACATTTGTCATCATCTTGGCAATGTTGCTTCACTTTGCATAGCACTAAAAGGCTTTTTTTACCGTCGCTACAACACCATGCGACAACATCAGGCTATGGGGATTTCAGCAGATGACAACAGAGTGTGACGACGGTAGATGGAGATGACAATGGCAGCAACAAACAACAATATAAGTGATGTAGATCATGCAACAATAAAGATTCCAATTATAGCAGTAGCAACGACAAGAGGTAGGTGCAACGACACCAACTGCATGATATTGTAGCATAATTAGGAATAGTAGTTTCAATTTTCAAGTGAAGTTTAAATATTTTTTTCAAACAAATATAGATTGTATTTTAGAGATAAAAATATAAAACCCCTTTTCCTATGTGTACTCTTAGTTTATCCTTTTTTTCTCATGAAAACAATAAGTTTATGACATTATTTTAAGGACGAAGTATTTATGTTCTAAAATAGATTCAGCATCTGGAATTTAACTTTTCAAAATCTCACTTGACCATATTTTTCATATATGTAAGAAAAAAGTCCGGTGAAATCTTATTAAATGCATCTCAATATAAAGTTTCAAGATATCAAGTGATTGTAAGTTTGTATTGAAGTACAATTGGATATATTAATAAAAATTAATTTGTGCATTGGCAAACCAGAAATTCCAAATGTTGCATCTATGTAGGAAACCACTAGCATCTATAGCACAAGGGACAACCCCAAGTAAATATGACTCCGTGTTAGAGAAATTTCAAACAAAAAAAAATCCATATTCCCAAGAGTGGAGCAACCATATGGTTGTATTAGAAATTAGAATCACACTGAAGCTGCCCAATGGCCATCTCCGGAGCCGGCCGTTTATGTGTAAACTAGGCTTGTTCACTTTCCCTTGTGTTCTTTTCCCACTATGGCTTACCGAGAGAGCACGCATAGCCACTCAACATTCCCATTTTGTAAAAAGAGCAAGCTTTTCTGATCACAGAAGAGAAGAGTGCAAACAAGTGCGACAAGTTGACAAAAGCCCAAATAAACAAACACGCAAATTAATTTACAAAGCTACGGCGAGAGAGATGCATTTGTAGAGTTGGGACGTCTGCAATCGCAAGTGCAGAGACTTCTTGATTCTTTCACTGTGCGCTGCGACCTCCTGGTATGAAGTTTGATGTTCACCAACTTCCCTGCCATCTGCTCACCCAACATGAATGAACATCAATTGTTACTACTACTAAAATAGAAACTCAGAGACATCATGCTCGTCGTATGTGGGAAGCTGTAGGGATGGAGTCACATGGATTCATCATGATGTTTCATCCCAACAGCTTGCTTGCTACATACTGAGCAGGCCAGTAATACAAGTGATATTTCTATGGGCATCTAAATTTCTGAGGATGGCTACTAGAGATGCTGGATTTGAAAGCTTTTGGGAATATTGTAGGAATATAAGAATCAAGACCTCACATTTTTAACTTCTTATAATTAGCAAAACATGGAATGTAACACACGAAATAACAGATGAATAAGGTAAAGGATAGCTAACGAACCATTCGCCAGACCAAGTCTTCTGGGCCCAAAGGTTGAGCAGGATGAGAATACAAAAAATGCCTCGAAAACTGATATCAAAATCAAATGATGGTGTTATTTGATCAAAGGTAATGAATGTGTTTATGCAAACTCCCATGGGACATGTTCATGATAATAGGAAATTATTTTCAAAGGTTTTGGAAAAAGAATGAAAGCCAAGATTGCAGTTCCAGCAATGCAATATACACAAACCTTAGCTAAGTTCATTTGCATCTCTTTGATTTGAAGAGTACTAACGTTTCTCAAAAATGAAAGGAGCCACCCGGGCTGCACTGCATCACTGGACGGCATGAATAAAGCAATCTGCCAGAGGAAGACAGAGTAAAGGGTAAAGTTTATACCATTTAATGAGCTCGCAATGCAGTTTGCAGAGACTGGAAGAAAACAAAATGCTGTTCGGCCTCCCCTCTCAATATGTAGAAAAGAACCACAGACTAGAGAGTACATTTAAGGCAGTCTTGAAAATTAAAAGAGTATGATTCCATCTTCTCCGCATCATATATGTATTGAACAGCATACAATTTTTGGTTTGAATCCCGATTTTAAGGGCATGATTATAATAATTATAGCAGTTGAAGATAAATTGGATGCAAAATCTAGTGTCAGATGTCTCAATATAGCAAGTTAAATTCTATTCAGTGGACAGGAGTACAGAGATACTGTGCAAGTAAGCTAACTTTCGGTTATTATTATTTTTACATCCTTCAAGTCAAAACAATGAATTACATGGTACACCAATGGCCAAAATGCCAAATGATATCATGTATACACACCTTACGGTAGTCAAGAATTCCCTCAAAAGGAAGTTCTAGCTCATCACTTATTATGACAGGAATGCAGCCACTAACTATTGAATCAAATAATCTGGCAGATGATGGAGTGTCACCAGCAGGACTAAGACAAAATAGGCTCCTGGTCAAATAAGAAACAGAACAAAACTAGTAAGCATCTTTTCTTTTCTTTTTTCAAAAGAAAATAGCATATTTTTAAATAATTCGAAAATTGCTTAAATAATGATTTTCTTATATAGCATTTTTTAAAGGAGTTGAAACTTGCTTAAAGAATGATTTTCTTAAAAGTACTTTCGCATGCCACTCTGAGATGCGGCCTTTCCAGCAAGTCCAATAGTCCCTTCCTCTATAACCACTCCCTGAGCTCTGCTAAGCTCTGACACTAGCTTGGCACGTATTTTTCCACCCTGGAAAGTAAATTGAATTATTTAGAGTATCCACTAATAGAACGGTATTATGATTTTAAGCTCTTTTTAGCAAAAATAATTAAAATATACACATCAGGTAGCAGTTAATGCACTACTCCTTACTACCTGATTCTCTTAATCCGATGAAAATATGTGTCATTGTCTTTTCTAATTACCAAACCTTAAGAAAAAGTTAAACCTAAGGAAAAGAAAGGAAAGAACTTACAGCATTCCTTTTAAGCCTCCCACGAAAAAATAGCAGTGTGCTTCTCTTAGGGCCATTTTCAAATAAGCAATTGGAATCACAGAGATCAACATTGGGAACGTAAGGAAGTATCAAGTCCTTTTCAAGATAAACCTGTCTTGGTTTGTACCTGGAGTCATGCAGAATCACATAGTACAGCTATTATAGTAGCATTAGGATATTTTGAAACAATGTGACTAGAGCAAGGTATTAACCAGTTCCCAGTTGAATCCATATCAGGAAGCAACCAAATTGCATTCTTCAAAAATTTGCGAACAGACTTGAAAGACCAAGGATGATGAACAGGAAGGATATGATCTCTTCCCTCAGATCGCTTCCATGCAGGTTGATCCATAACCCATTTCAAGGCTTCCTACATGTAAAAGAATGTGATTAGATGCTTCAAAAATCCAGATAGAGCTTATATTTTGCTAAAAAATAATTTCAGTCCCACATTCAAGAGAGAAAATTAGGTTCTGCATAGATCCAATGCTAATTTTTAGACATCAACAGCAGGTAACCTTCAAATAACAATGCATCCTCACTTTTTGAGGGAAATGAAAATCAAGAGAAAATAACCCTCTCATATAGAGGAGTTCACATTCCCAAAGGACAAAAGTGATAGTAAAAAGGTCTTTTATTTCCCAACACAAAATACAAAATGCACTTCAGAGTACACTCCCTCTCAAGCCATTCATCAACAACAACAACCAAACCTGATCCCCAAATAAAATTTGATGGGAACTTGAAACAACAGAAAATCTCCCAAGGTCACAAGCTGATGAACATCATTTCTAACTCTCAATTTCGATATTGTCTTCCAATGAAAGTTGTTCTTCTACACTTGATCTCTCCAGCTTCTATATTCTCTACAGTCAATCCTAATTAAATCTTATGGAGTCTGTATAATTAATCAGTATAAATCAGTACAGTAAAGAAAGATAAATAAAATTTGCCTGAAAATGCACTCACACCCTATAAAGAGCCTTGCATTGTTGCTTTTCAAGCAAGAAAAAGCTAATGGTAGTGAAAAATGGTATGTAGAATAGGTCGGCATCCTCCTGTTTATGCACTCTCAACACATTCTTTAACAGCCTTTCTGACTCCGGCGCAATCAAATCTGCCCATAACCAGTAATCAATTGAATGCTGCACATTAAACAAGACATTTCAGCAAAAAGCATTTACTGATACGAACTCAAAACTGTGCAGCTAGATTGAGAAAAAAGCAAACTCGCCTGCTCGATCAACCGGTGAACAGGACTACCATTAGAAGTAAGGTTACCGGTCTCTTTATAGGTATTTTGGAACAACCAGAGCAAATCGTAGGTGAATTTCTTGGGCATTTCGTAGACGTAGACTTTTATAGGTGATGAAGCTGGATAGAACGGCTCTTCATATAACCTCTGAGTCTCCTTCTTCCATACCGAATCATCCAATATCCTCACATCCCTTGCAACATTTGTATCGACCACGGAATCATCTCCCACATCCGGGGATCTCTGAGATTTTGCCAGGAGTTTCTCGAGTGAGGACAAGAAGGAGTAATCAACTTCTGAGCTAGGGTTTCGGAGAGAGCGGATTGCTATGGAGGTGGTTCGGGAATGGAAAGAGAATGAGATGTAAAAGATGAAGGAAATCGGTAGAAAAGCGAGAAAGAAGATCATCAGGGGAGATCTGGATTTTGAGTTTCCCGGTAGAATAGCGTTGTGTCTTCCCGCCATTTGCACAGACGAGCTCGGTAACCCCAGACCAGACACCTGCGCAGCACTGTAGATTGCTACAGATCTCAAGGTTCGCGAAGAGGAGAGAGTTCTTCCTTCCTGCACTCCTTCTAGACGGCACAAGTCACCCAACCCGCCCCAATTCCCCAAACATCTAAAATCTCGCACCCGAACTATGTGCTACCAAAAATTTGTATCCCAAATATACACAAAAATTTTGATGATTCACTAACACAAAGTGTTAGTGCGTTAACAAAAATTTACACTAACCTAGAGTATTTGTAGGTTAACAAAAATTAGCATTACCCCAACACAAAATGTTGGTGCGCATCTACGGAGTACAAATGAGGTACAAACACTTAGGTACAAATAGCTTTATCCTAATTTGAATTGAATCCAAACCAAAGTTGGCTCGAAAAAAAAACCTGAATTTTTTAATGCCAAAATCATTTGTTTTTATCAATCTTCAAAAAACTTAGATGGAACACCAAACTGAAAAAGTGAATAACCAGTTGAATCGGGTCAATAATCTAATTTATTGGTAACTATTCCTATTAATTAATGAGTTTTAAAACTAGTATCTCACCCGTGTATTGTACGAAAATATATTAGTTTTACAATTTAAGAAGAATATAATAAATAGAAAACAATTCTAAAAACTATAAATGAATAATATTACCATTATAAATAGTAAAAATATCTGTCTACCAATGTAAGTATATTTTTTATTTAAATTTTAAATTTAATTAGCAATGCACATAATAAAAGAATACACTTTTTAGGAAATTTTCCATTTTCGATCAATAATAATTCAGGATATAAAATGGATATGTATTGGTTTTGTGATTCATTAGAATCTGCATCATATATACGGAGTATTTTATTTTTTACATTCATTCAATCTTTAATGTATCAAAAAAGTATTAATAAACAGTTAAATATTTAGAACTTTATTTATTTAAAATTATATTTAATTTATAGTGAAAACTAACATAAAAATCAAACTATGACAAATAATTTAGGACCGGCGGATAAATTATACTCCCTCCGTCCCTCAATATTTGTCCAATTTTGACTTTTGGAATTGTTCATCTAAGCACTTTGACTCATCAAATTCTCTAAATGTGTAAGCATAAATATAGTCATGTGTGATCTTATTTGATTTGTCTTAACATATAAATTATTAATATATAATTTCTACAATTTTTTAATATACAAATTACAAGATAAAATAGATTAAAGAAGTATTGGATGGTGTGTAAAAATGAAAGTGAACAAATACTTTGGGACGGAGGTAGCACTCCTTAATATCTAAATATTTAAACTAATAACGAAGACTTGCCATTTATCCACATTTTGAGTTGTTCTTTGACGAGGCAAGCTCGTCATTGTTGGACCAAGCAAGCAGTGCGACGTGTGAGTCCTCTTCCAAATTTTCTGCAAATATATCTTCCAATAGGGTTGACGCTTTCATTCATCTCTTCTTCCTCGACGAACCCGCGACCATCATCATCATCATCATCATGCTCGCCTCGTTTCCCATTCGTTTTCATTTCGTATTGCAACGTTTCCGATCCGTTAATTTCTAATCACGAGGCAGGTAATTAATCGCGGAAGATTCTCGATCATCACCTCCTCCCTCGTAACAAACAAGAAGAAGAAGAATCTGAAAGATCGTGGTTAAGGTTTAGGGGAATCGGAGAGTTTCATATCCGGCAGATCTCCGGCAAGAAATGGGAGGAAATGGGGCGGCAAAGCTGGACGACCAACAGATTGCCGAACTGCGGGAGATTTTCCGGTCGTTCGACCGCAACAACGACGGGAGCTTGACCCAGCTGGAGCTGGGGTCGCTGATCCGGTCGCTCGGACTCAACCCGAGCGCCGACCAGATGGAGTCGCTGATCCAGAAGGCCGACCGGAACAGTAACGGGCTGATCGAGTTCTCCGAGTTTGTTGCGCTGGTGGAGCCGGAGCTCGTGCCGGCCAAGTGCCCGTACACGGAGGAGCAGCTCCTGAAGATATTCAACATGTTCGACCGGGACGGCAACGGGTACATAACCGCCGCTGAGCTGGCGCATTCCATGGCCAAGCTGGGCCATGCCTTGACGGCGGAGGAGCTGACTGGGATGATCAAGGAGGCTGACACCGACGGAGATGGTTGCATCAACTTTCCCGAGTTCGCTCAGGCCATAACCTCCGCTGCATTCGACATTTCCTGGACTTGATCCGCTCCCCCATAGCTTTTTCATTTCATCTTCTTCTTTTCCATTCATTTTTGCAGTGGATTTGGTTGCTCTTCTATTATACTTTCTCATCTGGCAGCTGTGTTTTGGCTTTAGCATCTGTTACTCCTCTCATCCATAATGTCATGTTTTTCATACTCTATATTTAATAAACGTGCAAAGTAAAAAAGGAACAGATCATTCAAATGACTCATTTTTGGGCATTGTTACAAGAAAAACTGCAATGCATATTAGACACACATTTGGGGAGGTCCAGTGGCCCCATTGGCCAGTGTTAATGGAACCGTACCCTTAAAAAAATACGCAGTGTAATGTGTGGGAACAAAGTTTCTCAAATGCTTTATCACAACCTAAGAAAGATGCGTGAATGGATGAAGGCTGGGGGAAAGGTTGAGAAAAGACGGTAAATCATCATTCAAGAGAATGAGTGAGCTCATATAGATTCACTCGTATTTTTGACAAGAGAGGAAATCATGAAAGTCATCTCTTTTCTAATGCATTCTCATTGGAACATTTTTTATAAATCGCCCAAAAAAAAGTACGAGAAATATACAAGGAAAAGGAATGGAAAGAGCAAAAAACTGAGGCAGCTCTTGAGCAGGTTCTTCATATTCATGCCAGAAAACTAGCCTGCGCAATACCAACGGGACAAATGTCAAAGTGAAGCAAATCCGACAACATTTCGGTAACTGATCAATAAATAAGCTCATTTTAAAATTTACCTTAGGGTCATGCAGAGGAGGAATGTACATAGTCACGCAGTGTTTGGGGACCCAGAAGCAAGAAGCTCCAATTGTTCAGTAAGTTCATTCACACGCTTCACTGTATCCCATTCCAGCTCTTCTTCCGTCAGATCATCATCTTCTTCCACTGCACCACCTTCCAAAATAATGGAATTAGTCTCATCTGTACCTCCCGTGAGTGGGCTTGCCAATAGAACCTGGTCCCAGAAAACATCATTAATGCCTGGAAGCTTTGGCATCTCGTCAATCAAAACATCAATCTCAGGGTCAGGAGAAAACCCGTCTGATATGACCGGGGCCATGTCATCAACAAAACCAGGCATTGTGTTCATCTCCGGAACCTGAGTGATTTCTGAAGTCAAATAGGGGCTTGTGGGAGCCGTTGCTAGTAGTACCTCCGAGAGACTGACTTCAGAAATTTGATTTGCTGCGTTATCTGTCAAGAAGCCACTGGTGTGGTTAAAGTTTGGCTCCAGCCGAGCAGATGAGTTTATCTTCAAGATTTGCCTCAACAGTGCTTTTGCAGCTTCATTCATTAAAGGCTGGAACCTAACAATCTGTCCATCAGTCAATGCAGCAGCAACAGGCTTAACACTAAAACTTTCTTCGCCCTGATTCGGAAGTCTCCTTTTCTTGTTCACCCCAGAAATGAGCAAGCCATCACTCTTTTGATGAACCATCTGTGCCACAAACCCTGGGGTTTGCATCGCTTTGGCAAGGAATGACAATATTTGCTGTTGCCGTTGTTCCATCACATGAACCTTCTGCCCAACATTCTGCAGCTGGTGATCCATCACTTGCTGCTGTTGTCTCACCTTGACAAATTCCTGCATTAGGATGTTCTTATCTCTTTTCAGCATGCCAACCTCTTCCTCCAGCCCGTCAACACGAGACCTGACCGGATCAGTTTGGTGGACTTGAGGAGAGGGAGGAAGTGGCGATGGTTGTCGTGGTTGTGGTATTGTCGGATGCAAAGGCTTTCTTCTGATAATACTCTTTAAGAGGTGTTTACAGCCTCTGAGAAATCCCTCGTTAGCAAACTCCCAGCGATCAGGATCTACTTTCCTGAACCCCTGGCTTGCCCAAAGACAAAGACAGATATTATAACCATCAATATACATATGGGAAGTCCTTTGAAACAGAATACCAAGAATTATACCTTATAACAGAGTTCCGACCAGCAGAAAAAACCATTGGTGTCTAACAAATCTCAAATTACGCATCATGATTCTCCGCTCTCCAGTAGTTATTATATTCGAAAAATTCAAGATAAGGAGAAAATGGAACATCAATGGTTAGACATCAATGGTTGAAGTTGATGTTCCATTTTCTTCTTCTCTTGAAGTTTTCGAGTATAATGATTATTGGAGAGTGGAGAATCATGATCGAATATAATATTGATTCTCCACTCTCCAGCAATTATTATATTCGATCTGCATTGCAACCCATTACTTCTTAAGGATTAGTATTTTCCACGTTGACAAAACATCATGTACTGCACGTTATTCATTGCAGATTTGCAGAGTACAATTTCTGCGCAAACAATCTAATTGAGATGAATTTAACACGATTTCCTTAACTAAAATTATTACTCCATAAAACAATTAGAGATTAGGGTTTAAATTAATCTACTTCAGCCCATGTAAGTAAATAAATAGAAGGGAGAAGCATATGAAGATGATGATACTAACATAAGTGTTCAATTGTCTGACGAAACTAGAGAAATTGCTGTGCTTGAAATACTTGGGCAAAATGAGTTTGGCGAACTCGGGGGCGTTCCACACGATGAAACTATTATTTCCCTTTCCCCAAGACACCACGGCGTCCGTCGACGGATCCTCCACCATATCGTACGTCTTGCTCAGAAAAGGCGGCGGAGGATTTCCGACCGCCGCCGCGGAAACGCTTCCCTGAACGCCGTCCATGTTTCACCGGTAACGCGATTGCTCTTCTGACTTCAGTGGAGCTGCCCGCCGCCTTTAATCCAAGAAATCGTAATCAGAACTCAGAAGAGAGATACACTGAGTGGAAACAGAGAAAACGCTGCCGGTGATGTCTTATAAATTGGGGAGAGAGTGGAAGAAAACGAAGGGATAGGGCTGCAGATAGAGGAAAATTAATTCAGGCCAGCCAAAAAATGACCGAAGTGTTTTTAACCCAAAACCCGACCTGAAAATACTGGATTTTGAACAAAAGTTTTGATGACCGAACCCAAAGTTGACCAAACCCGAAATGACCCGCTAAAAATGGGTAAAACCCGACCGAACCCGAACCCGACCCGACCGACCCGTTAAAGTAAGATTTTTTCAAAATCATACACTTTACTACTCATTTTTTGTGTATAAATTTATATTTTCAGACAAAATTTAAATGATATTGCATAATTATCTTACTTTTTTCCAAAACTTAAGCATTTTTAAATTCTTTATTTTGATTTATATATCTAAAAATTATTTCGGAGTTTAAAATAATTTATAGATTTAATACATTTTTATGATATTTTAAATTTATTTAATACAAAATGTAAGTGTTAATGTGAATTTAAAAATTTTAAAAACCTAAGTCATAACTCATAGGGTCAACCCAAACCCGACGATACTGGGTCATGAACATACAGTTTTCAACCCGAACCCGACCTGACCGACCGATTTGCCAGCTCTAATTCCATTTCCATTACAGTCAGCATCCCTAAATATTCGCATCCGTTTTAAACGGATATTATCTAAATCCGATTTTAAAAATCCTATTACTAAACGGATATGAATTTAGTAATTGTATATCTAATCCGTTTAAAATTCGATCCGAATATGTTTCCATTTAAATAATCATTTATCTGAATATCCGATCCATTATTTATAGTTTTTCCTAATTTTTTATGTTTATATCGTGTTTCTCTATTGATATTTCATAGTATAAGATATTTTTATATATAAAATAAATGTGTAGACACATAAAAATATGTGTATGTGTGCTGTGTATATCTTTTTATCATATGAAGTTATCGTAGAATATCATAAATCATGAAAACAAAGACAATAGTTATCTCATAACAAATTATAGTTGATTTAATATTGTTTTAAAAATTAAAAACGGATACAGATATATCCTATATCCGACCGATATCCGACAGATGTAGATCCGGTTTTGATTTTCAGTATTCGTCAAGATCCGTATCCGAATTCGATATCCGACAAAAATAAACAGATACGGATTTGGTAATGGCACATCCGATCCGATTAATCCGTTTACACCCCTACGAAGGGACTAGGTTAGAGACTTAGAGTTGTTAACCAATCGAATCTAAGCAAAATTTGTAAGACTATTTGTTTAATTTTTTCCGAGACATCCAAATATCAAATGGATTAAAAATAAGATTTGTATTTGCATTTTATTAATATTTGAATAGTTAATGAATTTTAAGCGAATATTCAAATAATCATACTTCGTAGTTTATATGATTGACAGACATTGATTTTGAATAATTTAACTTACAATATTTCGTATATTCAATCTAAAAACATCAATACATTTGCTTCTTACGTAAATTATATTTTTAAAAATATAACTATTAAAAATTATATATACTTTAGATTTATGTATTGCGTTAATTTGATAAAATCTTAGCAATTTTAATGTACTTTATACTTTATTAGTTTGCTTGACTATTAATTTTGAAAACATGGTCTATGTCTATATATATTCGTATATTCGAATATCACTCAAATTGAATATGTCTCTCTTTATATTTGTTTAATATTCGAGTCAAAACTAGTATTTGAATTTAAATAATGTGAATTCTAGTCATTATATTCGAATACGGATCACGAATCATATTTAAAGTATTTGATTAGTTTACATCTCTAGACTAGGGTTCCGTTCTGATCAAATGATTTTTTACTTTATTACAGAGTAATTTTTATTAAAAATGGATAAGATATTATCGATCTATAATCAGTTCAGATCTAATTATATTATATCAGATCCGATTAGATTTAATTAGATATGAACAGATCTGATAATACGGAGTATTTATTTACATTAAATAAGATAAATCGCTAAATTTTTTGAAAAATAATGCAAATGTTTTATAATAATAATAATAATAATAATAATAATAATAATAATAATAATAGTAATAATAATAACAATAATAATAATAACAATAATAATAATAATAATAATAATAATAATCATCATTACTACCACCACCATAGGACTCCCATGACATTGGAAATATAGGATCTTTACGATGCTCCATTCAAAAAATTGATGACTCGTATCTTTCCTAAGTAAATTCTCCCACCCTCGCTTGACTCGAATCCACCATCACCCTCGTTGATTGCACACTACAATCTTCATCCCAAATGAAGCCTCCTTTAACCCGATACATAATTTAATAAATTGTGAAAAATAAAAAATGTATAATTACAATTTAGTTAAAAGAGAGATATAATAATCAGGAAGATCGGATCGAAGAATTCCAAAAAAGACTACGATAAAAAGACGTGGAAGCTGTGGACGTGGGCCTACTTTGACTAGGCCTTTAGGAAGGAATACATACTAGCCTGCTTCTAGGAAGAGAAGTGGACAGAGTTCATGGAGCACCTGCCCATGACCCTTGCTGAGCTAGATAGAAGTTTTAGCACCTGGCTCAGTTTGCACCTACGCTGATATCCACAATAGTAGATCGGATCGAAGAATTCCGGATGAGACTATGTCCTGACATCCGATCATATGTATCCATAATGACCACCACTGACCTCTCTGAGACATACGACTTGATGGAAAAGGCAGAGAAGGATGTGGATGACCTCAAGGCAAGTCTGAGTGCTAGAGAGGCAGGACCTAGACACCGACCAGTGACCAGTGCGGCACCGAGCAGCAAGAGGCCATTAGGGGGTACTAAGGGTATCCGAAGACCAAGTCCACACCGGCCTAGTCGCAGTCGGTGAGTAATCGAAAAAGGTCCTCCAGACACCCTGTATGCAATTTATGTAGAAGGAAGCATCCCGGTGACCGCTGGTTCACGCAGGTCCTGTGCCTAGGTTGTGAGAAGACGGGGAACTTCCGTAAGGAATGTCCGACAAATTCAGGACCGGCCTTTCCCACGACTGAGGTTCAGACGCAGACAGCTACACAGAGCCAGAGATCTACAGCGAGATCGTACCCGCAGATGGGCCAGAATCAGAACCAAGGCCAAAACTGTCAACAGGGACATTTTCCAAAGTGAAAACCAAAATGGAAACCAAACAATAACGGTTCGGTTCGATTTTTTACTTTCGGTTTTAGTTTTTCAGTTCGACTTTTTTTTCTAGCTTGTTTTGATCGGTTTTTTTCGGTTTCCGGTTTTCCCAATCCAGCCCTAGTTTGGTAGCATAAAAATATGTAGATTTGGAATTGAATTCTAATCCCAAATCTTTCAATTTCATATTTTGAATTTCATACCACAGGGAGAATTGGAAATCTAGAATTTTAATTCTTTAGGTCAAAATCAAATCACGCGAATTTCTTCTGCGTTATAATAAAGAAACATGTCTTATGAATTAAAAGCTTAAAATTAAAAAATACGAGGTTCGTAAAATTAGTGGTAATATACACCTTGGGTAATGTCTAAAGGTTATTACTAGAAAATCGAGGGTACCCCGAAGTATATTTCAGATAATGTAAGACTTTAGAGTCATTATCAAAAGATCAAGGGTACCCCGGAGTAATTTTTTAGCAAAAGTGTCAAATTACAACTTAAAAGTGACAAAAACAATGAGACAACCCAAAAATAAAAAGTGGAGAACAAGACTAGGAGGGAAGGAATATAAGAGTAAATTCCATAATTGGTCTTTTATAACAAGGGAGTTTCTATATTTAGTCATATATTATCAAATACTAGTTCTCTAACCCGTGCGTTGCACGGTCATTAGTTTGGCATAGTAAACAAAAAATACATTTTAAATTTATACTGGAAATAAAGACAATGAAACAAAAGTGTTTTAAATATAAGCATTAAAAGTATTACACAGTAATATTGATGAATGCATAACAAAAACAAAAAAGACTACATTAAATATTCTGAAAAACTTCTTTGTATACTATATTTCTTGTGTTATTTGAAGGTTGTAGGTCATCATTACAAATTAAAATCTTCAAATCACGTCGATTAGTCATTCGAGAGACAGAAACGTAAAGTTGGCCGTGACTGAAAACTGGTTTCTTCCCACATGCTTCAACGATTGGCCTTGACTTTTGTTAATTGTCATTGCGTAGGAAGTCATAATAGGGAGCTACTTCTTTTGAAACTTAAACGGAATCCGAGTATCCGAAGGTTTGAATTGTCACATTCTTCAAATTCAATCTCTAAATTTCTCATAGCTTGTTTCTCAACCGGGTCAGCGTGATCATTTGCAAGGCTAGAATCAACGTTCCAAGTTTCTTGAATGACCGCATCAATGAGAACTGATTGATGATTTCGAGAAGTACTAAGAAGTTCTCCCACTACATTCATTTAATTTTAAAAAATTAAATAAATTCAAAGATTAATTGTAGAAGTAGAAAATGGATTTCGTTTTGCTCACTTGGTTTTTCAACACGTTTACGTTTTGACAACAGTTGACTTTGATATAGGAGACTATTGTTTTGCCCCAAACTTGTCGTATCAACACTTGAGCAAGAAGTATTGCAGTCGGTGTTCAAAAAACTCTTGAATCGATCGAAAGGCCTTGATGCGGTGACTATAGAAAAAAATTATGTAAGTTAAATGAATCATCACAACATTTTTTTGACTATTGTAAAATAAACTAATATTGACATGTATCATTTGTGATCTTGCTCAAAGAGTTTGGAGTGATAATGCTTGAACTTGTGAGTTTCCTCATAGGAGTTGAATGAGAAGACGAACCACATAAATTATGACAATTCGAAACAGATCCATTTGTCGAAGTCAAATTTGAGGAACCCAACATATCATTTTCTAAATTTCAATAATTCATATAAGCCATGATTTACAAAACCATATTAAATAATTTTATGAAATCACGCATAACATATCACGCATTAGAAACTTTTAATAAATTACAAACTATTTAACCATTCTATAATAGAACAAAAAACATAGTCAAAAGAGCATTAAATATTTTATAAATTAATAGTACATGCAAAAACATAGTTCCACTTGATAAATTCCTCTATAAGGAATTCACAAAAAAAATTCAAATAATACACATCTTACTGTGCTTACAAACATTTCATCAAAATTTTCTCCATGCCAAAATGACAAAAAAGATAATCAAATTCTTTCATATAATATATCTCAATAGATAATATAATCAACATTATAAATTTTTTTGTTCGGCCTTTTGATTCAAGTCAAGCGTCTTGGTTGGCTTGAAAGACTTGGTTCCAATGCTAATTGCGATGACAGTCCAAAACATTCACGACATAGGAAATAAACCCAGGAATTGTCAATGAGACCAATGCTAAGACACCCCAAATGATTCCATTTTTTGCAATTCCAACATCGTTCTATGGCGTCTAATTCATCTCTAATTTTGCAATAATCACAATAAATTTGAAAATAACTTCCAATCTCTGTTTTACGCGAATAACGTACATGTTACTATTAATAAAGAAAAATTTTAACATTACTTTAAAAAATATAAGTAAAACTACAAAATAAAAAAAACATTTTGGGCTAAATGTATTGTTCAAATCCTTACACAATTTAATCAATTAAAAAACTAATAACTTTTCAATCTTACTCCAATTATGTATAATTGGTTAATTAAACATATTTAACAAAAATATTGAATTTTATGTTGAAAATCATAATATTTTAAGGTAATATCAACCCAAACATTAGCCCAATCCTAAAAAAATATACCCAGCCCAAATTTTAAAAATATACATTTTCCCAAACCCTGGCCGCCCCCTCATCTGCCATTCGTTCACTCTCTCTCTCTCTCTACATTCAAACTAAAATCCATCACTTGTAAAGAGTGCACATGCACCCCATCTGGAAGTAACTTATACTATTTTTTTAAATCAAATTTTTTTCTTAATTTCTCAACTTTGTTCCTCTATTATTTTTTTTAAATAAATTTTTTTCTTTATTTCTCATAATTGAATAACAAAAAAAATATAGAAACCAGCAAATTAATTACATATAATGAAACAAACAATCTAATAATGATAAAATTCATAAATAAAATAATTATTTATTGACTTTAAATAATGCACCATACACCGAAATTAAAATAAGAAGTAAATCACAACAAACTTATTGATAGAGTACATATAATTTATTCATTCATAAAAATAAGGTTACAAAACATATGTCATAACTAATTTATTTTGTGAAATTCATAAAACATAAACTTAGACATAATTGAAATCCATGATATAGCTATTGTTCATTGCGACGTCGCCATGGTCGGTAGTCCATGTTATTCGGATTTCGTAGTCGGTAGTCCATCTCGCTATCCGAATAACATGGACTACCAACCACGGCGACGTCGCAATAAACAATAGCTATATCATGGATTTCAATTATGTCTAAGTTTATGTTTTATGAATTTCACAAAATAAATTAGTTATGACATGTATTTTCTAACCTTATTTTTATGAATGAATAAATTATATGTACTCTATCAATAAATTTGTTGTGATTTACTTCTTATTTTAATTTCGGTGTATGGTGCATTATTTAAAGTCAATAAATAATTATTTTATTTATGAATTTTATCATTATTAGATTGTTTGTTTCATTATATGTAATTAATTTGCTGGTTTCTATAATTTTTTTGTTATTCAATTATGAGAAAATAAGAAAAAAAATTGATTTAAAAAAATAATAGAGGAACAAAGTTGAGAAATTAAGAAAAAAAATTGATTTAAAAAAAAGTATAAGTTACTTCCAGATGGGGGTGCATGTGCACCCTTTACAAACCATAGGTATATTATAAGTTACTTTTAAAACCACGAGGGGTGTTGGAGCTCCTTTTTGAAACCATAGGGGGCTGTGGTGCATTTCCCCCTTACTTTTTTAGTATTATATATTTTCAACAGATCTTTTTACACATGTAGGGAAAATTGTTTCCTCAAGAAAGTTATATAATTTTACGTTAAATAAAAACTCATTTAAAAACCACTTTGTAATTTTGAAATCATATAAGTTTAAGATGCTTCATTTTATTCCAGCAAAAATTAACATCTCTTTGGGAAAATATAAGAATTTCATTTGTTAGCGAAAAATTAACTTTTTTTATGGCAATATAATGTCTTTTAAGAATTTTCATGTACGTTATTTATTTGTTGCATAAACAAAAATCGAAGCCTTAAAAAAACTGGAATCATTAGGTTAGAAAAAGATCACATACCTCATCATCATGAAACACAACTTTCATTGATTCCACATTTCTTCCAAAAGAATTAAAATGGTAGACATGTATAGCTCGTACATGAATATCGATGTTTTTTTGATCACTTTGGAAGTTTTCAAGATTGGTAAATAGTCCTGGAAAAATACGTTTGGGAGCCATATTGAAATGAAAATATTAAGCTGAAATTTTTTGAAGGAAGATGGTGTAGATTTGTGAAATGCATTGGTAAAAAAGGCTTTATAAATAACAATTGTTTGTATGGAGTGAGGAGAAATAATTATTTTTTCTTGGGAACACTCAAAAATACGGCCAAGCCGTCAAAAGCAAATAAACTCAACTCCCAATGCTTTTTTTCACACTCACGGATACCAAGACGCTCCCAAGCCGTCAATATAAAAAATACTCTCTCCATCCACCTAAGATCTTCTCATTACGCGTTACGACGCTTGACCGACTTTATTTTCAATTCAATTTAATTGATTATAGGAGTAAAATTTTAAAATAAAATTTATATAGTAATAAACTACATGAAAAGTTCTACAAAACTAGAGGTGACAAGACTATATTATTTTATGAAACGACTAGTAAAAATGAGCAAATAAAGTGAGTAAAGTTTGACCCTGTGAATAGTATCTGGGAAGATCTATGGTGGACAGAGGAAGTACATCTAATGCTTCTTTTAATGCATTAAAGGTGATGCTTTAAAAGCATACAAATTTGGTTTTCCAAAGCATTATTTAAAAGCTTGGATAACCGAAATGATTAATTGCTTTTTCCCAAAGAATTGGATACCCGATTTTATACCCAAATATTAATTTGTCAGTTTTTCTCTTTTACAAATTTGGATACCCGATTATTAATGCCCTACCCGAACACCCAATCCGAACCCAATTGCTTAGGCGGGAAAATGCACGGTTCATTTTTCCCCTTCACCTTTGTATATTAGTAGATTAGTAGATTACCCCCGTAATCCTTTTTTTAAGGGTGTCTTTCCACAAAAAGTTCTTTTTTTGATTTTCTGCCATGTTGGTGTTAATTTAAAAGCTAAAAGTATAATTTGACATCAACATTATGTCTAGTGACGTGTTCTGATATTAGTTAAACGGATAACACAAAAATAATGACTATGATTGTAGGCTAGGATTACGACGAAAGACAACATTTGTAAACTATGATTTTAGTAGAAAGCGACTGTAATTTACAAACGACGCAAACGGAACAACCTTTGGAATTGAGTATGACAAAAAAGCTATATTATCATTGTGAAATTACACTTTTAGCTCTCAAATTAACACCAATATGATAGAAGATCAAAAAAAGGATTATTTATGGAAAGATACCCATAAAAGAAGGACCACTAGAGTAATATTTGATAATAGAAGACTAAATAGGGAAACTTCCCTGTTATAAAGGACCAATTATGTAATTTACTCGGAATATAATTTACTTCCTCTGTCCCAATTTAAATTGTTTGTTTGCATTTTTTTTACGTCCCAAAAGAAGTTGTCTGTTAGTTGTTATCGTAAATTTTAAAAAAATAAAATACCTAAACTACCCCTAAAATAAATCACTCTTCTTCACCTTATCTTCTAATTCATAGTCACCCCTTCCAAAAAGTAATGACAATTTCGAAAAATCAATTCTATTTTTTTTTTCCTTAAATATGTCCAAAAGTCAAAACAGGCGATTTAAAACGAGATGGAGGGAGTAGTAAAATTATATGATACATTAATTAAATAAAACCATTTTTAAATGTACTTTACTAGATATTTCAATTAAATTATTCTTGTATCAAAATCTAATATTCTTTTGTTCCTAAAAATGATCACAATTTGAATTTTTTGTTAAACTGTGACATCCTTTGACTATAAATTATGCAAAAAATATATTTAGTTATTATATAAATTGAATAAAATTAAATTTATTTTAAAATATAATGTTGAAATATCAAATTTTTATAATATTTTATTATTTTAAACTATATTTAATTTGTAGTCAACAAGGGTCACAATTAACCAAAAAAGTCAAGCAATCTTTTAAGGACGGAAGGAGTATAAATTTTATTTAACCAATAGTCAAAATTTATCAATTTTAACTGTAAAATTCAAAACTGAATAAATATTCCAAGACGAAAGTACGGAGTAGTATTTATTATAATATGTCTTATCAAATACTCCGAAGTCATTTGACATACATTATTTTTCTACCGACTTTTTAACCTACTTATGAAATCAAAAATATCATGTGCACACTAAGTTGCACACCACTCTACCAAACATTTCTTGTGGATAAAAAATGGTAGTAACTTGTAAATTGCCCGGAAGTATATCATTTTCTCAAGAAAAATGATCGCCGGTTTTAACGCCGGGGGGCGTTAAACACCGCCCCCCATCGGCGTGATCCGGGCGTCTCTCGTTTGACGCAACTCCCCTCCCCCCTAACGGCTAATTTAGCCGTTGTAAACAAAAAAAGAAAAATTAATTTATTTATTTTTTAATAAATTTCAAACTCCCCCTCCCATTCTCACACCTTCAATCTTCTTCAATCTTCTTAACACATTCTTCAATTCCAAACTCCCCCCTCTCTTTTGAACATGAATCCTTCCGGCTGCGGCTTCTTTCCCGACAATCTCGAGCCTCACAATGCCGCGATGTGGTATCTCCAAGAATTCGGGAATCATCCGCCGATGTTCGAGACGCAACAATCGGGATACGTCGAGCGAGATTCGGTTCCGGAGACTCAACTGGGACCATCCGGCTGCAAAAAAAAGTACACGCCGGAAAAGCCACAAAGCAAAAGGCACGATGACCGAGGCGGCACAGTCAATCCAAAATTGGACGCCGGAGGAGGAGTGCTTATTGGCGTCGGCTTGGGTTGACGTCTCCGAGCATCCTATCATTGGTAAAAATTATATGTTTTCTAATATATTTATATTTTTATTTATATAAAATTATATTTAATCGTGTCATAAAAAAATTTCGTGTTATACTTTTTTAAAGGTTCGGAGCAAACGAAGGATGCGATGTGGGATCGTATCGAGGAGAAGTTCTTTACGGCGATGAACAAGGACGGCTCCTACCGTACCCGGGACCAACTCACTTCCAAATGGAGCCACATCAACCGTAAAGTCCGAAAGTTTATCGGAGTTTACGAGGAATGCGCCCGGTCCCGGAGGAGCGGGACGAATGACGCTGATGTTTTCCGGCTTGCCAGGACCCGGTATCAAGATGACGGGCACCAAGGCAAGGTGCTCATCGATCTTTGGAGGATTTTGAGCCGTTCTCCGAAGAGGCAACAACTCAACAATCCCGACGGCGGATAGTCAAAGAAAAGATCCTCCATCGACGCCGAGGTTGAGGTCGACGACACTATCGGTTCGTCTGATCAAATGCCTCCCTTCAACGTTGCGAATTCCGATGACGAGGACCCCATTCCACGGCCGATCAGAAGAAAGAAGGCAAGATCCATTGCCTCAGGTTCGGGAGGGTCCGGCTCTGTTTTAGTTTCTTCTCGCAACGAAATCGGTCGGGCAATGGTTGAACAACTTCGGGTGTTCAATCTTCAGAGAGGATGAAGCTAAAGGAGAAAGAGATGAAGCGAAAGGAGCAGGACGACGAGATCAAAATCATGGAAACCGACCTTTCTACGTTATCGAGTTTCAGACGGATGATCTACGAGCAAAGACAAAGAGAGATCAAGGCGAAATATAATTTACCTTAGTTTTTTTAATTAATGTATCTTTTTTATTATTGTTGTTTTTTTTATTTTAATGAATGTAATTTTCTAAATTTTAAATTATTGTCGTTTCAATTTCTTTAAATTTAATGAATGTATTTTTTTTATTATTCGTGTTTCAATATAATTAAATAATAAATTAATTACATTTTATTGATTTAGTTTTAGAAGATGTATATTTAAAAATATAAAAAATGAAGGTTTGAAGCCCCAGTTTGAAGCCCCGGGGCTTCCAACCCATTTCCAGTGAATCTGTGAGGTAAGTTAAAGCTGACGTGACAGAGAAAGAAATTTTGAAGCCCCGGTTTGAAGCCCCGAGGCTTCTAACGTATTTCCAGTGCTCTAATGATTCATTATTGGATTCATGACGTGATATACAAGTGCTAATACACATTCTGATATTTAAACAATAACCATTCCATCCAGATGGGTTGATCGAAACTCTTAACACTTTATATTGTACTTATAATAGATTATTTAGTTTCCACAATTATACTCAGTAGGAGGTTTGTTACATCTACTTTGTGTATACTTAAAGGGCTGCTCCCATACCATAATAGTGGTTTAAGGTATGGTATATTTACAGCAGCCCTATAAATATAGGGAGGATAAAAAGAAGATATAACAAATATCCTATAAATGTGGAAACCAGATCTATCTATAATAAACACAACACAATCTTCGAATAATATGATCCGCTAATAAATACAAATTTACAACCTGAACTTGAAATGACTCAAACCCGACCTGCAGTGAACAAGCTTCATGCACTCAGTGACATGGAAATCACAGAGGACAACTTGTATTTACGTACTTTAGTGGAGCCTCGCGGCTGAAAGACAACCTCTGTGCTAGATCGAACACAGACTTCGTTCCACTCAAAACCTGAGGCCCCTTCCCCCTGATAATCTCGAGGCCAGTAAAGAACTTGAAGTTTTGAATGAGCTGCATTTTACAACAAAAAAAAAGAAGGTTTATAAGAACACAACAAAACAGCAACTCTAAAAAAGAATGACATTAACAGCAATGTGCGCATGTTGAAGGATAAAAATGCTGTTTATTCATCACCTTCCCTTCCCTCTTTTCTCACCTCCCCTCCAACAAAACTAGTCTTTTGAACTATGTCCAAAGGGTAAAAGTGTCTTCTAAATTTAAAAAGTTTCCTAATTTAAAAACGAAAACCATTTGGACAGCCAAGAAAAGAAAGTGTGAACCTCATTTCGGGACAGGAATTATTTAGTTATTTATTTATCGCAGACAAAAAGTTCTGGAACACAAGTTTTTTTAGGGGGCCCGTAGGTAATATGCTTCGTATGATGGCATAAGGAAGAATCATATGCGGAGTATAAACAGAGGCATTGATATCTATTACTCCAGTTGTCCCCAAATTAAATTCACATTTTCCTTTTCTATTCATCCCAAAAAAAATTCAAACTTCTCCACTTCCCCTTCTGAGAATGGAATATGTGGCCCCTAACAACTCTCTTCTAAACTGACAGAATATTGAAGCTCACTTTATTATGAGGGGTGGATACTATATATTTGCTATTATCCACCCGCAAGCTGAGCCGTGGGTACGAGGGCAGCTTGGAGCTGAGATAGGAAAATGGTTGAGCCTAAAAAGGCTGTGTGAGTATATCAACTAGTTCTGTGGAAGAGACTCCATTGCCATAACCCAACCACGTACAAAATGACAATTAGTACCCATTTCTTTCATACGATCATGTAGGACAAGGTTCTTGGCCACACGAATTGTTGATTCATTGTCACAAATAGTCGTAGCTTTGCAACTCAGATTGCAAAAACAGTTATTAGGTAGGTAAGCCACATGATTTCGGCAACTCCATGAACAAAGCTTTGTATTCAACTGCAGTCAATGAGCGAGAACTCATTGTTGCTTGACTTGCTTCTTGGTGGACCAATATATAAGATTTGGCCTGGAGAAAATAAGAAAACCTGCTGTGTAGCGATGATCATCATTACCCTAAGCTCAATCAGAATCCGAGTAAACATGTAGCTAGAAAATTCCACCTTTTTAAAAGACAAGACATGAGAGATTGTGCCCTGTATATACTGCAGGATGCGTTTCAACACATGAAAATCTAGCTCAGTGGAATGGTGCATAGTTTGAGCAACTCAATTGAAAGCATATTGGATACCTGGACAAGTGACCGCTGGATACCATAAGCCGCCAGCAGCCACCAATGATACTTCAAAGTGAGTGGGATTCCAAAATAGCTCTTCGGCACCAGCAACGGTAGATTTCACGCATATAGGGGTGGCTACCAGTTTGCATTCAGGAACAACATGATGTAGGAGTTCACGGGCGTACTTTATTTGATGAAGCAACACGCAAAGAGCAGTACAAGTACAACAAACTTAATACCAACAACAACCTAATTAAATCCCACAAAAGTATGGTCTGGGGAGGGTGTGCACGCAAACTTTATCCATACTCAAAAGTAGAGAGGTTGTTTCCAAGAGACTCCAACTTGAGTAACACAGACAGCAAGTTGAGCACCAAAAGCATAGAACACGTGAAAAGAGTAGCAAAGAGCAAACTAAGGTGTACGAAGAAAAATGCAACTAGCAGAAAGCACCAAGCAAAAAGCACAAAACGACATGTGCAAAAACAACCACCAAGCTCGAAAGCATACCCAACTACCCTAGTCCCCGCTCTACACACGCTCTATCTAAGGTCATATCCTCACTAGTCACTGAGGACCAGATGTCTTAGGTCCAGACTAATCACCTCCTTCCAATTATTCCTAAGGCTACCCCTTCCCCTAATCCCGTACACCATTATATGCAGCTCACATCACCGGAGCCTCAACACCGTGCCGCCTCACATGCCCAAACCACCTAAACCTAACTTCCTGTAACTTATCCTTAACGGGTGCCACTCCTACCTAGGGGTGTTTATTGAGCTAGAACCGGACCAAAGGACGAATTGAGATAAAACGAAGACCGGACCTATACGGATTCGGTGTTAGAAAGCATCGTATGTGAATATGTCAGATTACAAAGACCAAAATTGCCGAATATATCTTCATCAACAACCTGAAAACGTTAATCGACAAGAGCCTGTTTTAGTTCAAGCGAACATGTTTGAGGTAGAATATTCATTCAGTACTCAGTAGACTGTGTAACATGACCATAATAATATCACACTTTAGTAGAATTTTGATGGCAGTATCCAATGCCTGAATGACAGTGGTGATTTCATCAAAAGATTTAGTCATGGCGCGAGAGTGGCGAGACCCTTTTTGGAAGAAAATGAAGTTTATCACATATTTGAAACACATTAGAATCTAGATGAGCACTTCACCATTTAGAGAGTGCCCGCCATAGGTCACCAAACGTGGTATAACCGCGAACCTATTTATGCACAGAGCAGAGTGTAGACAAAATACATGCGTGAATTTGGGTGTCAACCACAAGCCAACAAGAAAACGTAGGTTTGGTAAAAGAGCAAAAATATTGCTCCTTGCTAAGAATGGCCATCAAGGGTTTTGGAAGAGTTATGTAGGTGTAGCCTGCAAAAAGGTTTGCATTTAAGGTAGTCAGAGGATTTCCAAAAAGAAGGATATTTTTATTCTATTAATTTTTCCGGAACCAAGACTTGGAGATGACAAAGCAGAAGCTTGAAGCCAGTAGGGTGATCATCAAGAGCCTCTTCCATGGGTGTTAGGCGTTGAGGATTCGGCGATAGGAACGGTTTGAGATATTGCCAGTGTAGTTCAAAAAGAGGAGAAGAAAACTAGTCTTCTTGAAATCCTAGCTTTGATACCATGATAGATAACAAAATCTCACTTTATTGTGATGGGCTGTTACAGTATATATAGAGAAAAGACTAATATTACAGAATGACCCATAACTTATATAAAACATATATATGCTATTACAACAAATTTCAATCCCACACTTTTTACTTTTCAACATTTTTTTCTCAAACTATGAAGTCAATGAATTTAGTTCAGGGACGGAGTATATTACCTAATACTTGAGGTCTTGAGTTCGCAATATACTTTTGCAAAGGGCATCAGGTCACCAAGAAACAAGTATTAACTACCCAAAATTTACATCAATCTATACAAAAAGAAATGCCATAAGTTTGTCCAGAAATTAATGATCTCAACTTTCTCTCTCTTTTTTTTTTTTTTTTGGGGTGGGGGGTTAGTAATTTTAATCTTTTAAAAAGGAAAATCTCATATCAAAATTTCTACTTAATTACCACCATCCCTAATACCAAGTACAAAAGGTAATATCATCAACAATACAAAAAAAAAAAGAGTGACCTAGACGAAGTAACGGTTGATGACAATTTACCTAAACCGAACATGCTTGTCTTTTGAATCGTCACCCTGCTAACTTTTGATCTCTTGATATTTCTCAATTCAAAAACATCATCCTTATCTCCCTTGAATTCCACAAAGTCTCCTAGTAAACGTTTGTTACTTTTAAGCTCCAATCTGCACAAGAACAGATGGAGGTCAACAATATTCATAACAATGCACCATAAACTATTGTAGTAGTTGAATACCTATGGCAGCAGCCATCAATTAAAAACAATTTAAAAAATAAACCCAAAATAATCTAACTATTAAGCCCAGTACTCAATCGGGCTAGAGGAACCACTTCATAGTGCGCTTTTGTATCAAAAGTTTGTTACCGTTAATGTTTCCCATATTAATGTTCAAAGACTCTGTTTTATGAAGTACAGACAATCATGACATTATGATGTGATTATTATTTTTATCTTCAGCATTTACCACTAAAGGCATCATTATCTTTCGGTCATTGGAAAGTACATCTTTCAAATTACAAAGAATAATATTTCGGATCATCCCAAGACATCAATGACAAAGTTCTTTTGTATGTGCATATTTGTAAAACTTGTCGATGACTAATGATTATATGTTGGTTGACATATTTATAACCATTTGATATGAAATTATCTTTTATTAGCACAAAAGATGATGGCTTATTGGAATACACTAATCTTGAAATCCATTGGCCTATATCTTAATCAAATTGCTCATTTGAGCTTACAGGATTCAAATACCATACTCTGTATTAGGATTTGATAATTTTTACTAAAAAGCAAGTGAGTAACCCTTCATATGCATAAGACCTAGACTTTATAAGCATATATTTATTCAATATGAAATCCGTCAGATGGTTGGGGGGTTAGGGGGTAGAGTTTTAGTTTGCTAACAACGTGGTTGATGCCTTTATCGTCCTAAAAATAAACTGGCAACTGCGTCTAAAGGCAGTTGATGGTTGTTAATGAAGGACGTAATGAAACAGGCTTTTTACACAAGCTACTGACCTATCCCACATTGGAGCTGTGCTGAGAATGGAATTTAGATTCTCTTGTATTGGTTCCTTCATTTCCTTTTTAAATGCACCTTTGATAAAACTAGAAACCACGCTATCTTTTTCAGGCTTTAGCTGTTTCCACTGGTCATAAGTCAACACCTCAGGAGGAAAAGAATCACCATGTATGGTTCTGCAGAGATGGAACAAAGAATCCATGAAAATAATATCTAGCAAGGACAGCAGGATTAGTGAACTGTGGTGACATTAATATTTGGTACCTAATACTGTAAGAATGTATTTACAGTTCATCCATACAAATGAAAATACCTAGTACAATAAGCTAAGGTTATCACTAATGTGTATCAATATATGCAATACACTTATCCATCAATGCAGCAAATAGATATAGAGTTCAATGTTTTCCTACAAGAGGTGATGAGTCCTCAATTGTTTAAACACAAGTCAAGAAGCACTTGTCCATATAGAAAAAATCAAATGAACTGCATAGGATTAAGTCACCAAATGTACCATAGTATCTAAAATCATACCGAAAATTGGGGTTTGAACATATGACCTTGCAAGACAAATATCCTTCTGGTAAAGCAAGTCCCCTTTGCTCAAGATAAGATTCCAGGATGGGAACAAGTTGTTTTGTTTCTGCCACCTAGAAATGCAGAAGCTTGATATAGTTACATAAGAGACAAAAACAAGCCACCAAGCAAAGGTGAGATTAGGGCTACTTAACTCCTTGCAAACTTTATCGAGATATGAAATTTGATGTTATACAATCAAACAATGTACTTCCAAATTAAACAAAAGAACTCAAAGCATGGACAAGTGCTTCCAAAAGATGTACATGCAAAATTGTACAGAGCAGATCAGACAATGTAATTCCAAAACACAATGTAAACCAAAGTGTTGGCAAAAAAAAGAACCAAAAGTACAACAACAACAACAACCCAGTTGGATCCCACTAAAGTAGAATCTAGGGAGGGTGCGCATCACGCCTTAAATAACTATGGGTGTGTGTAAGCAGACCTTGACCCTACTCGAAAGTAGAGAGGCTGTTTCGAGGAAACCCCTGGCTCAAGCTGCACATGGATAAGGATCACACTTGATACATAAAGTAGAGAAAACACATACAACACAGATAAAGAACCAAGCACAAAACAAACTAAAAAAAATAAAGTTAACGAAGGGAAAGTAATGCAAGCAAATAGCACCAAACATACAAGGCACACAAAGCACACAACAACAACACCCCCTAGCTCAAAGCACCTACCTAGCTACTCTAGTCCTAGCTCTCCAAATGCTCTTATCTGAGGCCATATCCTCAATAACGGCAAGAAGTCCCAAGTCCTATCTAATCACCTTGTTCCAACTCTTCCTAGGTTTATCCCTTCCCCTACAAACGTAAGCCTCTTGTATCTCCACACAAGAGCGTCAGCATTCTCCCATCTCACATGACCGAACACCTCACCCTAGTCTCTGCAGCTTATCTTCCACTGGTGTCATGCCTAACCGACCTCGGATAACCTAGTTCGCAATCCTATCCATCCTTGTCTGGCCACACATCCACATCTGCATCTCCCCCGCATGCAGACGACGCATGTGAGCTTTCTTAACTGTCGAATTCTCCGCCCCATACAACATGGATAGTCTGACTTCAGACCGGTAGAACTTACCTTTCATCCTGAGCGCATAGTTATTAAAGGTGCTCGCCTAAGGCACCTCAGGCAAGCTCTTAGCGCCTCAAGGAAGCCAGGCGAGGCGAGGCAAGATCCCTAAGGCGGTCGCCTTTCTCACTTTCCTCGCCTCAATAACTACCTCAAACGTTCGCCTAGCTCGCCACTTTTCTTGACTGAAACACTGCCTTAAGGGTTTAGGATATACAATGCATAATATTTATTGTTATATATATACTCCATAATATATGTGTGTGTGTGTGTGTAAGTTCATCATTTGACCGCCCGCCTCTCGCCATAAAAAAGGTCATCTCGCTCGCCTCTCACCACAAAAATGGTCATCTCGCTCGCCTCTCGCCATAAAAATGGTCATCTCGCTTGCCTCTCGCCATAAAAATGGTCATCTCGCTCGCCTCACGCCATAAAAAAGGTCATCTCGCTCGCCTCTCGCCATAAAAAAGGTCATCTCGCCCGCCCCTAGCCACTCGCCATTAATAACTATGCCTGATCAAAATCTTCTTATCGCCCAACACCCCTGAAACCAACCTCCACTTAGCCCAAGCTGCTCCAACACGATGCACATCCCTATCTAACTCCCCATATGCCTAAATGACCGAGCCAAGATACGAAAACATTTCTACCTTGGGCACTAGGTGAGAGTCAATCCTAAGTTCCACCCCTGATTCTGTCTCCCGGCCACTGAAACGATATTCTATGTATTCAGTCTCGGTCCTCCTAACCCTTTGGTCTCCATGGAAAGGCACAAAAGTTCTAACTTAACTTTTAGAACCCAAAGTTTTGACAAAAACAAAAAGAAAAAAGAAACCAAGGTGTTGGTAAAACCATAAAAGGAATCCAAAGTGCTGACAAAAAATAAAACCAATGACTGTGGATTTATGGCTAGCGAGCTGGTTATCCATAATCATATCATACATATGATTAGGCTAAGTTGGTTAGAGAACATCAACTTTTCCAACAACAACAACAACAACAACATTACTCTAGTGCTTCAAACGCTCCCACCCATTGCGAGGTAAGGAGGGGTCGAATAAATGCAAAAACATAAAGCGGTTGTATCCAAATGACCCGTGATGACCATGGAAAGCTGCATTGACTAACTACTACTTCACTATTAAAAAGGGCGAACATTATAAAGAGTCATTTCGCTATATTCCATCATACCCCAAATCCATAACATCAAATTTTCCAAATTTTACAAAATATCTAGGTGTCAAGGACATCCCCAAATACCCAAACGAAAACATTTTGGGTAAGAAAGTGGCACTTATTTGAAGAATCCATGTAACATATTAGCTAAATAGTGTATATAAAACTATAAGGGATGCAGCAGACTATAGTCCAGTAACAGAGCACCATGAATGAATGAACAAGTGCATTAGGTGCACGGAGTAATGGCTTTATTCTTCTTGAATCATAAAAACAAAGATGAACAAAACAATAAACGATCTGCAGGTGATGATTTATTTCTATGTTCTGGGTAAGAGAGTGAGTAATAAGAGAGTAATAGACATAGACTAGTACTTCTATGTAATTTTACTTGGGAGTAATTCAATGTACTTTTACTGCTGATAGAAGTATGCAATCTAGAATGAAGCTTTGTTCTCCCGATGCTGCTTGAAAAGTAATTTTGCTCTTGTTTTTAGGTACTTTTACAGCTTTTCTGTTTGTATGGTGTAATAAATAACTGGAAGTGTTGTGGTGGTTATTTTATAGTTTTACTGTTTGTTTTCTCTACTGTAAAGTTACTTCAGATGATATCTTTTTCCTTTGACTTACTCAAATGTTGAGTCCTTAAAGTCCTACTCAAATATAAGATTTATTTACTAATTTTATTGTATATTTTTTTCTTATGTTCCGTTATAGAGTTCAGTATCCTATTGGGGGTGTTTGCCATTGGTTCTATTTTCACCCCCAACTTTTGGCATATGTGCTTTCCAGACGGATGGCAACTGGCAAGTGTATGCAGCACACAAGAATGATTCATCCTTCTTCAGGCATTCTACAAAAGCTCAAAATTGGAACTTTTCTTCAACTATGTCATGATCTTTCCCATTGATTTGTTTGCTTTTTATTATATTATGAATTATGGAGCCCCGACTTTGAACTTGTTCATGCTTTGACTTTTGCTTGTTCGTATGTTTCATATGGAGAATTTGTTATTCAATTTGGTTGTTTATGACACTATTGTGCTTGGTTACAAAATTTCAAATACAAGTTTTGTAAATGCATTAAATCAAAAGGGTGCCCCCAACTTCCGCATGTCTTAGTGGTTGCCTCTAGCCTTTTTTTTAAATTGACAGTTCGGGATATAATACAATAAGACACAGAAAAAACATCGTTTTGTTATGTCATCATTCAGATATCAAAGCATGCTAAATTTATCAGAACCAGGTTGATATCAAGACAAATGTCCAACTTACAGGATCTGGAAAGCGCTCTTCCTTGTGCTTATCTACACCCATGCAAACCCAATTCTCATCCTTATCGATTGATACAAATCCAGAGACATTCTTCACAGAGATTATTACAGCTTCTCTATATATTTGGCAAATATTTCAGTACATAGAAGAATGAACCAAAAATCAATTAATAAAACAAGTCCTACATAAACAGTAACCGAATTAATAATTTGTAAGCATTACATTACTAATTTAGATCCAAACGTGTACTAACAGTCACCTCTCAGTTGAAATTACCAACAGGGTAGTGAATTTTCCCTTTTAACATTGGAAAGATAAAGAAATGTAACTAGTGAAAGGAAGAGAGACAGAGAGTCACCGGTGAGTGACGATAACCAGATCAATATTCTTGGGAGACCCGGAATCGATGTCTGGAATCCGAAGTCCAACATAGACCTTGCCGCCATAAATCTTTTCCAGCCTAGAATTAAAAGTTATTCACCACCAAACTCGACATGAATTCTCAGGCAGTAGAAAGTGCTAGTGAACTGATGAACGGACGAGACGAGGTGCCGGAAAAGAAGGAGAAATTTTACCGTTTCGCAACTGAGAAAAGGGCGTTGTCGTTGTAGGTCCCGACGTCGAGATCGTCGCCGCTGGAGAAGAAGCGCCTCAATAATTGGAAAATAACGATGCCCATGATGAGCTCAAACCACATGATTTCTCACTGTTGTAATCTACTGACCGAAGATATCTGTCAATCACTCTATCTACACATCTGATACTCTGATAGAAAGAAGAAAAAAAAAAGAGAAAAATGCTAGCCCCAAATATCCCCACCCCCTCCTTGTCCACTAAAAAAAGCAAAAAAATTCAAAAAAAATAAATAAATAAAAATCAAATAAAAATGTGTGGATGAAAAGAGGGTGGTGTACATTTGGGGTACACCTTTTGGTCTACCCCTAGCATTACTCAAAAAAAGAATTAAGATACATTGTGCCTCAAAATTTATACTCGAGATTGTAGATGTCATCATGTCAACCTCCATTTTTTGTCATCCATATTGGCACAAAATATCAATGCATTTTTATTTGCTGGTGTATGTCTTTTGGTGTACAATTTGAGGTACAAACTTGGTGTAGCCATAACATGGTTGAAAAAAAAGAAGGGAAATGTACCCAAAAAAAGATTAAAGTAGTAAACATAAAAAATGAGTTATTTTATGGTATACCTTGAGTGCATAATATTTTTGTGAATCTTTTCATATAAAAAAATTTAAAATTTTTTTATTAAAAAAATAAATGTTTATTTAAGTAGTAAAAAATGTTTATTTTATTCATATGTAGATCCATGATGGACCTTAGGTCTATCATAGACTTTTTCATAAAAAAAATATAAAAATAGAATGCTTCTTTAGTGCACCTTGGGTGCATACAATTTTTGGCAACTTCTCACAGAAAAAATCATTTTTTATTTTTTGAATTTTTAATTAAAATAAATGCTTATCAAAGTAACTAGGATTTACTTATTTGCCTTATCTAAGGTCCACCATAGAATTTCCCATAAAAATAAGAGCTTTTATATTTTAATTTTTAAAATAGGAGTACATACAATTAATACTGAAATAAAAAATTAAACTTGCGTATTTAAAAATCATATTAAAAGCTCAACAAAATAAGAAGCGACAATTATATTTTATCAAATAATTAATGAAAAGACGAAAATAAACAAAAGTTATCGTTCTTTTTGAATTGTGAAGTATGACATTGTTTTTGAGACGGAGAGAGTATGTATTATAGAAATTACTCTCCGATACCCTCAAGTTTTTAACTCACAAGTTCCACATTATTTGAAATATACTTCAATACTTAAAATTTGTGGTAATGTGCTCTGAAGGTACATTCTGTCTATTTGATCGTTAGGATTTAAACTTCCATTATTTTCACCAATCAAACACCAAAAAACTTACACTAGGTACCTCACATTTTTTATAAGAACTCGCAAGTGCCATATTATTAAATTGTACAAAAAATAATTATTTTTATTTTTTATATGTCTTTTATTCCAAAAATAGGAGTTATAATGAAAATAAAATGTCAATCATGAAATAAAAAAATAGATTTGATAACATTATGTGACATGTCTGATATTTAAAACAAAATCTTGTAATATACAAAGTATAATTACAAATATATTATTTTATAATAAATACCGTTTAAATAAATTGAAATGCAACGTACCCACAATAACTTTTTAAAATTTATCATTTTATATTTATGCTAACTTTATAGTACTATGATTATTTTTTGCAAAAGTAGTTTTTTTGTATATGAAAAATAACAATACTTTTTTATCTTAAAGGCTTCCATTAAGATAACATGATGATGATAACAATAATAAGAATAATAATTTATAATAACAAGAGTTAGAATGATAATAATATAAAAATATACTAAAATAATTTTTTTAATGTTTTTTTAGATTTTTCAATTATTGAAGTTAGTCCAGTTCCTTTCAATTTCTTCATGTTTCAAGTTCTTCCAGCTCCTTTCAGTTTCTTCCAGTTCCTTTGAGTTTCTTCCAACATCAATCTCTTTTTTTCCAACCCTAAAGAACAAGCTCTTGAACTTATTTACAAGATCAAACATTCCATATTCATCACTTTTAGAAGGTGCCCGAAGGTTAATAAGAAAATCTATCCAATGCTCCTATGATATCAAAGGAAATAATTAATCTTGCTTGTATTAGAGTTTTTCAAAATAGATACAAATCATACAATTATCGTATCTCAGAAATTTTCTATGTGTTAATTAGAGTCTAAAACTTGTCATAGGTCTAAGATAGATTTTATACTCTAACATGTCCCATCACATGAAGGAAAATTTTTTATTTCTTGCTCAAGCCTTGTGATAAGTCGTTTTTGCATGAGTTCTTTTTATTTGTTTAGGCATTTTTAATATTTTTAGTATTTAAATTTTTAGTTCTATAACGTAGTTTTATTTTAATCCTAATTTTTACAATCTTTTAATTTTCTTGAATAAATGGTAGTTTTTATTCGCTTTTTTACATTATATTACTTTTATTTTGTTTTTTCCTAAATCAAGTTATCAGATATCTTATTTTGTAGAGAAAAGTGTAGCAAAAAGGTTAAATCAAAATTCAAGTTTGAAAGGAAGCAATTGAAATTGAGCAGTAGCCCAAACCCATCATTAACCAAACAAGAATCAGCCCACCACTTCGTCCCAAGTTAGTTTTACGCACGAAGGAAGAAAAAAACAGAGAATAGAGTTCGCGTTCTTCATCCTCGCAAGAATGGATCTACACAACGCTCTGATGTCTCTCCATAAAATTTGCTTCTCATTCAACCCTCCAACGGTAAAGAGCTTTTCTTACTATAAATAAAATAAAGTCATACGGAAGGGAGGGGGAAATTGCACGAGAAACAAGCAGCGGCTATGGCCGCAGGAATCTACGCACGGCGGCGGTGGTTCAGTGAGAGTTCCTGAAGTTGATGATGATGGTGTTTCTGTTGAAGGTATTGTTAATGCCTTTCCATCAGATCTTGTAGTTGTTGATACACCCGTAGATGCACCGGGTAAGGAAGAAGTTGCAAAGGATCAAACATGGAGCAATGTCATCATCGCATGTAGCCTTGTGCTTCCGTCCAAAACAGCCCAAGTAGTCGATGTAAATTATACGCAAGCGCACATTTCACTGTCCTTTGATATCATCCAGACCTCTGGCCATGCGAATATCGTGGAGTCAGAGTCTTGGGTTTCACCGCAGGTACCTAAGTTTGTATTTGCTATTCTCTTTTATGTCCATCGCTATACTCCAATCTGCAAGCTTAATGAAATGAAGATCTGTCATCGGCCATAATCTTTGGGTCAACATTTTCTCTCCAGTCCAAAAGCATGAGTGAGAGCCTCCACCTTGAGGACAAAGTGGTTTTCCAAGGGCGTGAGAGTGGTATGGATAATAGAGTAGGATATTTAAGAGTATTATTATTGTTGTTGTAGTTGTTATTGTTATTGCATGTAATTTAGGTTTTATAAGGTGGGCGGAATTATAAGCTCTTTCGAGATTTTTTTATGGTTCTTTCCCTCGTCGCTTTTATTGAACCGTCAGGTTAGATTTATGGTTAGTTAGGGTTTCCTTGTCTCCTATAAATAGACATCGATGTAACCTCATTTAAAAAATTCAATCAATAAACAAATCAAAACCATAATCCTTTTTCCTCTCTCGGTTTGCCAATTCTCTTCGTGTCAATTCTTCTTCTCCTTTCTCGATCCATATTCTCAAGAGGCTCAAGACGCTCTGATGAGTCTTCCCTATCTGATACGTAGTCCGTATCAAAATATCAACATACCTAACTTATTTAATGAATCCCCCTCAATTCACATATCTTCCTCTTCAATGGAGTAAGTCAGTAAGATGATGATGGCGTTGGCAACATGAAAAATAACAGAGCCATGACCGCTCTTTTACCGACCTTGACAACGATGATGATTATGGACAATAGAATCGTCGCCTCTTCATACGTCCTCTGGTGGCTCTAGCACCACTAAACAGCTTCGACTTTAATAGTTGCTGGGCAACGACGACATGCAGCGGTTCCGGCCATTGGCTATGTCCCTCATCCACTATGGCAAAAACTCAGTAGTATTTGAGGAGTGGGTGGCCTTTATTTTAATCATAACTTTAACTCTAAAAACTGGAGTCATATATGAACAGTTAATTATTTACTACCTCCGTCCCGTGAAACATAAAAAAAATAGAAAATTTAAAATAAAAACTAAAAATCATTTCAGAATGAAATTTTAAAAAAAATTAGTATTTCTTGAACACTGAAGAAAGGAGGAAGAAGAAATAATGAAAAAAACTTGGACACGAGAAGCAAAATAATTGCTTTGGAAGAAGTGAAAGAAATACTTAGTACGATAATTATAATTTGATTTACACAAAAAAAAAAATCCTTCATACAATACAATAATGTGATTTATCAAAAAAATCTCCCAAATTTAAAGCACGTAAGAGGATACTACAACCTATTAAAAGCACGTAAGAAGATCATTGAAGGTGAAAGACTGACTAATTTGTCATTGTTTGTTAAAGACCTAAATTAATTAATTCACTGAAACAGCTCGAAGCATCTGCCATTGTTTGCCAAAGATTTCCGAGTTGAAACTTGAAATTACATAAAGGAGTAATTCTTGATGAAAAAGACAGAGCAAAACAAAAAAATAGTGGGTCTAGATCGAGAAAAGAAGAAATAAAAATCTCTGGACAAATGAGCCGAAGAAGGCCACGGTAAATGAGACTTGTGCAGTGTCCAGCAAAATCTTATGTGGGATTTGAAATTCCATTTTTACTCAAGACCTATAAATTCATCAAATCCATATTTTATAAAATTGTTTGATAATCTACTAATTTTTGAATATCATTTGATTTAGAGTGATATTTTAAAATCTGAATTGAATATATTAAATTTTTAATGACTCTTTAAAATCTAAATTGAATACTTTCATACTTTAAATGAATTTTTAAAATCTTAATTAAATACCCACTGACTTTTAAAATCCGAAAAAAACTCACAAATTCTTGATTGAATACACCCCCTCAAGTCTTCAAAATCCATTGGAAACAATCATATGGATTCAGAATCAAACAAATATGCATTGGAGTATGAGTTTTAAATTATGCGCATAGTCAATTACGTAGATCTATAATCTAGAATCAAATTTCCTATTTCAAGAGAAATACTCACAAAAATAGAAACAACACAATTAGGAATCTTCATCACAACATCTATAAGAATCTTCAAAGCAAGAATATTTAGAGTTTATTTGGTTAATGTGTTGGGTATAAATGTTGTTGCTTTTTGATAAATTTATTTTGGTTAATTTGATCATATACAAAGTGACAATGGTGCTTCGGTATTTTGTGTAGTTGTATGAACTTATCTTTTGAAGAGATTGCCATATTTTTATTCAACGCCAGTGTTCTTATCTTTGGTGTTAGACAATTAAGAGTGGGTAATAAATTTTTCAAGATGTGTATTTACATAAGAGTTCTTACTTTGAAAGAGTTTTATATACTTTGCACTATCAAAATTACTATATGCCAAGACGATTTTACGCTTTAATTATATATTTGAATTTAGATAATTATATTATTAAGTTCTCAATTTTAAAATTTTTGAAAAAATTATTTTCCGTGCAACGCACGAGTATGAATCTAGTAAAGTCAAAGACAGAAGATTTTATTGTAATCTTGAAAATTTGTGGTAATATGAATGCCACTTTGCTAATTGTTGTGTAAAACAAATATTGGTACCAAAGTAAGGGGTACTGTAGATGTAAGAAGGATCAAATATGTTTAGTTCGGATTGTTTAAGATACTGATTCAATAGTTTAACAATCACAATAAGAACACACTCCTAAACATTACATACCATAGTGAGAAATGAGAAATAGGCTGTCAGAAAAGATACAAATGGTGAAAAGAAAACCAATACCACTAAAATGTCTGTCTCCCATATTTAATGCCTACAGAGTACTAGAAAATAAAAATAGAAACTCAAAAAAAAAAGTATAAGAGCACAACATCTGATCTAGAGGTCAGCTATAACAAGTGGTGTCTGTTACTTCTGGGTCACAGTACCTTTCTTCTTAATAAAGCTTCCAAATTTACTTAGCAAAGGCTTCTTCCTCTTCGGGCTTTGCTGCTTTACTGGATTAGCATTACCACTGTCAAGCTTTTCCATTGAAGATTTTAGCCCGTTTGGCTGCTCACACTTCTCGTGTACCTCTTCCTTTGGCTCTGATTCGTCTTTGCACGCATCATCTCTTTCTGGAGATGAATCTTTCTCCTCAAACTTGCAGCTTTCCTGCATCTTGAGCTCAGCATCCTCTACAGAACCATTTTCTCCCTTAACTTCAAGTTGTTCACCTCCATTGGTTTCCTCTTTGGCAGCGTCATTAGTTTCTTGAACTTCTTCCTTTACAAATTGCTCGCACTGATGGGGAAGGAGTTCTATCTTAGAACATTCTTCGGCAAGGCCATTTTGTTCTATCTTTAAGAGCTTATCAGTATCTTTTTCAGTGTCTGTAATCTTTCCGTTTTCTCCAGCTTGCTTTTTAGCCAAAGTTTCTTCAAGCATTAAGGACATTTCCTCAATCTTCTTCAATGCCATCGTCTCTCGGATTCGAAGTTCCTCACTCTCCTGCAGAATATTTTGCACTTCGGTTTCTTTCTCTATTAGAGACTCTTTTAGTCTAGTTCCCTCAGCTTTAGCCTCGCCCAGAACCTCCCTTAGATGATTGACCTCACGCTTGGTTTCACACAAGCTTGTTTCCAAACGACCTTTGCTTTCAGTTGCAATTGAAGCATCTTCTTGTGAATCTTTTAACAAGTTTACCAGCCTACTGATTTCTTTTTCCATTGAAGAATTTGCTTCTTTGGTTTCAGTAACACACTTCATAAGATTACACTCATTTTCCTCCCGCTCTGCCTTTAACTTCTGGTAATCTTCCTTAGACTGCTCAATGTTCTTAGTGAGTTGATCAATTTTTTGCTTTGCATCTCCGAGCATATTCTCGTACTTATCATTTGTGGCTTGTAGGGCCACTTTCAAATCTTCAATCTGTATTTCATAATCACCACTCTCCACTTGGCTAGACAAAAGCTTCTCATTGGCTTCTCTTACTTGAGAAGAGACTTCATGCAAGGCTGATGTCAAACTCTCAATTGCTCTCTTGCTCTTTTCTTCTTCCTCCCTCAAACTTTCCAATTCACCAAAAAGTCTGTTCTTTTCTTCCAACAGCTTCCCCACACTTTCGGCAGCTAGTTTTTCATTACTTAAAGCCCGGATTTTTTTATCTCTTACAGTTTCAAGATCGGAACTAAGGGATTCGACCTTCTTCACCAGTACAGAAGCCTCTTCCCGGGCCATCTTAAGTTGACAATCTGATTCCCTGAGTTCTTCTTTCTGTCTGTCAATGGAGAACTCCAATAAGCCAATCTTCTCTTTCAGAGAAGAAATCTCAGATTCTGCCTTGTGCAGCAATTCATTCCTATCTTCCACCTGTTTCATGGCTGATCCCAGATATTCCAATGCAGAACTCTTGGTTCTATGCGCTTCTTCAGCCTCAATCTCTAACTCATCAACTCTCTTCTTGCATTCCTCCAGTAGACCATGTGCACAAGATTCCGCAATCTTAGCTGCTTCCAAATCAACTCTGAGTTTCTCTAAGAGGCCCTCTTTTTCCATCACATCCACCTCATACTTTTTCCTTCTCTCAAGTTCTTCTCTGAGACTATCAATCTCAAGATGCAGCTCTGACTGGGAATCAATAATAGATCTAACGCGTGCCAACTCTGCAGAGAGGATTTCAACTTTTTCAGCATGAATCTCGGCAACTTTAGTTGCGTCATCGGCATGGGTAAGAGCCTGGTTTTTGGCATCGGTAGCCATGGCGAGTTCCTGCTTGACCTGCTCTAGTTCTTGTGCAGTGGAGAGAAGAGAAGATGCATCCGAAGCCTGCTGCTTCCTCACAGCTTCAATGTCTTTCAGCCATTCCTCTTCCTTTTTCTGAGCTGCTTCAATACCAGCTTGTTCCATCTCAACAGCACGGAACTTGTCAATCTCTGAATTGTCTTCAGCTCGCTTTTGAGCTATCAAAGCCTCTCTAAGCTTCTCGTTTGCTTCCTCTGCTAACTTCTTTGCTTCCTTCAGGTCATCAAGAGCTTGGGTCTTCTCCTTCTCTGCAGACTCTATCTTCTCCTTTGCCTTCTTGAGATCCTCTTGAACCAGACTTAGTTCTGTCTGTAATTCCGATGGCTTCAATAACCGACTTGGCTTTTTCTGGACAGACCAACAATAAAAAGGAACTACAGATTTTAGAACAACACAAAAGTTTTTTCAGCAGGTACATATGAATCAGATGGAATAAATTTTGAAATTGTTACTTTTCCATGAAAATGTTAGTCTTTAAACGTTCTTCTATTACTAGCAACGCTCCAAAAACATCAGATAAGAAATTACACCGTAGCCCGCATTTTATAGTCCACTATTCAAACCTCATTTTAAATGAGTTTGTGATCCATTGATGTCAAAAATGCTAATATGCTATCTTGGGGCTATTTCAAATAATCTATCATAATTTGTTTCCAAAATAGGATTTGAGCTTAATGTTCAGATCGATTCAGAAAAGATTAATCATGGAAACAAAACAGCAAGTTGGTAAACCACACTATATAGTGAAATTGGCTGGACTAACATCAGGTGGAGTGGCAAGCTTAGTGGAATGCCTATCCCCGGAAGAAGTCTTAGGAGTAGTAACAGATCTTGGAGACTTTTCGAACGAAGAGCGCAAGCTTAGCAAAGGCGAATCCGCATCAAACTTGTTGGTTCCTCTGCTCAATTTACTACCACCCCTAGGGGTTGCAGGTGATGCCTTACTCTTTGGGGTTTCTGGAAGTGCAGATCTGAAAAAGCAAAGCTCACACAAAAACCTATGATCAGAAGACTTGAAAAGAGCATTATTTAGTACACATGAAGTATAATCCGGCAAAACCAAACCTAAACATAGAAATGCATACAAAGAAAAAGCCCAAAGATTGAAGCTTTTTACTGATAATCATTCTAAGTTTTGCAGATTTGGAGCAAAATGCAGTGCAGAGCATTAGAAATGCTTGAAATGTGCATGCCAAGTAGAAATCTTTGAGGAAAGAGAACATTACACAAACCAGATCTAAGAATTGAAAGAAGATAAAGAGAAAAAAAAAACACTTACTTGGACTTGGAGGACATGGTGCTACTGGGGAACAGAAAGTTTCCTAGCTTAGCAACAAATGATAAAGATGGGTTTGATGAAGAAGAAGAAGAGATGAAAATGGAGATGCTTTACTATGCTGAAGACATGGAAATTGTTAGGTTGTGTTTGTGGTGAAGTAGAGTGAGAATTTGACAGATCACAGAGCACAAACGAATCATCAGACAAGATTTGTTGGATAATATTCAAAGGGGTATAGTATTGGTGGGGGGTTTAGTGTCAATCAAGTCATGTGCCCAGAAAGAGTGCAGTTACAGGCTTAACAGAGAAGAAGTGATGTGAAATTAGAATTTTCGGAGCAAATCATTTTTTATTTTGTAGTGAGATCTTGTTTCCCTTTCTCACAGTAAGAAAGAATACTTGTACTGAGAACTAGCCATAATCCTTTTACTCCATTTTAAACTTAGTTACAAACTACGGAGTATATACTCTATGCCAATATGCTATTAAACTTTATTTTATTTCTTTTCAATGACTATTTACACGGATCAGAGAAGCTTTCAAAAATGGGACTCATCCTTTTTTGTTATGGAGCAGTACATTAAATAAAAATTAATTTAATATTTATTGCATTAATTCAAAAATAAATTATTTTACTCCATTTCTTTTATTCTCTTAGGAAATACGGAATACATAGCAATAAGATGTAATTCATAAAATTTCTCTCTTGGTCAAAAATTTTTAATCACACACTTTTTATTACTTTTCTGAAAGTGTGTGTATTTTAAATATAGAACGATGAGAATATTAGAATATGTGGTAGTAAATTAATACTCCTAAGATAGATGTGTTTAAATTAATATTATGAGTCATGCATTCTTTTTCTTAAGAAATGTTTAAAATGTTACTATAATTTTAAAATGCCAAAGATGAAAGATGTGATTTTAGTTTAGGGAGGATGAGCTGAGGTAAATGACAAGTAGGAGTACCCTTTTGTTACATTTTTTAGAGATGAAATACCTTTTTGTTACAAGTTGAAGATGGGATACCTTTTTGTTACAACACGCAAAGTTTGACTACCTTCTATGTAAAAAAGATATACTCCCTCTGTCCCAAAAAGATTTACACCTTTTAAAAAAAATTGTGTCCCACAAACTTCTACCCATTTCTATTAAAAAACCACTTTTACCCCTTACTTTTTCAAACTCTACCTATCACATCATACCTTTTTTTCTTATAATCTACACATCACATCCTACTTTTACACATCAAATCAAGGTTATTTTTGGAAAGTCAACACAAAATTATCATTTCCTTAATTTCCAATTTAGTCAAAATGTGTACAACTTTTTGGGACGGAGGAAGTATTTTTTATGGAATTTTTATGTTGTTTTGAAATATGTTTAACTTCTATATTAATTTGTAAATAAAATCATTTTACAAAAGATGAAATTTTGCAAGTTGTTTGAAGTACGGAGTACTACGATATTTATGGATCGGAGATAATATTAATGCATATGATATTTATTTTGAAATAAAAATTATACTTTTAATAACAATGCACATTTATTACTATCCTCACCTTTGAATACTTGTCCAATTTTGACTTCTTACCATTATAATTGACAAAGTTGGACCCCTAATTAAATAAAAATGATACTTCGTATTAAATATTGATCAAAAAAATTTCATTAGCTTTATTCTATAAAACAATTTCAAAATGATATTTTTTTCTAATTAATACTACTCCCTCCGTCCCAGTGTATTCGTTCAGTTTGACTTTTTTGAGTCAAATTAGATAAACATTAAACTTCAATTACTCTTAATTTATGTTGCATATTAATACGATAAATTAAAGTTTTAATATATTAAAATACATTACCACTTTTATTTAATTGAATTACAAAGTTCGTCTAGTTTGACTCAAAAAAGTCAAACTAAATGAATACACTGGGATATGGGTATTATACACGGTAAATTTTTTTTAATGTTATTGACTCTATTACAATTTACCCTAGAGTAGTATTTGTTCATACTTTTCTCAACTAAATGACGCACAAAGAGTCAACGCTTCCGCATCCACTGGGACGGGACGTGAATCTGAGTGAGCTTTTCCATAAATCTTGAGTGAGCTTCCCACAACTCAAGTCAGGAGAAAAATTCATCATAAATTTTATTTAATTTAAAACCAGAGATTGAAAATAATTAATTTAAAAATGTTAAAATTGAATAAATAGGGACGAGTAAGGGGAGAGAAGGTGAGAATGTGAATTAGATCTAGGCATGGCATGGTTGAGAAAGTGGAGGATAATACTGTAGTAGTAGCCTCTGGCTGTGGCTGGATCAAGAATCTGAAAATGAACCCAAAGTCAAGAAAGAGGTCCACTAGGGTCGTAGGAGAGTGGTTGCTTTTTTTTCCATCACGGCCCCAACACCCAACACTGAAAAAGAAAACAAAAGAAAAAATGGGTGACCAGTGGACCCATAAATGGATGACCAGTGGACCCATCCTATCCGAGACAGAGTGCTTTTTTTTATATTTTATTTTTGCATGAAGACACTAAAAAACCGGTGAATTCCGTCATTTCACGCCTCCTCCTCCCCCTCCCCCTCCCTTCCTCTTTTATTCATGTTCTATTCTGCACAAATGCACGCAAAATATTACTCCTTCAGTCGCCTTCCTTCCTAAAATTCTTCTAAAAAAGTAGAAAAATGCCCGGGTACACCTTTTCATTTGTCCCCCACCTTCTCCATTACCACAGAAATAGGCAAGAAACTAAAAATAATTAAATAAATAAAAATAAGGTAAAAATTAGTGGTGGAGAAAGAGGTGGGGGACAAATGGAGTCACAAATAAAATATTTAAAAATTTTACAAACTTGTCGAACATGTAAAGTAATAAATTGAAATAATGGTCTCAAAGAATTAAAAATTAAAATTAAAATGCACAAACGATATGTTTGTGAATTTTGTTAATGTTTTGTTTGTGACTCTAGGATTACTCTTCCCAAAATATTCAATTGTTCATCACATTTCCAACTATGTATAAAATATTATTCCTTTTAAAATTATTTTATTTTACATATTGATAGGAAAATAAAAAAGCAAATGCAAATTACATTGTTCAAAATTATATATCAAAAACTCTACAAAATTAGATGTGACAAAAATATTAAAAAATCAACCTAAAGAGGAGTAAAATATAGAGACATGGCCACTCCGCCCATGCTCGGCCACGTGCTAGGCCCATGCTATGTTCCTGAGTTGATTGATACTTCCTTGTCCTGTAGCATTTGTCCTTCATTCTATGGCATATATTTTATATGCATGTCTCCCCTTGGTGTGTAATGTTAGGGGGGGGATGCTCCATATTCCAACTGTTAGTACATCGAACCTAGTCCGATTAAGTTACTTCCATCCATTGAAAATAAGATTCGACACCTGTTGTACATCATCTCGGTCCAGGTTAATAAACGTCACCCAAGGGCACTCACTATCCCCAAGCCAAGGATCCTCCCAAACTCAAATACTCCGCCTGGCTTGAACCTTCCAACAGGTCTCTTTACAAAAGAGACTTTGTGTCTCAACAATACTTCTCCAAATAAAACTTTGAATGAAACCAACCCCTAGTTCAAAAAGCACTTGTGCGACTGAAGTATTTAGCTTTAAAAACTCTTGACACCAAAAGATCAGAACGTTGGACAAATTTCCATGCCAACTTACCAAGCATAGCAAGATTAAATTCATGAACCTTCTGGAAATTGAGTCCACCCAGAAACTTATGGCAACTCAATATGTTCCAGCTCATCCAATGGATTCCACATTCCAAATTCCTTGCTTTGCTCCATCAAAACCTACCCACGAGTTGTTATAACTCATCACACATGGACTTTGAGAGTAGAAAAGTGATATGGCATAAGAAGGAATGGACTAGAGAGCAGATTTCAAAAGAATCTACTTCCCTGCCTACTAGAGAGCTTGTTCTTCCATGAAGTGAGATGCACCAAATTTTTTCCTTGATATAGGCAAGGCTCTAGTATTTCAATATCTCTTGTTCCTCCTTAGCGAATCCAGGAGACTCTAGTATTTTCATAAATCATCCTATTCCATCACTCCCAATAAAGAATACATCTGTGCGCGAATAGCAAAAATTAGGTTTAGACCAAAGCAAATAGCCAACTTTGCAAGATTGATAGATATACCTGAGGTAGTTGCGTAAGTACAAAGGGCATCTTAAAGTACTTGCACCTCGCTAGCTATGACCTTAAAAAAGAATACACTATCATCAACATAGAAGAGGTGTCTTATCATCAACGCCCCACGAGCTATTCGACCAATACAATTCTCGACTATGGATTGAATCAAACGAGTAAGACCTTCATGCCATTATAAAGAAATAAGGGGAGATAGGGCCATCTTGTCGAATACCTCTCTTTAACATAAGTAGGCGATTTAATATTGGTAATAAAAAAGGTAGTAATGCGATTGTGAAAACCCATTTCTTGAAAAACTTTTTCCAAATAGGGCCATTCCATGCGGTCATATGCTTTTGATGATTGAGTTTTTCGGTAAGTCAACCTTCCCAATGAAGGGTTAGTTTTCTCCGAGTGTCGTGTCTCTCGAGGAGTGGACGAAGGGAATTAGCTAATTTTTCTAACTAGACGAAGGTTTGGACGGGTCTGAAAGTCTTCTCGATTTGATTTGAAAATAATAATAAAATAAACTACTGGATGCTTTTGAGAAAAAGAAAATAAATAGTACGGGTATAGGACTAGACTTCGGGCCAAGGCATCATCTGAGTTAACTACTGTTGTCACATATTTAATCAATAATTGGAATAATAATATTTCTGTCACAAATATTTCATTAACTTATCCTCTCTCAAGGCAACATTAATGTGTTCTAAAAAGTTTGGCTTAATTAATTTTATATCCTCATAGACAAGGCAAAAACTAATTTCCAATAATTAATTAATTTTTCTCTCGATATAACTAATTAATTTAACAATAAAAATAATTCTAGAACAATTATTCCAACTATTAAATAAACATACAGAGTATATGCCCAAATTTAGCCAAGACCCTAATCTGGGCCCTAACCCATACTAGATATCAACAGTGCATAAAAGAAACGAACATTTTATTAAAATTGCAAGTATTTAAACTTACAACAGAGAGCAGAGTTGGAGCCACTTTGGGACAACCGGAACAAAAGTAAACTAAAATATTAAAATATAACTGAGAAAAGAGCGGAGAATGGAGTTCCGGGCCTTAAAGACCCGGATTGGNGGGCGAATGCCTCCTTTTATAGGAGAAATTTTCGGTCCAGGCCTCTGACAGGCGTGGGCCTGAGGTGGAGGCGCACGCCTGAACTAGTGGAGAATGCGGCTAAGATTTGCACGCAACTTCGGTCGTCAAATTTCCATGCTCCCTTTTTGTTAACTTTTTCTTTCTTTGTTTTTTTTGAATGATTGAAATTGTGGATTTGTGGTGGCTGCAAAATGTGACGTGCCACCTTGCTGCTGCTGCTACAGTTGGCCGGCCAGCCAGGTTGCGCCACGTGGCAGCACCTGGTTGGCCGGATTTTGATCCGGTCCGAAAATATTTTCTAAAAATACAGTCTTGCTCAAAATTTTATTCTGAACAACTTTTCCTTCTGTGCCGACTTCAAATTCCGAACAAATCTCTTTGCTCCGTTGTATTCTATTTGCACAATCTTTTACCTTTTTGTACCACTTTTGACTCAATTTTTATTCTTTTTACAACAAGACATAACTTTTGTACACTTTTGCAATTATAAATAAAAGATATAAAAACCATTGAGAAATTGATTTGTTTAATCCAAAATTAGACAATAACACATTAAATATAGAGAAGATAAGTGCGTACAAAACGGACTTATCAGCTTTGCTGATGTCAATCTTCAAAGCTACACATCCCTCTCGACCACGTCTCTTGTTCCTCAGAAAATGCATAAATTCAAATTAAAAGCGGTCGCACCATAATCATGGTCCATGGATATCCAAACCTAGCACAAATCCACTTTGAGCCTCAGAAAAAACAGAAAGTAGAACTTTAACACATATAACGATCATCTTACTTAAGATCTCGTATAGAACCTTGCAAAGAGCAATAGGGTGTAAACCACCCATGTCCTTTGGTTGGGGTTTCTTTGGGATTAAAATTATATCTGTCGTGCCAAGTGAATCCGGAATGAAACCCAAGTTGAGTGGACTTGTACAATTGAACTTTTACATTAAAAACTTATACGCAGGTTCAAATTTACAAAAGTTCACTCTAGCACTGTCCGACAGAGTGTTCAGTACTTTCGAGACCAGTTTGATGGTTTATTGCATCATCAGGTACATTATTATTACAAATACAATGAATATTAGAATATTTAGTGTAACCTTTGTATCATTACAATGTTTGATTACAATGCAGGTGATTTGGGAGTCGTATATCGTTCAAAATATTTCTGCTTACTGTAGGGCGGTGCAGGCCCTTTGGTCATACGAGGGTGTAGTTATTTACTAATTGCATGTGGAGCCCATCATGCCAAAGAGGTTTGCATGACAGTGTGGGAAATTGCAAGCTATACCTGAACTCCTATTTTCGCATGAAGCAGATCATTATCCACCCTCCGGTATTGGTTCCCTTAATGCATTTACTGAATACGTTCGTGTATGGAGAGACGATCGTCTAAACCATGTAATCCTTGACAAATGGTCCCTCTAAACTCCCCACTCAACGTCAGAGTGGATTTAGTAGCCGGTTATAGAGATTGATTTGCTTTTTGTGGGATCCTAACCACCACCGGTTTACAGAGTTTTAACAATATGATTAAAGGATGTCAAATGTTATCGATCACTACCATTTTGAGTATGTCTTATAGCAAAATGGTTGAATCTTTTACAAAACGGGACAAGACTGCTCTTGATTGGCAACAAAAAACTTTTGTATCACTCTGAAAATTTTGAACATCTTACGAAGCTGCGAGCGAACGAAACTAAAGTGGGTTGTTGCAAACTACGACAACCAATATGTTACTAGTCATACTTCTCGAACAGATCCATCATCTATATACAGCTACATGGTGGATCTCGAGAATAGAGTTTGCACTTGTGGTCGATGGTGTTCCGATGTAGTCCCATGTGTTCATGTTCATGCTGTTTTCACTCTAAGCGTCAAGGTGCTGACAGTCTCATCCCACCGGTATACTCCGTTCAAAATTATCTATAGTGTTATAGTGAACTGATTCAACCCGTTATTTTTCAACCCAATTTTGATATTGGTGACTTTCATGTCAATCTGCCAACAAGACCAGAGGGAGAGATTCCACGTTCATGAAGGCGTAAGCGTAACCGATACGTTGTCGAGATGGACCGTAGAGCAACTAGAGAAGGATGAATGTATACGTCTAGCACAATAAATGTAACTTTATTGGTCTTTTTGTTAGATGTGTCTTCCCAGACCCTACTGTAGTGGGATTCAACTGGGTTGTTGTTGTTGTTTGTTAGATGTATCTTGTTCAATAAAAATTTCTTGCATAATTTTTTTGTTTATCAAAATATTTATTATATTGGAGTGTTTGTGATGCACCTCCCATGCAAAATAGGTAATTATTTATATTATTTAAAATAATCGGGATTCTAAAGCCCAAAAATTAAAAACAAAATAGAATGTGTATTTGAGATACCGTTAAAAAAACAAAAAAATAATCAAAATTTGAAATACCGTTCTTCACTTCTTCCCAAGTACGATTTTCTTGCAGAAATACTTCCCTCTAGCGTAATTTCTCCTATCAAATTTAAGTACTTTCTAAATGTACTATTTCTATTTCAAAATTAACTTCGCATGTATAAATAGAACAATTTCTAAGAAAAAGGGGATATGTATAGTTAAAATTTGGACACAGGTGAGAGAAAGAACATGAATCACATATTTTTATTCTTAAAAGGAAAAAGAATATTATTTTTAGACATACAAAAAAAGAAAGTACGAAGTCAATTTTAGGGTAGGGCAAATTCTTCCAAAGGACACAAAATTCATGCTCATTTTATAAATCTTAGTGTATTTGTAGCATAAAAGAGATGAACCTTTTGCAAAATAGAAATATCCACATTAAAGCCCATGAAAAATATGAGAAGTCCACATTTTAAATGTAGACCTTAGAACCATGTAAGCAACACTCTTTAGGTAGAAGGTAGTACTCCCTCTGTCCCAGTATATTAGTCCAGTTTGACTTTTTTGAGTCAAATTGGACAAACTTTGAGCTTCAATAAAATAAAAATCGTTATGTATTTTAACATAAAAATGACTTTATTCGATTTATCGTATTGAGAACTTTCAAAATTGTATTTCATTATGCTAATATGCAATTTAAATTGAGAGAGTAATTGGAGTTCAAAGTTTGTCCAGTTTGACTCGAAAAAGTCAAATTGGACAAATACACTGAGACAGAGGTAGTATTTGTTAGTTTAACTAAATTTTACATACTACCAGGAGTAAACTTGTTTAACATTTTTTTAAATTCAAATACTCAGTTCGTTTCATATGATACAAATTACTCAGTAATACGGAGTATGTTTTTTTTTTTGTTTTGCAAAATCTAACCCTTTTATGAAAAAAAGAGGTTGAGAATGCAGTTTTTTACAGGAAAGGGGGGGGGGGATATGAAAATTATTTCTGTTTATTTATTCAAATGGGGCTTTTTGGGACAAAATAATGGTAATTATCATCAACATATGAAATATAGAAGTAAAACATGCCATTTCTTTTACAGTACATTTCTATAACTAGCCGCAGTGAAGAAACTCCACCTCTTTAGTCATCATCATATGAAATATGGAAGTCCACAGCACAGCCAGGTGCCTCAGGATCTTCAGCACCACAGCAGTCATAAAACTTGGCTGCATAAGGAGGGTCATTTGGTCCCAACTCGTAGTACCTTTATTGTATAAAAGATTGTTAACAACTTCCCTATATCGATATAAAAAAAAGGTGATGAGAGCAAATGCCAAGTGCTAGCTTTAGTATCAAGAACAATAAAGCATAGATCTCACTCTAGAACTCTCAATGGCCACCTTACTCAGATTCTCAACGTGGGAAAACGGGAACAATATGTACTAATTCTTGAATGACTGGCTTCAGAGTTTGGATGCACCAGCCATTATAAGAAGCAAGTTAATAAATTAATCTAGATTAACGTATAGGTGATTTTATTGTCATCACACTATTTTGGGTAATTAGATTTACTGACTAAATGTGAAACCATAAGAAATATTGATAAGAGTTAATTAGGAGGTGTGGACTACACACTCATTCAATCATATTATGAGTTTCAGCACTTAGAAGCGGGGGCATAGGGGGCGGTAGCCCTAGTGGCGGGGTCCTAGGGGAAGAGCCCCTTGTTGGGGTTCCAAGTCAGCTTGAAATTTTTTATTTTGGTAAGTGTTGCCTTTTGAAAAACTCAACAAATTTTGAATGACTTTGAGAAAGGGCACTGAAGTATTCGAGTACTTCTAGTGAGTTTTCACGAAAAGGATGAATCGCCTAGTCTTTGAATACTGAAAGCTACTATTTGAATGCTTACATCTAGTGACTTTCACGAAAGTCTGGGACGCCTTAATATTCGAATACTACAACTGAGTATTCGAATGCTACCTGAAAAGTTGTGTTGGTTCATTTTGACTACTACGCTTGAGTATTTGGATATTAGACGAACAGTGGAGCTGGTTCGTCTAAATTGGCACGTCTGGTTGGATTTCTTCTACAAATATGAAGATATTGTGGTATGTTTCAAACAACAAAAAATCCATACTCGTTCTAGACTTCTAGATACTTTACATCTTATCTGAGTAAAGAATTTTGGGTTACCACCCAAATTACTTTAATCTCAACGTGTTATTACAATTTGTAAGTCTATCCCGATCGTTCTAGATACTTTACATCTTATCTGAGTAAAGAATTTTGGGTTACCACCCAAATTACTTTAATCTCAACGTGTTATTAAAATCTGTAAGTCTATCATGCTAGATTTCATAAATTCAGTTTACTCCGAAAAACGCAGCAATGCTGCACAAAGCCATTAGATATTTTCCAACATAACCCCCAAGGAATTCTGAAACTGGCAGCTAAATGCCTACTGCTTGCAAGTTACAACCTTCTAAACTAATTCAACAGTACTTAATTCATAAAAATTGGTATTTAATTTGAATAAAAATAAAAATAAGAAACAACTATTAGATTCCCTTGTGTTCCGTCCTTGAGTAAGTAGACTTATAAACAACAAAAGATCTTTGAACATTGAACCAATGGAATGGAAAAAGGATGAAAGGGAATGTGCATGGAGAGTGAGTGATAGAAGGTAAAAGGGGTATCCATAGACGAGGATAGCAAAACCTGAAAAAGTGTATGGACTATGGACATAAACTGGTAAGAATCATTGTACTAGAGACCAATTAATTAAATGAATCCGGAATAAGGAAAGAGAGCTGGATTTCAAAACTCTAAAGTGAATTTGAATGTAAACTCTCAAATTAGAACATACTCCCTTTGACCCACTATCTTTGCCTCTCTTACCATTTTTGACCGTCCAAAAATCTCTTTCCCATTACGTACTTAATCTAATTTTAACCCAACTTGACAATCTGATCAGGCACAAACAAAAAGTTTTAGATCAGAGATATTTAAATTTGACATTAGAAACTTCCAGACGAGATAAAAAAATTCAAGATAAGTTCATACCAGGTGAGAAAGATTAAAACAAAATCAGCCAGGCCTGAAAACTTAAGAGAAGATGATCATGTGTTTTATCAAGCTCAAGGAAAAGGTCATCAATATTCAACACTACTTCAATGATACTCTAAAATCCTCACCTTCAAGGCCTTTGTGAGAAGAAAGTATTATCCCACATTCCTTAGTCGATCAACCATAGACAAAGAATATATACTACGTAGTTTCTAATGTTTGGTGTATATGATATCGGTGACTGTTGCTACTACTTCATCAGTTCATGATATCCTTGGACCTTCAATTTTGAACGTGATTGTTAAAAGATTGAGACATATCTGATAGAATTTAGGATTGGGTATGGACAACTGGATTGGACAACAAGACACTTGGGTTGAACCACATTAAAAGATTGAATCCAATCGATTAGTTAGTTCAACTCAAGGGCTTATATACCGGTTTATTTTCTCTCCAAGTTCCGATGTGGGATATTCTTTAACACTCCCCTCAAGTGGACAACCGGGCCATTTTGAATCTAACCGGTTGACCACTTGCAAATGGACTCTCATCCTCTTGATTTTTTTTTTGAGCGCCAACACCTAAAGGACCACGAGCCGCTGGGTATGGACTTCCAGACGAGCAATCGTGTTAAACAGGCCACAGGCCGTTGGGTACAACCTCCATACGGACAACTGGGCTAAAGACTAATGGGCCGCTAGGAATGAACGTCTAGACGGACACCTTGACAAACGAGGTGGGCTAAAACTGGCTCTGATACCATGATAGAATTTAGGATTGGGTATGGACAACTGGATTGGACAACAAGACACTTGGGTTGAACCACATTAAAAGATTGAATCCAATCGATTAGTTAGTTCAACTCAAGGGCTTATATACCGGTTTATTTTCTCCTCAAGTTCCGATGTGGGATATTCTTTAACAATATCTGCCATTGAAATCCAAAACCCCCAAAAAGAAAAGGGAAATATTCATGTAAATACTCTAAAAAAGTACTCCGTAGCAATTATACAAGAATACTCCTAGAAGACAATAATGATCCAAAACTTAGAAGTATACACTTTGATAAACTGAAAGTCGCCTACAACCAATCGAACGAACCAGACATAAATCTGAAAGAATAAACAAATGACACTGATAAATTGAGAGTCGCTGATTGAAGTAGAAAATTACCTCTTCTGATCATCGTGACGGCGGCAGACGAAAAAGGAAGGATGAAATCGGCAGGAAGAAGAGGTGTTGGAGCGGGAAGTGAACGCAAGCTTGCATTTCTTGCAAACCTTCTCGTGCTCTTCATTCACCATCTTCGCATCCTTTTCCATTCTCGAGAAACTCAACCGCTTCCGGGTGCATCGCAATTTTCTGATTCATATACAATTATATACAACATAGTAATTTTATGATTTAAGTAACTCGTGTATAAATTTCCTTGTTTGTTACTATTAATTTCTTAGTTCTTTCCTCCTGCGTTGCATGGGTCATAGTTAAGTTATTAAATTAAAATCATTTTTAAATGGTATAAATGGGTATATAATGAAATATAGAGATTTCATTATTTTAAAGTATAAAAGTTAGTTAAATGATTTGTAATTTCAAAAAAACTTCTTTATAAATTACATTACTCGTATAATTCTTCTCTTTGTTGTATATCAAGATCTTAAAGCCATTGCGACTTATTAGTTTTTAAACTATAACATACAGTTTCCCATGACTAAATATCGGTTTCCGTAACAATAATTCAACATGTTTCAAATATTGCCACTGACAATAATTTAATAATTTGACATATTTGGCAATAATTAAACATATTAATGTATTTATTTTGGAATTTGTTGTTTTTTAAATTTATTTTCATATTTAAATGGTACTATTTACTTACCCTGCGGTATTTATTTTCAATTTTACTTTAGAACACTTACTATTTTTACACATGTCCATGTTTGTAAATTATAGTATTAATAGTATTAATTCTAGAACACTTACCATTGTTACGCGTTTCTATGCTTATAGTATTAATTTATAATTTTTTATTTTTGTATTTAAATGGTACCATTTACTTATTGTACCATATTTATTTTTTAATTTATTTGATAAAATTTACAATTTTTACATGTTTCCATGCTTGTAAATTATAGTATTAATTAATAGTATTAATTTGTAGTTTTTCTATTTTATTTTTGTATTTAAATGGTACCATTTACTTACCGTAACATATTTATTTTCTAATATATTTTAGGACACTTACAATTTTGAGATTTATTTAGAATACTTTCCTAATTCATTTAGAACACTTACCATTTATTTTATTTTTGTGTTTAAATGATACCATTTGCTTACCGTACTGACCAACCGTACCATGTTTATTTTCTAATTTTCTAATTAAAACACTTACCATTTTTAAAACGTTTTCATGTTTTTAAATTATAGTATGAATATTAATTTGTAATTTTTTACTTTATTTTCGTATTTAAATGGTTCTAAGTACTTACCAAACCACATTTATTTTCGTATTTAAATGGTTCTAATTACTTACCAAACCACATTTATTTTCTAATTTATTTCAGAACACTTACCATTTTTAGATATATTTTATTTTCTATTTTATTTTAGAACACTTACCTATTTTATTTTAGAACACTTACCATTTATTTTATTTTCATGTTTAAATGATACCATTTGCTTCATGTACCAACCTACTGTACCATATTTATTTTCTAATTTTCTAATTAGAACACTTGCCATTTTAAAATGTTTTCATGTTTTTAAATTATAGTATTAATATTAATTTATATTTTTTTATTTTCGTATTTAAATGATACTAATTACTTACCGAACCATATTCATTCTAATTTATTTTAGAACACATACCATTTTTATATTTGTTTTATTTTCTATTTTATTTTAGAACACTTACCTAATTCACTTTAGAACACTTACCATTTATTTTATTTTCGTGTTTAAATGGTGTCATTTGGTTATCGTACCTTACCGTATTTATTTTCTAATTTTTGAATTAGATCATTTACCATTTTTAAAACGTTTCCATGCTTGTAAATAGTATTAATATTAAATTGTAGTTTTTTATTTTATTTTTGTATTTAAATGTTATCATTTACTTACTGTACCATATTTATTTTCTAATTTGTTTTAGAAAATTTACCATTTTTATACGTCTATGCCTTTAACTTTTAATATTTTTAGTTTTTTAAAATAGCTCATTCAAATCCCGCCCATAATTTATTAATTTGTATTTTTTATTTCATTTTACATTTTTAAATGATAGCGTATTTTATTTCCATACTATAATTCTCGAGTGGTTCACTACTATTTAGTTTAATTTAATTTAAATACCTAAATGGCGCAGCATTTAAATAAATTATAAAAATGAAAACATACTTAAAATTGAAGGAAAAATTGAGGCAAAATATTTAAACTACCATTTGTGTTGTCAACACTTTCTATATATGAGTCTCACGTATGGGCGGGAAAACATTGAGGAAATATTCCCCTTTTTTTAAATAAAGTATAGATTAGTCATTGTAAAAGATAATCCTTGATTCTTACTATTATTATTTTATTCCATTATTATCTCCTATTACCTTGTTTACATAATTCCTAATTGTGTAACTCCCCTTAATTTAGGCGTATAAATTCCCTGATCTTTAGGCTAATAACTACGAGCTCATTGAGTGCCTTTAAATCTTTAATGTATTCAACTATATATGTAACCTTTGTAAAAAGCTAATGAATCAATCATTCCTTGATATTATATGGTATGAGAGAAGTAAACAAAAAAATATAATCCAATTGTGCTATTGCACCTCATTCTCTCGATCATCCTCTTCGATCTGTCTCTTTCATGGCTCTCACGACCCAAATCACAAAGGACACCCCCATTATCCAACTTCATGCTAAATCGCATTTCCCTATTAAGTTGATCTCTACCAACTTTCTCATATGACAACGCCAAGTTCAGTCCATACTCATTGGACTTGATCTACTTGGTTATGTCAATGGTACACTAATTGCCCTGCCCAAGGTTGTTGATGCCACACCAAATCCATGTTACTCGACTTGGTTTCACAAGGACGAAGCTATCGTTGGCGTCTTCCTTGATAGTTTTTCTCGGCCCCTAATTTCTAATGCTGAGACGGCTCACATGGCTTGGCAAAGTCTCAACTCTACCTTTGCAAGTGCAAGACGTGTTCGAATTATTTCCCTCAAATCCTAATTTGGCAAAAATCCATGTGGAAATCGCTCCATTGCTAAGTATCTTAAAGACATGCACTTCATTGCCAACGAACTTGCTCTTGTTCAATGTCTGGTCTCTGAAGAAGATCTTGTCGTGCATGTGTTGAACTAAGTCGGCTCCGAATATGATGTTATCTCGTCGGCAGCTCTCCTTCATCCTACGTCTATTCTATTCACAGAATTGGGTGACATTTTGAAGGAACATGAAGCAAAAATTCAAACTTCTGATGATGTGCATTGGTTTTGGATTATTTTTTCTCTGTGAACTAGTTACTTCTAGCAAACTTCAGGTAGCTCATGTCCGCTCCTATGATCAATTGGTAGATGTCCTCACGAAACCTTTTGCCCGTACATTGTTCACGTTTTGATCAAAGATTGGTGTCTCCAACGGACCCCCCATATTGCGAGAACGTGTAGAAGATAATCGTTGATTCTTACCATCATTGTTTATTCCATTATTATCTCCTATTACCTTATATACATAATCCCTGATTGTGTAACTCCCCTTAGTTTAGATGTATAATTTACCTGATCTTTTGGCTAATAATTAGGATTTCTTTTCGTGTCCTTTAATGTATTTAACTATACGAGCAACCTTTGTAAAGAACTAATGAATCAATGTTCATTGATATTATAGTCATACACATAATTTATTCTACCAATGGTTATTTAATGTTGATAAGGAATTTGAACTTATGACGTTACAAATGAAACAAAAGTATGATAATTATTGGGGGACATTTCAAAATTCACCAAGGTTCCCATGACATTGGGTTCCAATGTCATGGGATGACCCGGGGGTGCTCCGGTGCTCCGTTCGTAAAATTGACGATTCCTACCCCCATAACCCCCGGTAAAACCCCCCACCCCCGACCCGAACACACCCCTACCCCCGTCAATTGCACTCCACAAGTTGATTTTGACTTTGGAGTCAAATTTTGACTCCAAAGTCAAAATCAACTTGTGGGGTGCAATTGACGGGGGTAGGGGGTGTGTTCGGGTCGGGGCGGGGTGGGGGGGGAGGTTACTGGGGGGTTATGGGGGGTAGGAACCGTCAACTTTACGAACAGGGCACCGGAGCGCCACCAGGTCATCCCATGACATTGGAACCCAATGTCATGGGAACCTCACCCTTCAAAATTTATCTAGTGATTTATATGTGAATAATTATTGATCCATGCATGAAATATATATAGAGATTCAATTTAGTTTACATTTTATGTACAATGCGGTGAAAGGGGGGAAAATAGCCAAAGAGGTAAAGAAGTTTGCAGAAAAATTATTTGAGTATAGACAAATGCATGCTCCCTCAAGCATTAAAAGTGGGAAAAGCTCCGTTTTGGTTCAAACTATTCCATCTTCCAAAGGAGGAAGTGTAGACCTCATGAATTCTATAAGTGAGTAAGTGAAAATGAAGATGAGAGGATGTGACAAGGGAAATAAGTTTTTGAGAACATAATTTGGTAGACATTTGGATGAGATAATGGGTTTCATGAAGAGAGAGAGGTATTGACTTGATAGAAATTTAATGAATCAAAGTTCTCTATAGTGGCACACATGGCTCGTGAGAAATTAGTTGTACCCGTGTCAATGGTTGCACCGGAGTTTGCATTTAGTGCGGGTTGGAGTCATTTGGATCAATTTCAAAGTTCTCTAACACCTAAGGTGATGTAAAATATTTTGCGATTTTTAGTTTAAAGTATTTTTTTAAAAAAATTGCATCGTGTTTGATTTCACTAATGCTTGTCAAACTTATAATAAAAGGTGGTTCAAGCTTTTATATGTGCCCAAGATTGGATTTGTCCAATCTTCATAAGAAAAAAGTTGATATGGAAGATAAGTTAGAGAAGTTCTAGAAAGGTATTAAAACATTAATACTATATGCATTTTATTTCACATATTTTATTTTTTATATATAAGAAATCTACAGAGTATTTGTTTTGATATTTGAAGGATGTGAATATAGAATATGACTTGATCTTCATGAATAAATAAATAGCTCATTGTTGCAGGTTTGAGAGATTTGAAATAAACTTGAAGTATGTGTATGAATTTCTTTTAGTTGGATGTGTTGTGGTTTTTAAAAGCAAAACGTTATTGATCAACAAAGTAAATTAATTTAATTTATATTTTATGTTTTTAAACTCAAGGTTAATGTCTTTGACAAATCGTAAGTGCGGAACTGTCATATCTGTAAATATATCTGTAGGTGCATGGAGTCATGGGCCATGGCAATTTAGAATATTTTCAATGTTTTGAATATTTCCAATTGGATTTCTTACTCATTGTTTGTTTTTTGCTTTTTAAGGGGTTTGTTTTATTTAGATGTTTGTTTTTGCTTGGGAAAAAGTTATTACTTTTTGCTTTTCTTAGGTCATGGTTGTTGGATTATGAAGCTCATTGACTTCATTGTGTATGTGTTTGGACTGCAGATTATGAAGTCTTTTGTAGTACATATTTTCACGAGAATTGAAATCTAAATTTAATTTTTTAGCTTGGATTCGTTCCTTTCGGTCTGGACCAATTCGGTCTATATTATATTAATATGGTCCGGTCCAAAACCAAATACACTTAGGTCCGGTCTTCAATCTGCATTTTGGTATAATTCGGTCCTTAGTCTTTGGTTCGATTTGGTTCGGTTTAGTCCGTTTTTAGACCGATGAACACCCCAAGTGGAGGGGAAGACAGGGAAGAGAATCTGAGCCATCCGCTTGTTTGGTTTAAAAACTGAAGAGTAGAAGACCAAAATTTTAACTTCAATTTTTTTTCCATCTCTTCCGAATCGGACGAATTCTACATTCGTCTCGTCCTCTTTTTTGATCCTCCGTCAATTTTTTCTTCTCATTGCCATTTTAAAAATTTAAAAATAAAATAAAAAATAAAAAAATGATTTAGAATAAATTAATAAGTAATAATAATAAATAAAAATAAACAAATAAGTAATGATAAAATAAATAAATAAATAAATATAAATAACAAATAGAAATTAATAACAAAAACTTATAATGATAAAACCAAACAATAAATAATAATAATAATAATAATAATAATAATAATAAAATTAAGTGTATATTAAATTAAAAAATTAATAAAAGAATAAAAATAAAAAGTAAAAACTAATGATAAAATAAAAATGAATAAAAAAATTATAAAATAAGCAACAAGATCGAATAAGATAAATTAATTATAAAAACCAAAGTAATAAATAATAAATAAGTTAATAATAATAAATAAATACATAATTGATTTAAAAATTAAAAGTAAAAATTTAAAAATAAAAATAATAAAAAATAATATTAAAAAAATTAAAATAAAAATTACTGGTCACAATTAAAAAATTGATAAAAAAATATTAAAAATGAGAAATAATAAAAAAAATTAAAAAGAAAACCTTTTCTTCCCCTCATCCTTTCCCATTCCCTCCCACCCACTCCTTCCCCTCCCCCCTTCCAACCATATAGACCCTAATGCACTCTTCTGCTAAGGACAATAACTAGAGCACGATAGAGAATTGTTGATTAATAAATGTGTTCAGAATCAGAGTGTCCTCCCAAATCCATATTTGAGTTTGGTTTCTATTTTCGAATTGAGTTGCATTGATTCAGGAACTCCACTCCTCTACCTACTGAAAATTAATCCATCTAGGTTTTCTTCCCAAAAATTCTCATGAATCGAGATTATTTTGACAAGGGGCTTTGAGCCTATGTCACTGCGCCCGTGCTAGCTCGCATGTAGCCCTGGTTGATTTGATATTGTGGAGGGATTCTACACAAGTCTCTCGGTGTCTAATTCTTGGCTACAAAATTTGTATTGGGGAATTCCTTTGGTATTGAACGCCAATCTCTGCAATTCAGCTTCAAATCCGGCAATCTGGGTATCTAAATCCACTTTTGGCCTCCATGGATCTTTATTCAATTTTGAGGTTTCGTCTTTCTTTCAGGACGTGATTATATACTATGTGCACCTGAGGTTTCATTCAAATCATTTGGGCGGATGGATTTCCTGGGAGAAACGACTGCTGGGTATGATAATTGTGGCAGCCTTCCTGGAATGAATGACCATGCTCTTTGGGCTACTGAGGATGATTATAGAGCCTGGAATGAAGGTGGCGGGTATGAGCCCCCGAACAAGAAATCCCGTACCTCACAGGGCTCGGAGTCTCAAGTCGTAGTCCCTATCAGATCCAAAGCCATTGGGAAGATGTTCTTCAAGACCAAACTGTGTTGCAAGTTCCGTGCGGGGGTCTGCCCCTATATCACCAACTGCAACTTTGCTCATGGGCTTGAAGAGCTTCGCAAGCCGCCTCCTAATTGGCAGGAGATAGTCACTGCTCATGAGGGAGGGGTGGGATTTGAAAACTACAGAGAGGAACACCAGATTCCAATAATGACTTCCCCTGAATCGCGGGCCGACTTTCAGAGGTCTCACAAAGGAAGGCACTGCAAGAAGTTCTATACCGAAGAGGGTTGCCCGTTTGGAGATAGCTGCACCTATATTCATGATGAACAGGCGCGGTCTAGGGAGAGTGTTGCCATTAGTGTGACTCCCACCATGGGCGATTTCGATAAGAATAACTCAACAGCGATGTACCAAAAGCCCACCAACTGGAAGACAAGGATTTGTAACAAGTGGGAAACAACGGGGTATTGCCCATTTGGCACCAAGTGCCGTTTCGCTCACGGGGCAGCAGGTAAGGCTTAAATTCTAATTGTTCTCACCAACTGACGATACCATCCTTCATTCCTTCTTGTTCATCTGTTCAAATTTGTGTTAGTTTACCTCATTTTATCTGAAAAAATGAATTTTATTTCTAATAGAAGTCTATTTAATCATTTGATAATCTGATATAATATGATGGAGAGAATGTGTAGTGTTTTAAAAAGAGCTAGCCAGTAGTGAAGTAATCAAGGTCACACAAGATTTAAGTTGAACTAGGAAAAAGAGTTGAACTGGGTGGGATGCTGTGACCTAAGAGGAAAAGAATTAATCCTAAGCTTCCAATAAGAGCCTAGAGCATTACAATTCTGCATTTTATGCTTGACAGACTGTGTTAGTTTACCTCTTTCAACTTGGCAACTTTGTTCTTTGGGCTATTAGATATGGGGAGTCATGCAGTCTGAGTGTGTAGGGAGGAATTGAAAACGAAAATTAGAATAAAGATTCATCATTTGTTTGTATGGTGGGGGGTATTGAGCGTGCAGTCTTGATTCCTGAGATCCGTCTGTCATTCCATACATTAGAACAACAACAACCCCGTTGGATCCCATGTAGGGTCTGGGGAGGGTGTGTGTAAGCGGACATTGCCCCTACTTGAAAGTAGAGAGGCTGTTTCCAAGAGACCCCCGGCTCAAGCTACACAAATAAAGTCATTCCATACATTAATGAGCACAAAAACAGATAATTGAGTGTGTAAAAATGGAAGTAAATGGTGGAAAATTTTGGGAAGGAATTGGCTAAGGAGTCTGTTTATACAGTGGTCAAGAGGGTCTTTTATAATAAATGTTATCCTAATACAAAGGAAGTAGGTTCTGGTACGTTTATATGGCATGACGTAGTCCTTGTCGAATATAGATACTAAATGAATGTGCAGATAAAAGTATACCTGTTATACGGTTCCTTGAGAGATGAAGGAATTCCAAACAAATCACATTGGCTTATTTATGCAGTCTTCTCTTCTAGTCTCTTCCTATTCTTGAGTCTATGACCAGAAACCCATGCTTTTACCAATGACTTATTTTCCTAAAATCTCATCAGCAATGTTTGAGAAACTCTTCAAATGACCAACATATGCTAACAGGCTGAGGCGGTCTTTCTATGTTCCCTAAATCCCAATTTGAATGCCGGAAAATGTTAGGAAATGAAACTAGAGAGGAGGCTTGAATTTGGCAGAAAATAAAAAATTCGTTCAAGTTCAAATCTAAGTATACTCCTCCGTCCCAGTAAACTTTACTCACTCTCTTTTTGGAGCTCCAAAAAAAAAAAACTTTCTAGTTACTTTATTTCTGTTTTTTGTAATGAACCAGTGGTCCACGAAATTTCTCTCATCTAAAAAGATTCCAGCAATACACTAACACTTCTTCAAACTTTATTAAAGTCAAACGGGTAAAGGTTTTTGGGAAATGGGTAAAGATCTTAAAAAGTTCTAGTCAAATTTAAAAGTTCATTTTTTTTCGTGTGAAACCTCATACCTAAAACTCCCAATTTCATTGGCATCCAATTCAGCGCTGAACTGTGTATCAATTTCTGCATGTTTCACAAGGTATCCAATCGTGTGCTTACCTCTTGCTTTGAATACCTTGGCCGGAATAATGGAATCATCTTGGAAAGTGGTATGATACAATTTGATAATAATTGGTCTTATTGAATAATGAAGGATACCTCGTTATATATAGAGATTACAAGAGAGTTCTAATCATAGTAGGAGAAGAACTATAGTAACTGTTATTCCTAAAACAATAAAATAAAGAAGGTAATAAATAATACAGAGTAATTTTTTATTTCCTAATACATCTATTATTCCTAATATGGCATTATTCTTGTTTATGTACTAATAATGTCATCTCTTTAAATATATTTTATGGCATGCAGAACTGCATAATTTTGGTGGAGCTCAAGTAGAGGGCGAAGGAAAAGATTCTGCTTCAGATATAAAACCAGGAGGAGGATCCTCCTTAAAGCCGGTTGATCTGAAGGTGGCCTCGACAACATATCTTCCCAGTAACAACACATCTCAGAGGAGGCCTATTCAGAAGTGGAAAGGACCGAATAAAATAAGTAAAATCTACGGTGACTGGATAGACGATATGGACTGATAAGAGGGTGGGGTTCTATGTTCTTGAATGTAAAAGTTTCTCAGCTGTGGTGAAATAAAGCTTTTGACCAATTCGCCCTCCGTTTCTTGTGAGTTTGGAGCTTAACTGGAATATTATATATCTCTTTTTCAGGTTCAGATCATGTTGTTGCTCTATGTAGTTTATGTACCATAGTGAGTGATATAAACTAACTTGTTCAAAACAAAATAAAATAAAAATCACGTTCTCTCTGCCCCAAACTAATTGTCATTTTAGCTATTTTGTCCCAAAGTAACTGTCCTCCTAAGAATTTTTTTACATGTTTTAGGCTATGTTCCCTTCAACTAATTTGATTGAATCTGATCTGATTAAAATAAGATCTGATCTGATTTGATTCCAATAAGAATAAGTAATAAGTAAAAAAAATAAGTTGGGGAGAATATGGCCTTACTAATCTCACAGATATGTGATATTTATTTACTTTTCCTGCATTTAACATTTTTTATTGTTTAAAAAGAAATTAGAAGTGTTTGATGTTAGCTTGAATAAGAATAGAGTGGTTATCTTTTAGACCATCTCCAATAGATTATGTTAGACTATATATAAAAGTCATTCTTGTGCCATAACCTGAAGCTTGAGTTTTTAGTTGAATTGGTTTCTTGATATGGTATCAGAGCCTTGATGACCAAGTAATCACAAGTTCAAAACTCAGTGTCACCCAGTTTTAAAAAAAATTAAGGTTTCACGTGCATGACTCAAAGAAATCACACCTGCACGTGAGGGGGCGTGTTAGACTATATATAAAAATCATTCGTGTGCCACAACCTAAAGTTTGAGTTTTTGGTTGAGTTGGTTCCTCGACGGATTACACTAAACTCAAACCTAAAATGCAGTAAGAACTCAAAATGTAGTAATTTATTTCCAACCAATTACATCAAATTCAAAAAAACATATTCATGTAAACTGAAATATTGAAGAAAACAAATAAAAAATCCCTGAAGTGGAGGCATCAAAATCAAAGCAAAAAAAACCTAGAAATTCGACTCTCGCAATAGATGAACTCCTTGTTAATTTGGGTCTGGTTTGAAGAATTCAATCTTGAATCTGAAAATCCATACAACTTTGATGTACCGTTAGGTTTTGGATCTCACTCTTAGGTACATTAGGGTTGTATGGATTTTCAGATTCAAGATTGAATTCTTCAAAGAAACCGTCCTCCAATTTTTTTACATGTTTTACTAATCGTACAGATATGCTATATTTCTTTACTTATCCTACATTTAACATTTTTATATTTTTAAAAGAAATTAGAAGTGTTTGATGTTAGCTTGAAAAGAAGTTAAAAGTGTACCCCATTTGTACACCACCCGGATCCTTATCACACATTTCTTATTTACTTTTCTCTCTTCATATCTCCATTAAGAGATGCGTGGTGGAGACTGGAGAGCTTTTTGGTGTACAAATGGGTACACTTTTGTATACCCATAGCATTTTATAATAATAATAATAATAATAATAATAATATAGGTGTGGGATTTAATCGAATCAAATCAGACTAGATCCAATCAGATCAGACTAGATTCAATCAGATCACACCAAATCAATTCCAATAATATCAAATAAGGGAAAATATAAAAAATAATATTAAGATTTTTCAAGGATTAAATAATAATTACTATTTGATTAAATCGCATTACTTTATTTAAAGCTACACATACCTAAATCTTAATTATTATTTTTATATAATAATAATATGTTATTACTATTATTATTATTTCAACTACAAATCATTATTTCTAGTAATTTCTTAGCTTGTAAGAATGATGCATGAAAGCGATGTTAAATCTTAAAAAGTTGTATTTTTCATACTTTAAAAGAGTTGTTTTAAAATGCTTGTTTATACAAGAATTATACAAAACTTAGTTTTTAAAATCATAAATACTTTTATACTTAAAAAGAATCACTTTTAAACTTTAAAATGGTACAGAGTATAAAATACACAAGGATGAGTTTATGACAAAATTAATAGAGGTGAAAGAAATATTAGTGTTTAAGATTTTATATGATGTTTAATTTGTAACATGTAATATATTATTATGTAATATGAGGATAAAATGTGATATTCTTGTAGAATAGCATCCATATTTTTTAATATTTAGTTATTTTAATAGCGAGTAATAATACACTCTCTTTACTATATAAATACAAATTGATTAATTAGTTTTCATATATCAAAAAAAGTTTAAATATGTCAATGATTTTTTACTCAGTTGAGTTTCTTATTTTAAATTTTTTTATGTATGAATAAATTGTACTCCCTCCGTCCGGAAATTTTCTTCCCATTTTCCTTTTTAGTCCGTCCAGAAATATTCTTCTCATTTCCTTTTTTAGTATGCTTTTTAAGGCTAAATATCAATTATACCCTTCTATTTTATCACAAATCTACTTTTTTAATACTTTTTTAATAATAAAAGGATATTTAAAAGTTTATGGCAAGTGCATTTTTGAAAATTTTGCATTTTTTTACTATTTCTTAATAAGCGTGCCAAGTCAACACGGAAAGAAAATTTCCGGACGGAGGGAGTAATACTTTAAAACTATTAAATTTTGTAATAATTTTATGTTTAATTTAAATAAAATCTAAATTCATTTACACTGGATTCTAATCAGATAAAATAAGATCCAATTAGATCAGACCAAGTCAAATCATTTTCAATTACATCGAGATCTAATCAAATCAGATCAAATTCAATAATTTTCTGGAAGGAGTAACATTTTCCAAAAATGTAACACTTTCAACTCCAAGTGGAGGCATATAATTGTGTACGCGGTGAGGAGAAAGAAAAGCATAAAAAAGCGCATATCTGACATGAGAGCGCCATTCTTGTTCTTAGCTTCTTTTCTTACCGCTTTACTCTTCTTTCCGCCGTTGACGTTCCAGACTCTTTCCGGTGCTAGACGAGAAGAGGCGGCAGGATTTTGCAATCAGGAAATAGAGAGAGAAGATCGATCGAAAAGGATGGATACTTCGAGGTTAGGAGGAATAAAGGATTCAGAACATGCGGCTAATAGCCTAGAGATCGAGAGCCTTGCGCGATTCGCGATCGAAGAGCACAACAAGAAAGAGGTATTTTAAATTTTCAAATCTGATTTCTCTCTGTTTTTTTCTTCATTCAGTGCAATCCACTTAGGGTTTCACGCTTCTGATGGATGTTGCTGATAAGCTTGGTAATTTTTCTGGTTTTGTCTGGCTTTTGTTTTTCTTATTCATTTGCAGAACGGGATGATGGAGTTGGTGAGTGTGGTGGAGGCAGAGGAGCAGGTTGTTTCTGGGAAGTTATACCATCTTACTCTTGATGTGATTGATGCCGGAAAGAGGAAGCAATACAAGGCTAAAGTATGGGTCAAGCCGTGGATGGACTTCAAGGAACTGCAGGAATTTAACTTTGTTAAAGATAGTTGCACCATTACTGCATCTGATCTGGGTGCCAAGAGAGGTAGCTTGCTCTGATCCAAATAGGCAGTCTTTGATATGTTTTTCTGAATTTAGAGAGCATTTAACGTTATATATCATCCAAGTTTGTGGTTACTCGATTTGAATCTGCATTTATTTCATGTGTTCTATTGTATATTGCGCTTTTTATTGAACTGCTCATTTGACTAATTCTGAAAAAGTACTCTCTAAAACTGGGTCTTGCTAGTTTAAGGGCACTGTAATTTATCATCATCATTCTTGTCAATCTCCATGACATGTTTTTTGTGAATGTTCAGTTATTTTTCGTGTGAAAAAGTGGAGTATAGCAGAGGAGGCAGTGCTAACATGTGTGATTTGCTTTTCCGTTTGGCCAAAGTGATTTACTTAATTTTGTTCTTTTCTAGGTCATAGTAGAGTCCCCGATGAGGAGACACGAGTGGCTAATTTTGTTCTTTTCTAGGTTGTAGTAGAGTCCACGGTGAGGAGATGGGAGATGCGAGAGGCTTATGATACTGAATGTGAGAAGTTATATAAGTGGACGTAGGAAGAGTTGGAAGGAGATAATTAGACATGAATTGAGATTTCAAGATCTACCGAGGATATGACCCTAGAAAGGAACGTCTGGAGATCTAGGATTAGAGTAGTTGGATAGACCTCTATGCCCTAGTTTGTAGCTTATGCCATGGTGTTTTTGCCTCAGGCTATTGCTTGTGCTCTTGTGATCTTTATGCATGGGGTCTAGTTGCTGTGTCGGTTTGTATGTTCCTTGTATCTATGCTCTTACCATGTTCATGCCACTGTGTTTACTATGTTGCTTCTGTGGCCTGGAAACAACTTATCTATATCCTAAGTAGGCGTGAAGTCTGCCTGCATACCCCTTTCATAGACCCGATTTTGTGTGGAATTTTACAAGGTTTGTTGTGTTGTTGTCGTCTAGGTCGTAGCAACTTCCTTGCTTTTTATCCTTTTTGGTCTCTTTTAAAGTGATGAATATTGTTGAGAACACAACAAAGGTGGTCTCCATTTTTTAGAATGGAAAAATGGTCTCCATTTCATATTCATCGAAGTAAATTTTTTTTATCCCTTCGCCACCAAAAGTGAACCTCTGACATTGCTATAAATGTTGAATGGCCAAAACTCTTCCATATGGCTTCTCTGGTTTCTCCTTAGTAAACCATTGCATTTGTATTTTCATTTAACCACGTGTCTTTGTCTATTGCATAATTGTCATGGCATCGCCTAGGTGTCCTGGCGGTTAGCTTCTCTTTGTCATGGTGTAACGCCTATCCTTATTTCGCATACCTTGCCTCACCTAGGTGTCCAGGCATCGCCTTTTGAAAATCCTTTATGCCTTTAGTCAGTGAATTTTTCATACTCAGTATTTACTTTGCACTAAGAAGTCGCATATTGTTTTTTAATCATATTTCATATTCTTCTTTTTTTCATATCATGGCGTGAATACCTGTTTTCTTATGTGTTGCCGCATAGGCGGTTGCCTAGCTGTCTTGCGTCATGGTGGTGCATACATTAGAAACAAATATTTTTTTCTCGGGCATCCATCAATAAATTTGATGCCTGATTTGCAGGTGTTTTTTTCATTTACAGTATACATCTGTGGTGTATATAAAATTTAATCATTGTATCTAAAAATTACTTGGCTTTGTATATAAGATGGCCCAGGAACAGGACTGAAATCAGTCCCAAAAGATGATCCAGTTGTCCAGGAAGCTGCAGAACATGCTGTTCATGCTATCCAGCAAAGATCCAATTCTTTAGACACTTATGAGCTTCGGGATATAGTTTGTCCAAAAGCTGAGGTATTCTATTGTTCCTGAATATCATTGATGCCTCTACAATTCTTGAAGATTTCTTACCATGTTGTATAGTGAAATAGTGGAGCTCTCTGGTTGTTTATAAGATAGCGTTTTCTATTGTTCCTGAATATCATTGATGCCTCTACAATTCTTGAAGATTTCTTACCATGTTGTATATTGAAATAGTGGAGCTCTCTGGTTGTTTATAAGATAGCGTTTTCTTGTTCAGCCAACTGAACATTCCTATCCAGATTAAGCGTGGACACTGCATAGTGTTAATGGCTAGTAATAACATAATCAATTTATGTATTAATTGGATTAATGAACTATCAAAAAAGGCATCTACAATCTAATTACGAAGTTTAAAATTGCTGGGTTTATCTGCCGGTGATGAAAATATTTGAGATTGCTTTTTCTTCAATGGCTTTGCACAAATTTCACCATAAAAAACATTCGTTTAATTCATGCAACAGGTCGTCAATGATTCTGCAAAGGTTCATATGCTTATCAAAACAAAGAGGGGAAATGCCGAGGAACACTTCAATGTTGAAGTGCACAAGAGCAGCGATGGTGGTTTCAGTTTAAAATCATCTGAAAAGATCGAAACTCAGGAAAACTGATGAGTACCAACTTGTCGACCATGTGTTTTGTGTTCCATGGAACTGTTCTCTGTTGTGTTGTGTTGGTGTTTACTAATGAATAAATGCCACTTAAGTTATGCCAGTATTGTGTTATTTCTATGGAAAACACTACTCGGCCTTGAGTTGGTGTTTTGAGGCAAGTCAATTGGAAAATGTCTATGGAGTAGGGGAGGATTGAGTCTTGGATATCAGTCTTGGACCGTCAGCTTTTCCCTCAAAAATGGCACTACCAATTGCTCTTGTCGAATGTGTGTTGTTTGTGATCCATGGAAACTCACACTGTTGTGTTGTGTAAACTAATAGTAATGTAAACATGGCACTTATGTATTTGTCAATTTTGTGTTATTTCTGTGTTGTGTTCCGTACAACTAATACGTAGTAGTAATGTTAACATGGGTTACTATTATTATTACTATAATTATAACTATTATTATTATTTCTATTATTATTATTATTACTATTATTATTATGATTATTATACTAGTTATTACTATTATTACTATTCTTATTACTATTATTATTATTATTAGTATTATTATTATTATTTTATTTTTATTATTACTATTATAATTAATATTTCTATTATTATAACTATAATAAAAATTTTAATATTAATTTTAATCAAATTCATATCAGATCTAAGCAGATCAAATCAGACCAGATCAAATCCAATCGATCAGATCAGGTCAGATCAGAACTTCAAAAAATGGCGACGGAATACAACCTTGGTGGATTGGGTCTTCGTAATGACTTATGAGTCTTGGACTGTAATTTCTTTTTGTGCCTAGAAATGATAGTACCGAATATCATTTTCTTCGCTTTAACCTTTCATGAACCCAAAATCAACTCTACAAGTGTTCAATTTCAATCATCCTTCTACATCCTTCCATTTCTCAATTCGTCATCTAGCAATGGTGCAAATTGACATGGAAGAGTGGAGGGAGTTATGCACCCACTACTACCTAATTCGCAAATTTGATGAAAATTTAGAGACTTTTGGGCTCTTATTGCACGGCTTACCCCTGAGACAATACCGACGTACTCACGAACCGGGCTACAGATCGCGTGGTCCTTTTGCACTACGAAGTACGAATTTGTTAAACTTGAGCGTCACCTCTAGCACCATTCGCTGTAATCAAAATTTATTGTTGTGTCTCCATTCCGTCAGGACAGCTATTTTTCATTGTACACCAGACCATCTTCATCTTTATCCTCCGTTGTGCCGAGAAAAAGGTGCAAGTGACATACGGCACTTTTTGTCACTTCTTCTCCTTGGGAGGGGTTGCCCTATGTGAGCGTCTACCTTGGGAGGGGTTGCCATATGTGATTGGCTGTTCAGGAACTCTTGCCGTAGCTGACGACTGCTGAGAGTTAGCAGCGCTACGCCTAGAGTTTCTCGTTCTTCGACCGGCCAAACTCTCGATTCACAATCTCACAGTCTTAAAACTCTCAACGAGAGCACCAATGATGGAATTTAGCCCAAAATATATGGCGATGAAGAACATATTTAGAAAAATAAATATCAATAATAATGATTCTTTATGTATTTCTATTATTTTGTTTATGCTTGTCCTTACTTGGTTTACGATGGAGGGTTCTCCCTCTATTTATACTACTTTACAGTTACATGGGCACTCGTCGTACACATAAATCTTGGTCATTATCTCCAATCGTGAAGGTTAACAGCTCAACCCCTGATCTTCCCATGACTTGGGGCTGCCACGATCTGTATTATTTGCCTGGGCCTATCAACGGGAATTGGGTCTTTAGCATCCCGTTTGCCAATCCCGTTCCATACTAGCCCAATCCACTCTCTTGTGGATGGGGCCGTTTATATTTGTTTAGTGGATCCGGATATCCATCACTGTACATGCCTGATAGATCTCTATCCTTTACCAAAGAGATTATAGATCTTCTCATTGATGAGACGACCACATTAAAGGCGAGCTTTATGGACGCCGGTTGAGGCTATCATCAAGTAGTAACGCACCCAAATCATTGTGAGAGTGGACAACATATTTCACATCAAATTAGAGCATTGATATGTTATCATGCTTCCAAATTTTGCAATGCAATATAGATGTTTCCAAAGATGGTCAGTTGCCAAGAAGTCATTTAGAGGACAAATTATTACATGCACTTAAAGCTGATGGTGCACCTTCATACATATTAAATAAGTATTTTTCAAGTGTTGAAATAAACATTTTTAAAATTTTAAAAAAATATGTGAGAAGGACCATAGAATCACTCCATTTAAAGAGGTCTTAGAAGACACTATGGAAGCTCACATTAATGATATACTCCGTCCGTCCAATTTAAATCGCTTGTTTGGGTTTACAATGTTTGATTGAAGTTATTTTCTAATTATTTTATATGAAAAATGGTGTAAAATTATAAAATAAAAATCACAAATTTAAAACTACATTAAAAGATCTAGAAAACTAGTGGTAACATGACTACATTATTTTATCAAATAATTATCAAAAATAGAGAAAAAAACAAAGTTTAACCACGTAAATAATAAATTGATAATTTAATTTATGATAGAGAGAGTACTAATAAAGAACAAGCAAAGAGAGACACATGTCAATGTGACATATATGGATAATGACAAAATTCTATGATGGACCTAAGATCCATCATCGATCCCCATATGAGCAAAATAAATATTTTTTTACTACTAAAATAAATATTAGTTTTTTTGAATATAAAAAAATTAAAAAAAATCAATTAAATAATGATGGCATAACTATTTTTAAAAGGGGGCCAACATGAAACGTACTTTCACATAGACAAGAGACGGATTAAGACAGTAAAACTCAACTCTGATAGAGAAATCCAATTTGTGTTCAGTGATAGTTACTCGTAGTAATTAAATAATGATAGCATAACTATTTGTAAATATATAGAAAATAAATATTAAAAAATAGATTTATTGGGGTTCTGTGCTTATGTCAAAAATGTTGTTTTGAAAAACATTTCTCCTATACTTTTCCTATATATACTTCGTATATTCTTAGGGCTGGGGAAAAATGCCAAATGTACCCATAAAATATGAGGATCCAATATTCCGAAGAGTTGTTTCGAATCAATTAGTGTGTAAGAACAGCTTCTGGCCGGTTTCCGTTTATACTCCGTCCGAAGTAACTTCTTCTGACCTAGTACAATACAATGAATTTAAGGTACAGCTTCTGTACAATACAACAAGTCCCGGCAGAAAAGTCACAACATTTTTCTTAACTTCCCTTAATATTATTCATCATCTTGTATTGAGATCCAACTCTCCCCCTCCGCGCCAGTCGCTTTGAATGCCATCTCCATTATCGGTCTCCTCATCATTCAGAAAATCATCCGACGGCTCCTTGTCATCTTTCTGTGTGTTGTTACCCCATCCATTCATCATCTCATCATCTTTGACTTCCTCGCCGCCGTCATGGCCCATCACAATATTACCTCCCTGAGGCCCAGCAAGTGCACTTGCTCGAATGGGGGCCCGTGACATCATCATCATCTCCGCGCGTGCTTGTGATTCAGCCCGAGCCTGCTCGGCTTGAACCATGGCTGCCATTTGCATATTGGCATCATGGCTCTCTCGCCCTGCTTTGTTCCTAGCCTCCATCTCTGCCCTCAACTCCATGTAAGCCCTTCTCTCCTCTTGAGCTAGCATCTGCTCGATCTGCAGCTTCTCCTCCGTTCGGAATTCCCCTTGTTCTCGTTTTCGCGAAATGATGTTGAATGCAAGCACTTGTTTCTCAAATGTGGCGGTAAACTCGGCGACTTTTGCAGAAATGTTGTGGTCCCATTGCTGGGAGCGAGAAAAAATTTGGCCTGTCGTGTCTGAATCAAGGATTTTGTCGTCTTCCTCTGCTTCATAGTCGGCAACAACATGATAGGGAAGAAGCCTGTATAAGTTTAGGATACAACTATAAAAGTTATTCTCGAGAAGTAGATAATGAAAAACTACAAGTAGAAAAAACAACCATCAGTAATGCAAATACTGCACACACACAAAAACAACCATCAGTAATGCTAAATATTACCACTGAAGGTTATGTTCTAAATTTCCCTGCCTAAAACCTGACTAGGCGCAGGACTCCCTTTGGCCTCTTACTTTTTTTCCTTCTACATTGAGCCCACATAGCCCTGCCTATGCTATGCCGGACCTATCCTGAACCGCACCTAGGCGATAAGGCCACAGCCCACAGTACACCATCTGCCTAGAAGTGCTCTTTAGAGCATTGCTGGATAATGAAGTCAGTAAAAACCACGACAATCCCAAAAATGTGTTTAAAGTTGAAAATAACCCTACAAAAGGAATATCAAAATCATTCTAACCACCAGTAACTGAAGGGGAATTAAAAAGGGTTAATTTTTCGATGAAACATAAAACTAGTTTAAATTAACATATTCATGCATCTTGAAACTCCTGCAACACTGCCAGCATATATAATCTCAAACTTTTATATCGTAACTTTCTATCTTTCTTATACGTTAATATAATAACAAACAATGTGTTTGGGAGAAACACTGTCAAGAACCAATCACTTTAAGGAAATAATTTATAGGGAACGAACACAATAGAACTGGAAACTTCAAAATGAAACAATCACACAGTGGAGGATGAAACTGTCCCTTATATTGGCACATTTGGAATAATTTATTACCAAGTACCAATGGAAAAACCAAAGCCATGCCTAACTGTCTTCATTTCTAGCAATTTTCCCCATTTTATCTCTACAAATCACATCTACGCATGAAAGAACAATTGAATTCCATGGAGATTGGGGAAATAATAGGGTTAATTGCACACACGCACAAACAAAAAAACAAAAGAAAAGGAAAAAGAAGAGAACCTTTCGCAGGCATCTTCTATGGAAGAGAAAGGGCGCTTGAAGTCGGGGTGACAGACTCGCCAAGCGTCCTGGTAAGCCATCTGCAGCTCAGCAGGAGTCGAAGCCTGAGCCGGACGGTTAACCTTCGGCTGCTGCTGCTGTTGTTGTTGTTGCGAAGGACTAGCGTTGGGATTTTGCTGAATAGGGATCTGAAGAGCGGAGCTAGGGTTAGGGTTTTGTTGATTGGGATTAGGAGGCTGAATCTGAGACTGGGATTGTTGGCGGTGGAGGAAGGATTGGGGACGAAGATGCGCGTCGATGTTGGAAGGGAAGCGAGCCATGGCTTCTTGCTGCTGTTTCTGTCGTTGGATCTGTTGCAAGAGATGCTGCTGAGCTATAGCCTTCGCTTCCTCCATTTCTGCTACTGAAGGTTTTCGCAGCATCCAGAGTGTATGAACGTGAACGGGACAGAGCTCAATGGCTAGCGGACATGACAGTGCCTTCGAGACGGCATTGTCTTCTTCCTTTCTTTTTCCTAATGGAGCTGTTAAGGATTTATGTAAGAATTACACTTCTCGTGCCACAATGACTACATCAAAACATGAGTTATTTACGGGAATGGGCTAAAAAAGTTTCTCGCTCCCTATTTATCAATCTAGCTAGGGTCCGTTTGTTATACAGAATTGATGGAATTGGAATTGAATTGGAATTGAAATTCCATTGAATTCAATTCCATAGAATTGAATTATACCAATTCCTATTCATTTTTTACATTACTAATTCCAAATCCACGTAATTATTGTGCTACCAAACATCAGAATTAGAATTGAAGACCTCAATTCCAATTTCATAATTTGAATTCCGTGTACCAAACGGGGCCTAAGGGATTGACCAAAATGCCATGCCTAACGATACATAGGCCTCGTTTGACATCAGCATTAGAAATTAGTGTTAATGTTTTGTAAAAGCTATCTGACGGTAACTTTTAGCGTTAGCATTTTGAGAATCAATCTGCATCATTAAAATTTTATCCAAAATGCTAACACTAATGGAAAACGCTTCTCCCAAACAAGGTCATAGACAGTGTGTGTCTGTGTGTCTGTGAAATATTGGTGTACAAGTAGAATATTTCACTTTGGGGTACTTTAGATTAATTCTTGTACAAAAGTTCTTATTTCTCAATACTTTTTTTCCTTTTTTTTTGTGTTTTTCATTGATTATTTGATAAAATAAAATATATTTTTCATTTCTTATTTTGTAAAACTTTTAACTTAGACTTTTAATATGTAACTTTTTGTTATTGATGTGCCAATTATAAAATGATTTCAAAGAATGAGGGATTTGCCTCGTAAATCCAGTTGGTAATCTAAATAGGGAGGGAGTATTTAATTGTTTCTATAAAGCAAAAAAGAAGTCCATGTAACCGAAGTGTTAAGCACTTTTAAAGTGGTGTCATGTTTAATTTTAAAAAAAGACAAGGATCAACAAAATAATAGCAGAATCAGACGCCACAGAACCCTCTATAATCATTTCTTCCTTCTTTGTGCAACATGTGTGCTTTATATCTTATATGCCCTCTTCAAGACCTCTTTCAACTCCTTTACATGTTGTTCTCAATCGCCTTTAAGTGAAGTCACATCTTGCAACGACCTTTTAAGCCCTAGAATGAGGAAGAATAAATCTATCTAAAGCACACGTCTATTGAGGGAAACCATGCAAAGAAAACGCCGTTTATCCCATTAGAAAACCAAAAGCAAGTGAATGTTGTACTTTTGAAGACAATGTTCTGGTAAGAAATTTTGATATCTCGTTGTGTTCATTGTTATTAAAAGAGGATCGTTTGCTTGAAAGCAAAGTGGCCAGGGTCCACAGGAACAGGGCCTTAGTGACTTTATCTCTCAACTATGGTGATGTGAAAGGTTTGAAAAAAGTTCATCTACTTTTTCAATGTTAAAAATCTTGGCCGCATTTTCTACATCTATAGACTATGTCAGTGAAGACTAGGGTCAACAACATATGCACAAATTCTCTTCTATGAAGCTTACCGCAAAGTCTTCACTCGTAAACTTTCAATAGAAAATGAAGGGTTAGCCAAGCATTTGGATGTCCGAGCTGAGTTTAGGACAAACACTTTATTTAGTAGTTTCATGGATGTCAACCTCCCCTTCTTCCCACCCTAGCCATGTTGTGTTAGTTGGTGCTTAGGGAGGCAGATGTTACGGAAAGTCATTTTAAATGTAGTTGTAGTAGGAGGTGTTCTCATTAGACACTCGCTCATAAAATTATATTTTAACTAGCCTCAATTTTTTTAAATGAAGGTCACAATACAAAGACCTAAAAGTTTTGACTCAAAGCTAAAGGATTGGGTGACTTTGTTAAATAGAAATGGTCAAAGCATGTGGTGTCTACCAATTCTATATCTATTAGGTTCTCTGATCCGTATCAGCGACTAGATGATGATGAGGAGAAAGAATATGCTCTTTAAATGATTCTGAAGGTGGCGACATCGATGTTTGTTGTTGTGATTTTGCTTCACAAAAAGAGAAATTTTTATTCCATATTGGGTCATAGCCAAAGCTAGAAACTTTAGTGGTTGCCTGGAATTTTCATGGGAGACCTGGGCATTCATGGACTACATCAAATCAATATTGAAGGATTTAAAGTAAAAGTTTATAGAGATGAAAGAGATGGGAGGATCTAACACCCTCTGTTGCAATCGATTTGTCTCGATTTGTCCCGCTTCTGTGAGTATATAATTTTACTTTCTCAAACATTGCATAAATGCATTCATCTAGTGATGAGGTTCCACTATTTGATGTATATATTATCCAATGTTTGTGTGGATCTTGATTTGGGAAACAAATTTGGAGTGAGGATGAAGCAAACAAATCTAACACTTTTTAGGTGATGTTAATCAAGAAATTAAACTTTCAGACATGGTTGTACACATGGGCCCCACCTTACCGGAGCAGGTCTAACACATGTGGGATAACATTTATTTTTTATTCAATGGAGAATACATCAAGATTATTTGCTTAGGATTTTAATTGATATTTTTATTTTTTAATATTTATTTAGTATTCTAGCTTAGTGACTAATTATTTCCTATAAATAGCTTGTAATCCCTTCGTTGTAACTTAGACTTAAACTAAATGAAAATTGTGTGTTTTGTAATCATGTCTGGATTATTATTTTGAGCCTATATGGGTCAAGGCATTTATGAAAATATCGACAACGTGCAAATTGTAAAACTACATCTTTGGTATTGCCACGGCGTGTCTCGTAGAGGTGCCAAAGTTATTGGCTTAGAGACTCAAAAGCACACCTTTAGGGTGCCACGGTGGGTCTCATAGAGGTGCCAAATTTATAGACTAGTAAATCTCAAAGTCACCTTATCCTTACACTTGTTCACTAGGAAACGTTTCAGTAAAACAAAGAAAACCTTCCTTCCACTGGGTTTGAGTGCATCATTAACTTTTTGGTGGGTACAAACAAGCCAAAAATACTTCACATTATCCAACCAGCAGGTGTAGTACAACTCTTAAAAATTTTGGGGCTAAGTAGTTTAGAACTAGGCAAAGATGACACAGCTAAAGTCGGGGTTGAGCATGGGAAGGGGGTCTACTCTAGAGGGTGTGGGATCTTCATTGATATGTAGCGCCATTCTCCCACATGTAAAGATGCTTTCCTACTACACTCTACGCAATAGCTTCTGATCTCCAATAAGCATCTCTTGTGGGGCGAACAGTTAAACCAGAGTCAGATCTAGCAAATGAATTCTTCCTCCGCATAAGACTCTTCCTCAAATTCTACCAACGCATATTCTTTCCTTAGCACTATGTTTGGTTCAAGGAATTTGAATGGGAAAAGAAAAGAAAATGAAGTGGAAAACATTTTTTCTTGTTTGGTTAGAGGGGAAAAGAAAGGAAAAGTGGGAGGAAAAGAAAATGAGAAGACAAAATATATCAAGAGGAGGGAAAACCAAATTCCTCCCATTTTGGTGAGGAAAATGAGATAAAACCATTTTCTTTACTTTTCCTTCCAAATTCCTTGAACCAAACATAGTGTAGGGGAGGGAAAGGAGGGTATTTACCTTGGAAGAAAATATAGAGTATGCATAAGACTCTTCCTCAAATTCTACCAACACATATTGTTTCCTTAGGGGAGGGAGAGGAGGGTATTTACCTTGGAAGAAAATATAGAGTATGCAGATTTAGCGCAAAGGGGTGGGCTTTTGGCACTACCTTTGAGGTTCCCCCTACACCCCTCAAGGTCTTTATTGTTTATGCCCTCTTTGGGATATCCAATTTGTGGAATAAATCATCCGCCACTATAAAAAATTTCAAGATATATTTTAAAAGCATGTAGAAATTTTTTTTAAATAGTAAAACTTTAAAGAAAGACATCGTTACCTTCGGGCACACCTCATGCAACCTTGGGAGGGATGGAGTTTAAGAAGTTTTCCATGCTCCTGAGTCTTTATTCCTCTTGTTCTTTCATAGGACTCCAAAAGGGAGGGCCTTTGGGAGTTTGTACTTCAATTCTTGAGGTGCTTGAGGGTCTGCCCAGTGCTCTAAAAAAGGCTTCTTCCAGCAATAGATCCACTTTAAAATTGGCAACAATAATCTCTTTCTCAAGGTTAGACCAATGAGCAAATAAAGAAGCATGTCCTCTTATTAGTGAAACCTTAAAAGGGAAGGCGCTTTAAACCTTTCAAACACCTCATTCCGTCACTATAATTTAATCTCTTTAGATTTATCTACTTACTTTTTAGTATAGAGTTTACTTCATCTCCTTTATGCTATGTTTATTTACTACTCTCTTACCTTTATGCATTTTCTTAGATTAAGTATGCTAGGCTAGTTGTTCTAGCCTAGGTTAGGTGATGGATTGTTGATTAGTGCTTCTTGTTGATGAATTAGTTTAAAGCATGAAATTTTAGCTTGGGAATGCTTGGGGAGATTGCTCTATTATGACTTGTATGTTGTTGTTGTCGGCCATGAGTGTATGCTTGTGTTCTGGAATGAGATCTAGATCACTGAGAAATCAGAATTCAGACCCCTAGTTGTGTGTCTCTACTCTCAAGTCCTACTATGGAAATAAAGGATACTTGAGGAGTTTGCTCAATGTGTTTGTAGTTCTCTTGAGACGAGCACCATGAAAGTGGATTCTTCTCTAGGAAATTCTTTCTCGATTTTCAGAAAAGTAAGAATGAGAACATGATGATTTACTCGCTTATTGATTTCTCGTTTTCCTTTGGTAATTACATTGTTAGCATGAAATCTCTATCCTAGGCTTCTTTTTATTTTACTCTTTGCATTTCATTTTTAGCTTAGTTTACTTTATTTGCATTTGTTTCACTTTTCTTGTCATTTCCATTTTCCATCATCCCATCATTTAGGCCTTGATTTACATGTTACAATTTGATACTAGTGTTTAGTTGCACTTTGCACCCGATTACTAACCAATCACGCTATCCCCGTGGATACGATATTCTGCACCCCACCAATATCCTCATTCCTTTACTTTTTATACATCTCATTTCATCATCATTCATTATTTTGATCGGGGGTTTTCGATATCAAATGACGTACCGAAAAATCTTGCATTAGGAAGATGTGAAGCCCTCATATGACCAACCTTTGATTTAGATCCATACAAGAAACAAAAGGTTTAATATTAAATATATTGGACCGACCAAATTACTTGTTGATTGTTGGCTCAATATACCCAGGCCGCAGTATTATAGGATAATGGTGCGACCAAATTACTTGTTGATTGTTCACGACTACTTTTGCTCTCTTTTTGGGAGTAATATTTTTGCTCTCTAATTCTTTCATAACCGAATTTTCTGTACTTATAAACTAGTCACAAGTGCTTATAAACATTTTTTAATTTATAAGTTAGATGTTTCTTTGTACTTATAAACTGTTTATAAGCTAGAAAAAATTAGTCTTACCTACTTATTTTGAACTAATTTTTTAGCTTTTTTATTTTGATCAGATTATTTACAAAACTCTTGCTCACCATTTATAAAAACTTACAAATAAATTATCTATCATTTAAGTCATTTTACTTCCACAAAAGAATAATCAACTAACAAGTACTTTCTCCGTCCCAATTTATAGTGTCTGTTCACTATTCATGGGGTCAAATGTCATTTACTTTTTTTTAATCTATTTTCGTTAGCAATTTGATAAAATAAAGTACTATTGTTATTACTAGTTTTGAAATCTTATGATGTAGTATTTTAATATTTGATTTTTATTTTTAATTTATATCATTTGTCATATAAAATGATTTAAAAATAATTCTAGTCAAATATCGTAAACCAAAACAAACACTATAAATTGAAAACAGAGGGAGTAACTTATAAGTTAAAAATCATTTATCAACAATAAGCCAATATGCACCAGCACACTAATGGATTAGTAAAACTTATTAAACACTCTGCATAAAAAAATAATACACGTATTTATTTATCTTTCATAACCGAAAAAAAAATCATCTCCACAACAAAAACAAACACCGTATAATCCAAATGCATGTTCTTAAAATAAAAAATTTAATGTCATTAAGATTAAATTGAATATGTACCAAATAATAAATTTAAGCAACCATATACTAATAAAATAAATAAATCATCAAACTCAATTACTCATAAATTATTAACTCATTTCAATAACTATTTGAAGCCAGAAACCCACAAAGAATTAGTTCGCGAATGAATAAAATATACTCCGTAATTAAATAACATTTTGCTAGCAACTTGATACCAAACTGTTATATGAGATTTCTAAGAACTTTAAAAAAATTAAAAAAAAAAAAAGCTCCGTATACTATGAGCACCAGATGTAAACAAGCAATTCATGGACGCATGCATTTTAATATTATAAATAAATTTTTTTAAAAAAAGAGTCTAATAATGAATATGGTAAAGCACCTAATCACGTAAGATTAACTAATTCCACTTGGCAACCCCTTCATAAAACAGCAATCAATCACTCCTTTCTTCAGTGTCCAATTGATATATGATTCTTTTTTAAAGTATCTGGATAAAAATAAAAAAAAAGAACAAGAGCAGGACTACACTGAAAGAATACTCTGCATTAGTACATGTCTATAAATCTGCACTCATAGTTTTACAGGGAGTTTAGCCAGGTAGCTGAAACAGTGACCAAAGACCATACCACAATCCATTTCGAGTCCTCATTCATCTGCCATCGCCCGGCCAAGCTTCATCCACACTGGCAAACCAAGATAGACCATCAAGGCCCCATCAATTAGTTCCCAATAAATAAATTCTTGGAAGGAAATGCCAAGTCATGTCACGACCGGTCTGTATACTCTCATCCATTACCAGAAACAGACCAAACACATGAAGAGCATCAGATAAAGGAAGAATCTTGAATCATACATTTAAATAAATGAGCAGATGCGGGCGAGATTGTTTGGTTTTTGATACACTACAAGTGAGGAGGGCAGGTGCAGCCATAGTTAAAAGTGGTCATGCCCTCTCCTACTAATAGTGTGTCCCCTGTAAAGGGAGAAAGCTACTTTGAGAGACTTAGACCATTCTTCCATAATCTTTTCTTCCACGGGAAATTGGTGGAATGTTTGGTGCAGAGAAGTTTCCTCTACGCCCTACAAGAGAATGGGAACATTTGTTTAAACATCAGATGGTGCACTATTCTATCCCAAACACAAAGGCAAAATCGACTAGCAGCAGAAAAAGAAACAAGCAACAACTGAAACAGAAAATTTAAGGGAGTTACCCCATGAAGCTCCATTGGTTTCAGAAGGATAATCTTCAGAACTAAAACTGGATTGAGGGTTGTGTACTTTATTATGGTAATCGTGTCCACGACCAGCTGCTGAGCGCCCTTGGCTAAACCGATGAACAGGCGGTTGCGAGAAACGGCTTGGAGAACTTTGTGCATGATGTGGCATAAAATATAACGGATTTGACATGGTGTGAACAAACCCGCCATGCAGATCGTGTGCTGATGGATGTACTCCCACATCTCCATGAAAATTTGTTTGACTAGGCCCATTTGTTCTGGTGGCCAAAAAAATAGGAACTAATGCATGAAACTTCACTTTTGCTGGTTCTAAACACATTGAAACTATAAAAGAGTCTATTTTCATTTGAATTTTTACAGCACACTCAAAATATTAAGAGTGCAGTGTATATTTCATTTTTGGGAAAAAAAAAATGCAAGGTGTAAAAGTAAACACTCTGGTATGTAATCATTCAAAATGAATTTACCTCTGTACCATGCTGGATCTTCTAGCTCCAGTCAACGGTTCCTTTGAGATCAAAGATTGACCTAGATTCATTGCCTTGACAAAATCGGTAGTCAAATTGCTCATGTCCGGGCCATCTTCTTGTAAAAGTAACTCTTCACTGAAGTTGTGCCAAAGACAAAGTTATATAATGCACAAGGATACCTGGGCAAAAAAGCTGCAGAGTTCTTCTAAATAGATTATTCCATTTTTCTACTATTTGCTTCATGAAACATTGGCTATATTGAAGAACTGACAAATCAAAATCAGTGCTACTTTGTCATGTTAACCATCACCACCACCACCTTTAAATCCAACATGGGGTCGGGGACATGACAAATATAGTCTCTATTATTCTAGTTAGCAACATAAAGTAATCATCATAAAAAACAACCAGAACTTAATCCCAATCAAACCGAGTCGGCTACATGCACCAATAGAAAACCTCCCAATCTTATACACTTAAATCCGCTTGTTCCATTTGTTCCTTGCGTCATAATGCTCTAAGTCCCAATGCTTTGATGTTTCTCTCTACACCTTCAACCCAAGCCATTTTCAGTCTACCCCGAGTTCTCATCAAGTTTCACATACAGACACTCCAACACTTCTCTAACAATTTACGAATGAATAAAGATTTGAAATTCAAAATTGTCACTTGACACAAACCATGAGGTGACAATGAATTACGATAGTTGTTATCGTCAAGTTCCATTACAAGATGGGTAAGCATCTTAATAAAATAAATAGATGAATAGATAAGTGATAACCGTATGTAATTGATATTATACCATGAACGTTAGTCCACCATGCTTAGTTAGTTGTTCACAATGTCAATCACATATTAATGTAAAATTCTGTTGAAAAAATACATAGTGGCAAACGGTTATCCATAAAGTTCTAAATGGTTCCATATAGTCACTCAGTGTGCAATCTCAAGGGGTGTAGTTGAGATCCATAGTCCTAAATTTATACTCCATTCATCCCAAAATGAACTTCCTGTGTAAAAATGGCATGGGTTTTAAGAATAGGTTGAAAAGTGTTGTTTAATGGATTAATATTTCTTGATACAACATAAAGTAGAATGTATGTGACTAGTTGAGGATGAAAGTGTCTTTTCAATGATTTAAAATGTCCAAATAAGGTAATGTGAAGATGATTTTGGAACATCCAAATATGGTAAGTGGGAAGATAATGTTCGGACAAACGGAGTAACATTTTACTGCCTTCATCCCTAATTTGTGTTTACGATGTTTAACCAAAGTTATTTCAAATTCAATTTGTTTGAATTTTGATATAGATTCTAAAAATAAATTGTGATATTTGAAAACTACATAAAAAGTTCTATAGAACAAGTGATGCCATGACTATGGTACTCCAAAAAAATGACTAAATCAAATAAGTGATGAAAGAATATAGTTTGATTGTATGAATATTCATAGTGAAGTTTATTTAGGGACAGAGGAAGAATAACATTAAGAATTATGCATCTTAACACTTGAATGTACTTATCTTAGCCTATTAATAATAGTCTACTGTAATTCTTATCATGTACGTAATTATCAAAGCCACCATGGAAGATTTGAAAATCACCCACTTGGTTTGAGCTAGCAAGTGCCTACTCGCTTACCAAGAACCCTTCCGACTAATTGTATGCTGATACCTTTAGATTAAAGGTTAGCTTCTAAAATGTTCACACCAAATTTGCTGAATATGCCCATTAATTTGCAAAAATCAATGAACATATGTGTGGAATGTAGAGCATCATTTTTTAACACGATTGAAACACCCAACTTTATTTACCTGTAGTTCGGGTCCCAGTCTCCAGGATCAGGTAATGAATTAGACTCAATATTTTCATGTCTACTCCCTTGTAGGTGCATAAGTTGTGTGTGAGAACCATGTCTTGCTGCACCCATGATGTTATGAGCCGCAGAGCTACCAACAGGTAGACCACTTGCTCCTTGCTGCCTCCAGGGAGTAGGGTTTGAGTTGGAATGTAGATGCAAAAAAGAACCACCTGAAATAGGAGAGTTGGGTAGAGCAGAGCTTGTACTATCTATAGCATGTCCTTGCCAGTGCGATGATGATGAGATCTCTTGGGAGTGCAAACTTCCATGATGTCCCAATCCTTTCCTTCTGTTATACTGATTTCCTGCCGCCAATTTTCCCAAGGGTGATCCATGACAGCTTCCCCTTGCAGGGGAAGTAGGACCATACTGACCAGGAGAACCGGCTGAAATCTGACTATACATGCTGGGAGGAGTAAACTGTGAGGGACTAGTTCCAAGGGACATAGGAATGACAGTTCCAGGACTGGCACCAAGCGTATTCCCATGGGGGAGATGCATAAACCTCCTTGCATCTGGACTTCCTCCAAGAATTGATGAGCCATTCTGTGCACAAAGATGCATACCAGACGGCCTTGCTGGGGAATAATATGCTAGTAAATTATTACTATCACCATAGCTTCCATAACTGCTTCCAAGCCCACCACCCTCATTGTAACTGCCATGGCTTCCCAAGCTACCATAACTGCCTATATGTGTATATGCAGCTACATGATAAGGTTGACTGTTGTGAAGTGCAACTCGGTTCCTGCCAGAAATCTGCATTGTTAAATAATAGAAATTAGAAATTAATGAGATAAGGAGCTTGCTTAGTGTCTGATAGCAAGCCACTCATCACTTACTCCAGGAGAAAAAAAACATAATAATGGGATATTCTGAAAAACATAATGCACATCCTGCACATAATCCTGGTCTAATGCTGCATAATGGAATATTCTAACAGACAACATCCATATTTTTAGCTCCTGCTCGTGTTCTACTGTCTTCTATTCTTTTTCTATTGTTTATCTGTTATCTTTCTTACCTGTAAATACTATGTAAATTGCTTAGCCTAAGGGAAGGGACTTTAATATTAATCTACACGTGTAAATGGAACATCCATATTTTCAGCCGCTGCTCGCGTTCTACTGCCTTTCTATTGTTTAGCTGTTATCTTTCTTTACTATAAATACTATCTAAATTTCTTAGCTTAAAAGCAGGGATATTAGTAGTAATCGACACTTGTAAACGGAGCATTGTCCTCTCCACAAGGACTATTATTCATCCAATAAAAAACTTAGTGTTATTCATTATTTTCCATATTCAATTTTTGAGCAACTCTATCATTTGGTATCACAGCACTTTCAGGTCCACCATGGTGAACACAAGAACTACATAAAAAAATGACAAACACAATCCTCCCCCTTCATCTTACCAAGACCCATTTCCAAATGCATTGACCCAACAATAATCCACCATTTTTTACACGAAATCCTCAACACTCTTACTGCTGAAGGAGCTGTGCTTAAGGCCCAAACCAGCACTCTCCATCACGCAGAAATTCACCCAGAAGGGTCGAACTGACACCTGCCGCAGGACACACATTTTGGTTAGTGGAATAGGCAGCAGAATAGCTGCCAAGACGATGGAGCTGGAGACATGGATAACTCATGGGGGTATCATTCTAGACATCCTGCAAAGGTTGTCTTCTCTGTTTTTATATTTTTTGTCTACTCTCTTTCTTTCCTCCCTATAATGACTATGTATATTCCTCAGCTTAAGGGCAGGGATTTCGGTGTTATGTTACACTTGTAAATGGAACCACATCCTCTCCAAAGGTACTACTATCTTTCCACACAAATAAATCAGTGTTTTCATTGTATTCCATTTCATAAGCCACTCTATCAGTGCCCTTCAAAACGGAAGTTTCAATGAGCATGAAGCAACCCACCCAGAATACCAAACCCCCAAAAAACAGAGCTATGTAATTGTGTATGGCAAACAGTAGGTAGTGGTTAGCATATAACGGGTAGCAAGCAGTTGGCAGTTTGCATTAGCAAATCAGACTAGGACTTGACACTTTATAAAAAGATGTTTGGTAACTTACAAGATTTTTAAAACATAAAACTAAAATTATAACAGCAAAATATTGTTCTCAAAATGTTGATCATAACTACATTTTCAAATCAACATTTTGCTTAGCATATTACTAAATCAAAATGCTAATTTACTAAACACCTCAAATAGCAATTTGAATAGTCAAAAGTGATGTTTTGAGTCAAAATGCTAAAAACAGTATAATGCAAAGCAAAATGTTGTTTACCAAACATGGCCCTAAATAAACCCATACATCGAACAAAAAACAAATGTATACTCATATTTGAGAAGTGTTGGGCTCACATTAGGAGAGAGGCCAGCAGCAAACCAATGACCTCCAGCTGGGTGATGGTCTACCTTGACATTTGGAGAAACGTGCTGTAAATTGAGAGCAAAACATTGTTAGTTTTTATTCTATTTTTCCTCTTAATCGGCCATGGAAGAGCAAGGAACAAAGAAGATGAACTTATAAAAACCGTCTATAGAACTTCATGTGCTTTCCAATCTTAATAGTTGTTCAGATTCATTTACGATAGCTGTGGATCCAAACCTATCGTTTTCTAGGGGCAATAAAGAAAAATATTTACTATTATACACACATGTGCAGACACACCATAGTTCTTCCTAAATCAACCCCTTCCCCTATTCCTGCCCACCACGTAAGCAGCTCACATCTTTGCACCAGGGTCTCAGCACTCCGCCACCTCACATGACTAAATACCTCAGCCTAGCTTCCCAGAGCTTATCTTCGGCAGGTGCCACTCCTACATGTCATTGGATAACCTCATCCCGAAGCCTGCCCATTTTTGTTTGCCCACTCATCCATCGTAGCATCTACATCTCTTCTGCATGTAGTTGACGAACGTGAGTTTTCCTTAACCGCCCAACACTACGTCATACAGCATAGCACGTCTCACTACGAAGATAAAACATCCCATTGATTTGACCTGAAATTTTTTTTTCACGCAAAGAACCCCTGAAGCCAACTTCCACTAGCCTAGGCTGCTTTAAAACGATGCGCAATACCCCCATCTAACTCCCCATCTGCATGGATGATCGGACCAAGACACTGAAATTTGCCTCTCATGGACACTAGGTGAGAATCAATTTTAAATTCCACCTCTCATTCCGTTACTAGGCCACTAAAACAAAACTCCATGTATTCAGTCTAAGTCCTACTCAATGTGAAACCTTTAGATTCTAGGGAATGACGCCTCAGTTCCAACTTATCATTTAGCCCCTCACGAGTCTCATCAATCAGAACAATATCATCAGCAAAAACATGCACCAACGGACCTCTCCCTGAACACCCTGTGATAAGATGTGCATCACCAAAACAAAGAAGGGACTAAACAGTGTTTAACGCAGTGGCAGACACTTAATTGGAGTTGGGGGCATATACCCCCTACTAATTTTTTGTTATAAGGTTAAAAAAATTAAAAGTTTTATGTATACATGGTCCCAACAAAAATTAATGTGACCCCATCTAATTAGGTTAAATTTAAATTTCTTTTTTTGAATTTTTTTAGTAAAATGGATTTTATTGTACAATATTAAATGTATGAAATAAAAATTTACGTTACCTATTAATAAATGTTTGAAATAAAATTTAATACTCCATATTTTTTTTCATTTCATATAGTCTATTAAAAAAATCCAGAGGCGCTGCCCCCGGACCCCCGACCAATGCTGCCCCCATCCACCTAAATTCCTGGATCCACCACTATAACCTAGTCCTTGTCTGCCATACCTATCTTTGACTACTCGAATGTATGCCACTGAAGCCCCACTCAACTCAAGACGCCTCCCCAAGGTCTTGCTTTGAAGTTAAAAACCTGTCGTAATGTCTTCACAAGATCAATAAACAACATGTGGAGATCTTTCTTCTTAGCCCTATATTTTCCATCAACCTCCACAAGAGGTGAATGGCCTCTGTGGTGGATCGGCCAGGCTCATGAAACCAAACAGATTCTCAGAAATGCACACCTCCTTCCGCAACTTAGCCTCAATGATACGCTCCCAAACTTCATGGTGTGGCTAAGAAGTTTGATACCTCTATAATGTTCACAACACCAAAAATCACCTTTACTCTTGTAAAGTGGGACCGAAACTCTCCCTCCACTCATAAAGCATCCTAGCCATCTTGAAAATAACATTGAAGGGCTTGGTTACCCAAACCAATCCGCTGTTGTCCACAGATTTCCAAAACTCCATCTGAATCTCATCCAGCCCAAGACTCTTCCTCGTCCCATCCCACAAATGGCCCGTTCTATCACTTCCTGACTAGTGCACCGACAATACCAAATCTCAATCCCTCTCTGACTACCCAAATTCACCTAGCTTGAACCTCAGATCTCCTCCCGCATCCAGAAGACCATTGAAGTACTCCCCTCAGTGACTTGACACCTCTGCCGCCTCAAACAACACTCTTTCATCGCTGCCTTCACCCATCTCACAAGCTTCCAGATCTTGGGCCTTCTTCTCACGCACAGTCAAAAAAGCCTTTCATCTTTCATCCCCCCCCCCCTGTGGACCTCTATGTCTTTATCAAGGCTTTTAAAAGTTGCATTTTTCGCCCTTGTAGCCTCTAACTTAGCTTCCTTACAGATAATCTCAGACTCCACTCTAAGAGCCGCCCTATCCTCCTTGCCACTATATTGCACGTACCTCTTATACACCACCTTCTTAGCTTCCACCTTACTTTGAAGCAGATAACTTTACAACCAATCGCCGTTATGTCTATGTCCACTACTGGGGGTAATGCAGTTAGCAGCCTTTTTCTTGAACTCGTGCTACCAACTCTGGGATCTCCACCCCATGCAAGCTCCCCCAACGAAGTCGCCTCCAATGAAGACTTTCTCAACATATGCAGGATACCTCTTACCAGAATACCAGCTCATTCGGTGTTTCCCAAAATTCCTTGTCAACTTTGTTGTCCAAACCAACATGAGGGGCATAAGCACTCAGCATATTGATAGCACATCCACCCAAGATTAACTTCAACATATTCATATAATACTAATTAGGCACAAACACTGAATTTAATTTTTATAAATAATAGAACTAATGCCAGCAGCCCTTACAACCCAAGGCTTCACACACGCCGTGCCCCTTCCCCCAAGAGAAAGTAAAGGACGAGTAATTGATCAACTCTCAGCTCCTAGGGTAATATTCGTGGAGTTAACGTGTACAATTATATAATAATGGTATAAGGAAATCATAATATGATCATACATGATACATTCATTACATTCACACCCCAATGTTGCATCATGTAGTGTGTGGGGATGTGGTTTTTTTCACAAAGGTACCCTAACTTTGGACGTTGTAACAAAAAGGTATATCATCTTATGCTTGTAACAAAATCATACCCCACTTTAAAAATTATAACAAACTAATGCCCCTGGTCGGAATTGTCATATTCCAACGACCCAATGAAGATTTGGCATCCCACGTGGCTTTTCTCTCTCCTACATGTTAATTGTGTCTTCTCTTCATAGTATTTTTTTTTATTAATTTTTTTATGTTCAATAAATTACAAAAAGAACGTTTTTCTCTTTAAGTTGATATATTTGTGTTATTAATGTCAAATGATAGTATCAGATTAATTTAAATTAAATTAAACATGCATAAAAAATTTTAAAAATAACAATTAATTCATTGAAAACATGTTTTCTAATCATATTTAGAAAAGTTTTACTAAAAAAGAAAAAAATTGAAATATTGTATTTAAAACATGTACTTGTTTATTTTAATTTTTTCATTTTTAAATAAAACTATATTTTCTAAATATAATAAAAAACTTATTTGCAATGAATAAATTGTTATTTTTAAAATTTTTAATGCATGTTTAATTTAATTTAAATTAATCTTATATTATCATTTGACATTAATAGCACAAATATGTCAACATAAAGGGAAAAATGTTCTTTTTGATATTTATTGAACATAAAAAAAATTCAGCAAAAAAATTACCATAAAGAGAAAGCACAATTAACATGTAGGAGAGAGAAAGGCCACGTGGGATGCCAACTCCTCACTGGATCGCCGGAATATGACAATTTTGACCAAGGGGTATCAGTTTGTTATAATTCTTAAAGGTTGGGTATGGTTTTGTTCCAAACATTAATGGGGTACCTTTTTGTTACAATGTTCAAAGTTGGGGTACTTCCTGGGAGAAGATGTCGAGAAGATGTCCTGGGGATGTTGTCCAAACTTGCTCAGATTTTAAAGAGCACTTTTGTAGCAAGATTAAAACGACCTACCTATCAATTGGGAGAACTAGACTACTAAAAAATAAATATCCAATGGGAAACACCTTTAGATAATGCCCAACAAGTGAAAAACAAATATCCAGGATAATATGATGATAAATATAGATAACTTCCTTCTTCCTGGACAATACATGTCAAAAAAAATTAAATAGTCAATTCTTTCCCAAAAGGCCAATGACTCAAAACCACTGGCAACTAAGGTAAAAAACATGCAAACATATTTTTTTTTTTGAATGTAGAAAAAAATTCAATTCAGTTCCCACTAAACACTAAAATATCAACTCACCATCCTAGGGGTTTCTGGTGCAGGTTGGTAAGGATGTGTAAAAGGCTCCCCAGTTACAAAAGGATGTTTTGAAGCCTGCATCAAATAAATGTACAATCATGAAATCAATCAAACTAGAGATCCATGAAAAAAGGAAAGGTACAGTAGTTTCGTAAGATACTTCTCTCTCTAACAGAACATGAAGTTCACACAATTCTAATGCCAAGAAAACATTTATACAAACATTGACAGCAAACAAGATCAGAATCCAGAAGTGAGAAGATAACACAATGTACAATATTATACATTATACACATTTAATTCAAGGGTCTCTCAATTTATATTTGTGTGTGTGGAGTATCCTACAAACAAGCACACAACACTATGAGCACAATATCTGCACCCAAAAAGTTGATAAAAAGCAAACATTACCACCAACTTTTGACAATAATGACAAGAAAACATAACAAATGCCGATTTAGTATGAAAAATAGAACCAGTGGAGACAAAAAGGGTTTGAGTTTTCTAAATCCAAGTTATATTCATTTGTAAAATTACATAAAAATCTCGTACTTTTTTATTGATTAAGGTAAAGAGTGAATAAGATTTTCCATGAATTAAAACAATAGATCGTTCTGTCCTTGCAAAATTGGGGAGAGCAGAAGTTTCAAGTGAACTCATTGCCTAAAGTAGAGCTCTCATGCATCACCCTTCGTTGTATTTTGAAATGAGTAGAAAAAATATGCAAACAAAGTGAGTAAAGTTTGATCCCTTGAATAGTGAATGGAAAATCATTTCCGCACGAAGGTAGTATTAAAATTAAAGATAGAACATCATTAATTGCATAATTAATCCATGCACATTAAAGAAGTATATTGTTTAAGTAAAAATTTTTAAATGCAACAAAGTCTACCATGACATAGAATAAATATTGGTTGTAGGCAGCAAACTTAAATTGTTGAATGCTAGGTACGACATTTAAGCAATTTGTCATGCTATAAAGATGAAACTAAAATCTTATGTACATAAAATTTGTCAAGTTTTATTGGCAAATTAGTAATAATAAAAAGAAAAAGAAATAAATTAATACTCTGCAGTAAATTAGTAAAAATAAAATGTTAGCATCAAACAAATATAAATGAATAAAAACAAATAAAAGAGGAGGCTCAAGGGGAGGTGCAAGGGCGGCCTACTTACAAAATAATAAAAATAAACCCAGATCACTTTGGGTCGATAAGAGTGTTGGTCGATAAGCAATGTCAGCGCAAAGAATGGAAACTGAACAGGAGATGAAGACCGATGAAGAGGGATGAAGAACACAAAGATGAACAAGATGAAGACCGGAGAGGAGACCGGGTCACCGTACACGTTGATAGACTAGAGTTTGCTAATTTAACGGTTAAATTTTTCTAAATAAATTACTAATTTAACCTTAATCTTGATTTAATAAAATGGTGTACGCCTCCTACCACCTCATTGTGTATGCCTTCCTGTGCCATAACTAAGAAACTCATGGTCTGTGGCTAGATTGCCACAAAGCATTTTACTCTAGAAATAGACATGAGGCGGACAATATGGCGTATTGTGCAATGCCATTTCGAACATTGGTCATGTGTCTTGGTACCGATAGAAACCATATTCTAACTCTACAAGATTAGAAAAATTGTGTGAGCTTGTGATGTAGTGAGAAAGAGGAATGGTGATCAATACAGATGTTTGGCATTTAAGATTTTAATTACTTTTATAATGAAGCATCATTATCATAATAATACAAATAACGAGATTATAAGTGATGCCATTTAGTGGAAACAAGTCAATAAGGTACTGTTCACATGTGGAAATTGACCTGCAAGGGCGACCACCGTTTAGCTGGATCAAATTCAACAAGTCCCCTCAAGAAATCAAGAAGTGCTAACCGAATTTGATTCTCTATTACAATTCCAAGATAGAGTAAATCGTTAGCACATAGTTTAAAACCTTATAAACCATATTTGGCAGAAAAATCTTGAAATTGTGGTAACCTTTAGGCAAAGAATCTGAATACTAACCTCTAATAATATCTTCCTCCAATAAATTCTTCTTATAAGGATATTTTCTCACGATTGCTTCAAGATTCATATGATTGAAATATTCCTTCCCTGTTACAGGCTTTTTCAGCTCTCTCTGAATCATAACGCCCAAAGAGAGAAGGGGAAAAATCACTAAAGGTAAATACCATAAGCGAAATCATCAGGATTCCATTACTTAACAACAAATGTTTATTACAAAAGATGAAACAAGCAATATGGTGGCAACTTGAATTGTTAAAGAAGTACTTATTGGCAACAAGGAATGTAGTTATTCATCATTATATGACAAAACAATATTCTATTCAGTCCTGTCTAGTTTAAACCCTCATATGGTACCCTATATCCTGAAGAGTTGATGACCACATAAAGGAATAAACATGAAAACTCATTAGTTATTTCTTCCCCATAGGCTAAATAATATCTATCACTCATTTGTTTATTGACGGGCACACAAAGTATAAGATCGATATACTTAATTGATGTAAACATATCATCAGCAGAAAATCCAATTAACTGATCTAATGCTTTCTTTGGCCCAATTAACTGAAAGAAAGAAAAATAAAATAACTTTTTCAAGTAAAAAAATACGCTAGGATAATCTTCTAAATCACAAGCCCAACTATACGCTTCAATGCAAATTCTCTTCATCCACTCCATTCCCCTTATCTTCTATGTTGTCTTCTTTGTTTACTTTGCAACAGAAAAAACTTCAAGCAGTGAAATTGTGCCAAATTATGGAACGTATAAAATATATCAAGCTAGGACCTGGAAGCCCTCTAAAAGGTATACAAAAAAGGGGATATTAAGAAAACCTTCACGCAAATATGCTTTTAGCATTTCATCAACGGAAATCAAGATTTAAATTATTTAAGAACTTTAAGCCAGTGGAATAAATCTGGCTTGGGAAAATGGAGAATAAGCGAGTTATGAGAGATAAATTTAATAAAAGCACTCACCGCTTCATATTCCTCTTCAGTTAAAGCTTGATATATGCTGCTACAGTTATTAGTGGTATGTTGGCCCCTTTCTTCATAGTTAACACTCCCGACACATTTGAAGAACTTGCTGGTATTTTTGGCATCCTTAAGTATATAATCAGGGGGTTGACCCCTACAAGAAGAATAAAGTTTTACTAAAGCTAGATTTGTCATTGACTGATCAATTCCTCAATAAATTATTATTACAGCAATATGATTGCAGTAATGGGAACAAAAATGAAGAAATAATAATGTAAACAGGTTACTAGTCATCAACGTGATCATCTTAAGTAAGGAATAGATTAAAAAGATGGAAAAAGCATTAATAAGAAACTGGTCAAAAAAATCTACTTAATAAAGAAAGAAAATGGAAGGAAATAATATTACAAATCCACCAGTTTCACACTTCAATGCTGTAAATGATACGTTTACTGTCAAGCATTCAAACTGCATCTCAACGACCCTATTTACAAGGAGATCAAACATTTTAAACTCAATAGGTGATTGAGAAGCCTGTTTGGGATGACTCAGGAAACAGACAACAGTAATTTAAAAAAATTATATTTAGTTGCTTTTATTGAAATAAAATTAATATTACCAGGTTGAAATTCATCAATTTTTTAACTTTTATGAAGTTAAAAGCACTTTGTCAAGCTAAAGCACAAAATGACGCATTTTAAAAAAGTACTTATTAGGAAATATTTTTTTAACATCACTACGGACAGGCACAGAATCATTATGGTGATGTTACAACAACCTTCCTACAGTTGTTGCTAAACTGCACCCAAAAAGATTATTTGCTCTAAAAAGGCCATTTAATAAATTAATAAATGGAATAAGTGAGACATGAACTTCAATTAGAAATGTCAACAATTAACACAAACCTTTTATAAACTTGTAGAGAGGGACAAAGGAGAGAAAGAAGTAGATAGTGCAAAACAATGAATTTAGAACTTTTGTGATAATTTACACTCATAAGTATTCTGAAACTAGGAGAGCTAATTATGGGAAAGTATATGACAGTGAAACAATAAGTAAAACGTCCACGTAATGAAGAACATAGTACACCATCAAAGTAAATGAGAAAGAGAAAGGTCCTTTAGACAGTGCACAGCATACCCTAGAATTTTGACCATTCTCTTCAGAAGATCAAATTCAGAAGCTCCTGGGAACAATGGAAGACCAAGAAACAACTCGGCCACTATGCACCCAAATGACCACATATCAATAGCAGTAGTATATCTAAGAAAGAATTAAGTTTTTGCAAAAAAAAAAAGTATCAAATCAAAATGAAACTCAAGTAATAACACAAAGTTACAGAAAATGTTTGTCCACTGAATTCCAAATAAATTTGAACTGATAAAATATTGCCAACAGGCACTAACAAAGTTAAGAGTCCATTCAGAGGATTAGACCAAAATATGATGCAATAATTATGCAAGCATATTTTGCCTCTTTGCCCCTATGCACACAAAACAAATGAAGAAATAATGTGGTTCAACAAGATTCAAGGATACTGATATCCAAGTAGAACTTCAGGAGACCGATAGTACCGACTCTGCATAAGGAGAAACCCTTGTCACTGAAGATCTTTAGCATGAGTCAACAAGTGCATAACAATATTCACTATCAATCACCAGTAATAAACCTTAACCTGAATATAGGAGTACACGGTACGATCTTCCATGCATGCTGATCCAAAGTCTATTATTTTCACTGCAGCTGGCTTTACACTGTCGATATGATGTTTGAATGTGAGAGATTGAAAGGGAAGACAAGAATAAAATGCTATCACATACAGCTCAACAGTAAACTGCTCACCTTGTACATAAGAGAATGTTCTCGGGCTTCAAATCACAATGGATTATACCGGCATCTTTCATAAGAGCTAATCCATTTAAGATCTAGTGCAATAACCACAAATAAGCCGCTGTTTAAATAGTTTGTAAGATCAGATACATATCCATTTAAAGCAAAGAGATCATTACCTGCTTTGAAAACAATTGAACAATGCTCAATGACAATCCCCTAAAATGGTTCAACTTTATAAGCTCATACCTATGTCAAAGATAGAAAAGTTAACATACACAATTTTATCAGTATTAACATCATCACAACATCAGGGAAAATAAAGAGGATTTCAGTGCTGGTTCACTGGTTGCTCTGATGTCTCTCTAAAACTGCATAAGTACAGAAATACATTAAACAGTATTTTTTATTCTAGAAACTTACAGATTAGTATCGAGCAATTCAAAAGCAATGCATAAGTGTCGCTTATGCACAAAGTAGTCATAAATGCGAACGATGTGATGCTTATCCTCAGGATCAAACTTCTTATTCAACTGAAGAAAAACCAAAGTTTAAAGAAAGATAAATTACAACATCCACATTAACTTAACTGCTATTGCAGTAAAGTTTTTTATAAATACATTAGCAGTAGAGATTCTAACTGTTGTCAGGATAGAAACTTCAACGAGAGCTTGTTGATAATACGCTGGTTGATTTTTTATGACTTTCACAGCAACAAAACTATCTGTTTCTGCAACCCAGCATTTAGCAACCTGCCCAAAGGTACCATGCCCAAGACTATCTTTGACAATGTACCTACCAAAGAATTTAAAAAGATAAAAAACACACATACACAAACAAATGTTAATTACAAGAATACAAGTACACCAATAAACCAATCATTTGCTAGAACTAAATTTGTTTTGACATTATTTTCATGCCTCTGGAATTTACAAGGTCATGTACTTGATGTTGTGTATAAGGTATTCAAAGTTGTGAAGAATCTTGAGAAAATATCCGGGTGCACACACCAAAAAACAAAATTTCTACGCCTAGTGCAAACCAACAACCCATACTTGCTATAACAGTAATTGACTTAAAGAAATACTTCAAGTTGTTTGCTTCTACTTGTGGACAACTTAAGGTGCATAGAGAAGGGGGGAGAGAAATCAAACTATCAAAGCAAAGAAATTCATATTGAAAGTTTTGCATAGTGGTATGTTGTGAATAAAATGCTATGAGCGGAAAATGCTAGAGGATGATTAACAAAATCATAAACCTTAGTCGGAAAAATCAATTTTCACCATTTTCACACTAACAAATTTAAACAAATAATTTTGGTAGTCTGTAGATATAGTATGAGTTGTATTACTTGTACAGTGAAACTAAGCACGCATTGACATGTTCACTGTAAATAGAAGAGACAGATGACAACCGTCTAAACTGTCACTAATAGGTATGTCTCTATTTAACGTAAATCCCTACCAGAATTTATTTGTACCAAACTGCCCATTCTTAACACACGATGTATATTGCAAAGAGATACACAACATAAATTATGAGTGCATAAGCATAACTACAGACCTTCTTTGGGTGTCTATATTAGTCAACTCAAGATTGCAAAAGAGAATGAGGTCTGAATTTGCATTATCATGTCCATCATTCAACACCCCTGCAGTAGGGGTTGTCAAGAATCTTTTTGGATTCAATTCCTCTGTATATTGAAATTGGGGGTTGCATATGTGGTAGGTCTCAACAATATCCTTGGTTAATCTTGCCACCAACTGCAAAGTAGAATCCATCATGTCACTAGAATGATCATGTATTTTAAACTTCAATTCTACAAAATTACATGAAATTAAGCCCAAGAGTTGGCTCATAGTCTAATCTCTTTCCAATCAAATGTATTGGGCTAATAAGTCAAATTATTGGATATAAACAGGAGCTGCCAGTTGATTATTATAGGCCTGAGCCTGAATCTATTAAGTTCAAATGTGCAAGGATGACTAATAAGGAGACAAACTTCGAAGAGTTAGCCTGTAACCACGACTTCTTCACAACAATGATGATTTTTTATGTTGATCACCTAGGGATTTTGACAACCAGTCTGTCCAGATGAGAAGGAAAGCAATCTAACGTTTCTGTTCAGTTTGGTAGGAAGGCATGGTAGCAGGAGAAAAGCATACCTTCTGACTCCGGTGAAGTATACGTTGATTCTTTCGTGCCTGTGTGTGTTTTGTACAATCACAATATTCTTCTAATTTGCATGAAATTGGCATGTTGCACTTGTTTCCATTTGATGCTTAAATATGTTGGAGTCTTTTTAAAAATTGTAACTAGTGTACACGATGATTAATTATTTGATTCTCAAAGTGATAGCTTAAAATACCTTGGGCCAATCATCCGAAGTGGTGGAGAGATTGATGGTGTTGTCCCCCATCGTATCAAAGTGGGATGGATGAAGTGGAGGCTTGCATAGTTACATCCGGAGTCTTGCGTGAAAAAAACGTGCCACTGTAACTGAAAAGAAAGTTTTATAGGCCACCAGTCCATTCGGCCGTTGTATGGTCAGTTAAGCTCACCCGCATGCAAAAGCTTTGGGCATGAGAATGCTTGGATGGATTTGCGGTAATACTAGGACTAGGAGGGACAAGATTAGGAATTAATATTTGCAGGATAAAGTAGTAGTGGTCTCACTTCCTGTGGCAGAGATGTGAATGCTGCGATGGATGTGTGAACAGAAGAGGTTTGATAGAGTTCAAAACAAGGGGCTGAGTGAGAGTAATCCCTGTGGAGGATAAGCTATGGGAAGCTATGTTGAAGGTGTTTGGATATGTGAAGTGTCGTAGTGCAAAGGCGTTAGTGCAGAGAAGCAAGAGGCTTATAGTAGTGGGTGTGGTGGGGTAAGGGGCAAACCTAAGAATAGTTGGAAGGTGGTGAGTTGATAAGACTTAATATCTCTTACCAAGAATGACCTTAGATAGGAGCACTTGGAGAGTTAGGACCAGAGTAGTGGGTAGTTGTCTATGCTTTAGAAGTAGACACAGGATTTGGATTTTGCTCACTGACAAGATGACCTTAGATAGAAGAGTGTAGAGGTCGAGCATTAGAGCATTAGAAGTGGAGGCTTGCATAGTTACATCCGGAGTCTTGCGTGAAAAAAACGTGCCACTGTAACTGAAAAGAAAGTTTTATAGGCCACCAGTCCATTCGGCCGTTGTATGGTCAGTTAAGCTCACCCGCATGCAAAAGCTTTGGGCATGAGAATGCTTGGATGGATTTGCGGTAATAATAGGACTAGGAGGGACAAGATTAGGAATTAATATTTGCAGGATAAAGTAGTAGTGGTCTCACTTCCTGTGGCAGAGATGTGAATGCGATGGATGTGTGAACAGAAGAGGTTTGATAGAGTTCAAAACAAGGGGCTGAGTGAGAGTAATCCCTGTGGAGGATAAGCTATGGGAAGCTAGGTTGAAGGTGTTTGGATACGTGAAGTGTCATAGTGCAAAGGCTTTAGTGCAGAGAAGCAAGAGGCTTATAGTAGTGGGTGTGGTGGGGTAAGGGGCAAACCTAAGAATAGTTGGAAGGTGGTGATTTGATAAGACTTAATATCTCTTACCAAGAATGACCTTAGATAGGAGCACTTGGAGAGTTAGGACCAGAGTAGTGGGTAGTTGTCTATGCTTTAGAAGTAGACACAGGATTTGGATTTTGCTCACTGACAAGATGACCTTAGATAGAAGAGTGTAGAGGTCGAGCATTAGAGTTAGGTTGCAAGTTGGGGGCTTTCAAGAAGGTTTGGTTCCTCGGGATAGCTTGGTTAATGAGTGCTTTTACTATTCCCATTGTTTGGTGTGGATTATCTTTCCTTCAGCCATTGTACCAGTTTTACCCTTTCTCTTTTTCATGGGATCATTCTAATGTATTTCATTTGTTCTTGTGAGTCGGTGCCTGTTTGAGAAAGCATCTCAACCCTTCGTTTTCCGTAGGCGTGTAGGGTAAGGTTTCCATGCACCTACGCTCCCCAGATCCAACTTGTGGGGCTTCACTAGGCCAGTTTTTGTTGTAAGCAGTGAATTGGACGGTTTGCAGATAAACAACCCCTTGATTTTCAGCCTAAGTCTCTGTTCTTTTTTGTTGGAATTCTAAAGTTGGATGTTAGAAGAAACTGAAAGAAGCTGGAAGAAACTGGAAAGAATTGGAAGAAACTGGAAGGAGTTGAAACAAACGGAAAGGAGCAAGAAAATGTTGGAAAGAATAAAGCGTTAAAAAACAGTCAATTAAATAATCACCCAAATAAATATGCATGAAAACTAATTTTGGATATAAGATAGAATTCATCTATGTTCGTGTTTGAGGTGTTGTGTTATGAATTTGGATATATAATGTTACTGTATAGTCATCATATGTAAATATTTTTTTAAGTCGCTGGAAGAAACTGGAAGGAGTTGGAAAAAATGGAATGTGTTGGAAAAAACTTGAAAGAGTTGAAAGAAACTAGAACGAGTTGGATAAAGTTGGAAGTTATTTTTTCCAACCGAAAAGAACAGATCCTAAGTGTGTCAAGGTGGAGAAAGCAATGTAGCAAATTCATTTTTATGAACATTTTAAATAGGAAAGCTTGATAGCAGGATCCTTACATAAAGCACTTTGGGATGAGGAACACTAGATGGATGCAAAGATAGAAAAGAAAAGTTAATAAATTGTTAGTGTGTAGAAACAACCATGAAATAAGGGTACTATGATCATTTCTTGGAATATTTACCTATCACCAAAACTATACGCACCTAAGTGATACAGTATAGGAATGGTAGAAATAATATTATCTGAAGTAGTAGTGAGAGGTTTCATGAGGCATAATAAATGGCAAGCTAATAAAAGATGCAGATCTGCAATAAACCCTGATTTGGCTCAACAACACACGTAAAAACCCAAAGTTGAGTCATGAACTTAAGTAGTACTTACAGGTCTTCTGACAGCCACGCGCAAGCTTTCAGGCCTAGCATCTTGAATACCTTTTGAAAAAGGAATGAAGGCAAGCTGGCTCGGGCGCCATGGTGTAGTGGCATGCTCCTCTGATGATGATTGCAATGATGGTGAAGAGGAAGAGCTACTTTGTGGAACAGATTCCGGGAACTTATATTGTCTCCCTTCATCACAACTAGTACTGGCATCATCCATTAATACAGAAATCTACTTAAGAAGCAATATAAGTTGCCCAAAGCTGGAAACTATCCCAGGCAGCAGATCATTTGATACCCCAGAATAGGGGTCCTAATCTTCATGAAATTTAGGAAAGAATTCACCGGAAGATTCTAATCCCATCCTCATTCACGCGCCCAAATTCACTCTACAAACAGCTCCTGCTCTTCAGCATTAGATCCATCCCAGGTGAGCCAGCTATTTCTATATTGTATCTATCTAGAGATTGAAAATACTCTCCTTCGGAAACAATCAAAATATTGCTAAAACTACAAAAGATCAACTTTTTATTCTAGAAGCCTAGGCAGATGACTAAAATACAAAAATCTACCAAAGTGCAGAAAATACACACAAGATACAACAGAATGATCGAAGCAGACGAAGATGATTTGAATAGATAAAATTGAAGATTGACTGAATTGAGTGTCCGCTTCGGAGTTGGGAGAGGGAGAAATGCTGTAGTTTCCAGAGAAGCCACCGATGAAGATGATCTTCTCTCCTAAAGAGATTTTACAGTTTTGTTCTTTTTCTTCAACCCGCATACATCATTGAAGCTCCAGCAATTAATTTCTTCTCCCCTTCCTCTTTTTTCTGCTATTTTCAGTTTTGCCCCAACAGTACTACAAGAGTAGCCTTCCCTTGTACTCTTCTTTAAAATCACGATTTTAACAGGAAACTTAATCAGGTTCACGTAATAATACATAACAAAAATCCTACCAACTCTTTGATGACAATCACATACTCCCTTCATTGTTAATTATACTTAACCAAAATAAATTAAAATTTTAAGTTTTTTCAATTAATTGTATTCAAAGGTTGGTATAGAAATTAAAAAAATAAAACTTGCAGATTTAAAAAGTATACCAAAAATTCTACAAAATAAGAGGTGGCAAAAATATTTTATTTCATCAAATAATGAATAAAAATATATAAATGAATAAAAGTTTTCTTGATTTTTGAATAATGAGAAGTGTAAAACTTTGTGAGACGAAAGGAATATGATTGATACATACACAGAGGATAATCGTTTGTCAACACAAATGATTATCGTCTGTGAATGTATGAAATCACATGTGATTGTTATTTATGGAGACACCTGCAACGGATTCCTAGAATGACCTAATGCATAAACATTCTTAGATCATATATACTTGTAGGCGTTGTATAGTTGGCAACGACAAGGGGTGTTAAGGGGGTTAGACCCAAGTTTGATTATTAGCAACTGCGTTAAGAGCTCTGTAAATGACAAGTGCAATCTCCACTCTTTGCAACCAATCTGTGATCAAAGTTCAAATTGTTTCATCTCAATGACTGCTCGGCTAGCTTTGAAGGAACCCTGAGGATAAGACTCATCTTATTATTCTTAGAGCATGTATATAGTGGGTTGCTTTAGTAACCCTACATAAAGTGATGTTTCACATAAATTCTACATCACTTTTTTAGGTGGTATAATTTCTTAAGAGCAGTGGTACTACGCATAACGCTGGGGGCGTCAATGGGCGTTTAACGCTGGTTTGGCGTTAAACACCGCCCCCCAGAGGCATTATCTCGGTGTTAGGTACCTAGTGTCAAACATTTGATGCTGCAAATGGCCGTTCCTTTTCAGCCATTGGCTCTCTCCCACCCCTTCCAATAGATATTTAGCCGAGAGTTATAAGCAAATGAAAAATATCCTCTTGCAAAGACGCTAACATATGCCGAGTTCACGCAAAAATTCATTTGGAAGAAAGCTAAAAGAGAGTATGTACCTCGACTCAAAGGGTTTGCTATTGGACATGTTGTATACGTCCCACTAGGCTCTGGTGAGTCTTATTGTATGAGAGTTCTTCTAAACATCGTTAGAAGTCCGACTTCGTACGAAGGTTTAAGAACTGTCAATGGTGTTATTCACAACACATATCGTGATGCATGCTATGCTCTAGGATTACTAGACGATGACAGAGAGTACATTGATGTTTTTAAGGAAGCAAGCTCTTAGTGTTCAGGAAAACAACTGAGATTCTTATTTGTTACACCATTAACAAACGAATCAATGTCTAGGACAAAACATATTTGGGAACAATGTTGGGAATTCATGGTTGATGACATTCTACATCACCAAAGATGTCTTCTAAGTCATCAATGTATTATACAACTAATATTATTAGTATTTTAAAATATAATCTCTTTGATTAACTGTAGTCATCTCATGCACTGGTTTAGTCTTAACTGGAGATCAAATCAAAAATTATGCCTTGATCGAGATTGAGATGTTACTTAGGATACGAGCTAAGAGTCTTCGAGATGTCATTGACATGCCTTTTCCCATTCTAGATGAACAACGTCACGCTTATGAAATAATAATGGCGTCTGTCGATTCGGGTCGATCAGGGGAAGATTTTTTTGTTTACGGTTATGGCAAGACTCGAAAGACTTTTGTCTGGAAAACTTTGTCTGCTTCTAAATGTTCAAGAGGAGATATTGTGTTAAATGTTGCTTCGAGTGGTATTGCCTCATTATTATTACCTGGGGGAAGACCTGTTCACTCGCGCTTTGGAATTCCTATTAATCCCCATGAAAATTCCATATGTAACATTAAACAAAAAACACCTCTTGCAGATTTGTTGGTTACGAGCAAGCTTATAATCTGGGACGAAGCTCCAATGACCCATAAATACTATTCCAAAGCTGTGGACCGAACTATACGTGATGTAATGAGTGTAGTTTGTCCATCAAATTCAAATCTTCCTTTTGTAGGAAAGACAATTGTGTTTGGAAGAGATTTTTGACAAATTCTACCCGTCATACCTAAAGGAAGAAGGCAAGACATCGTCAATGCTACGATTAACTCGTATTTGTGGAAATATTGCAGTGTCTTACGCTTGACAACTAACATGCGTCTACAACACATGTCTCGCGATGACAACATAGAGAGCATGGGAGAATTTGCACAGTGGATTTCGAGTATTGGTGATGGTTTTTCTGGGCGAGAGAATGATGGAGTTGGCGAGGTCATTATCCAGAAGATATGTTGTTAAAAACTATAGTGTTAGACAATGCGTGCAACTCTAGATGGGGGTGAATAGAGTTGTTTAGAATGTTTACTGATTTTCGCAGTGTGTGTGTAAATAAAAAATAATGAGAGTGCAGCGTAAATAAAAGAGAAGGCAAAGAACACATCGATGTATACTGGTTCACCACCTCGTGGCTAGTCTAGTTCCCCGAGAGACTCTCCCGAAGCTACCACTACTCATCAAGCTTCAACGGGTGCTTGACAAACCGTTTACTACTCGAGAACTTAAATCTCACAAGCCTCAACAACTACTACTCGTAGATGTGGCCTTCACAAGACTTCACACCCAAGACTTAAGTCACATAAGTCTTGTACAACCAGAAGATTAACCTTCTTCAACCTCACAACAAAACTCTCACAAAAGTAGAAATGAGAAAATGATTAATCTTTATGGATGACAAGAACATTCTCTTGAAAAATAAATAGTTTCCTCTCAAAATAATTTATATTTGAGGAAGGAAATAATGGAGGATTAAAACCACAAGACAGGGGAGTTTAGAAGTGCTTGTTCATTATAAAAATGACCAAAGAATGAAATTTATAAAGGGGTTGGAGGAATATATCCGCTGGAAACTAGAAAAAAGAGTTTGCTGAAAAACCAATGAAAAAATTGATTTTTTGAGCCAAATAATCGATTTTTTGGTACTGAGCAAAATTCCTTCATCAGACGAAATGATAATTGATTTTTGCCAAAGTGTAAAAATCGATTTTTTAAGCAATGATGCCCAAACATGAAAGACACAATCATGTGTGCGGGGTGAAGTGCTTATTTGGAATTTAGCACTTATTTTGGGCATGAAAATGAGACCTATGGGCTCCCTAATCAACAAATTTAATTCAAATTCAAATTTGAATTATGAGAGTGTGTTTTTGATGTAGAGAATGAGTCCCGAAAATATTTTATGTGTCAAACGATGTACACAAAAAATATTTGAATAAAATATTTTTGCTTACCAAAAATATTTTCTAATATCAAAATAAATATTTTGATAAATATTTGACATACCTTCTATAACTGACTCAATAAATGTATTTTGAATAGATATTTCAACTGACTCCAAAATAACTATAATTTTTATTTTAACTCTCATAAAAATAATTTTGGAGAGAAGATATTTTTGTCATTCTTACAATAATGCCTAAGAGTCAAATAAATAAAAAGGTCTTCGGAAATCTTCTACTCCACCGAGTCCTCCGATAAGCGCTCCGAACGCGTCTCGGACTCTAATAAAATCCTGTGCATCTTCTTGAATACTTCAAGGAATTTGTACTCCAAGTCCTCGTGTTTGTCGTTGTAGCACTTTGATCTTGACTTGAAGAAATTGTGTTTGTCAAATTATCAAAACATGTGAGTTAACACTTAACAACACAAAAAGAGTTGAACTCATGCATTCTAACATATAGGTGATCCAATTGCATCTATAGTAAATTCAACATATCCAGACTTTCACAATATTACAAATGATCCAACATATTTGCAAACTTGAGCAATCTTGGCACCAACACTAGAAGTCGTGGGTCGGAGAAGCAAAAACTTACTTGAGTTCTGATGCAATGTGTAAATCTGATTCAAACGTAGACTTCTTATCGGACATGCATTCTCCTGAATTTCTGAATAACATACGAGCATGTGGTGTACCAAACCATGAGTTGAAGTTAAAGATAGGAACACCAATCATGTTACGTTATTGAGGAATTTTGATCAATCTTCTGGTTTGTGCAATGGGACGAGGTTGATTGTTACCCGATTTGGCAATCATCTTATTCAAGCTACGGTGCTTACGGGAAAAAATATTGGACAAGAAGTTGTTATCACACGGTTGTTGCTTACACCGTCAGATACGAGAATTCCTTTTAAGTTTTAAAGTAAACAATTCCCAATTATGATTTCATATGCAATGACAATTAATAAAAGTCAAGGACAATCATTGTCGCATGTTGGGCTTTTACTAAAGAAGTCGGTATTCAGCCATGACCAGCTTTATGTAGCGCTTTCACGTGTCACAAATAGCAGAGGTTTAAAGATCTTGATATGCAATGATGACCCAGCCAAGATGAATTAAACTGGAAATGTAGTTTACAAAGAAGTTTTTCAAAATTTATAATGTAATGGTTCCACAATCTATATCATTGTATATTTTCTCCTCTTAAATATTTCATTATATATTCATATGTCAATTGAATCCTATTGAATTCCAATATTAATACTTTCCCTAATTTTTTTTGAATCTAGTATAAATAAATAAAATAAAATAAAATAAAAAGAAACCCTAAGAAGTGTTCTTCCTATTTGCGAGCTCTAGAGCTGCTGCTTCTGATTCGAAGCGTGGAAGCCAGCGTCGAGCTTCCATCTTGCCGCGGATAGCCACGATTCACTGCTTGTCTCCGCTCTTTCGCGGGGTTTAAAAGCCACCAAATCAACTCACTGCAACACATCATCTCTGGAGTCGTTCAGAGCTACGGCCTAGTCCCAACGGCACCCGACTTGTATTCAAGTCTCCCTCACGCGATTTCTCTCCAGGTTCGGCGTCTCCTCCAATTTATTTATTTCTGTTTCTGAAAACAAACGGTAGAGAAACGAGAGATTGATCCAGAACAGATGAAGAATAAGAAACGATAAATCATCATTACCAATATATCATACCCAGTGATTTTGCGTTGCCTTTGTAAATCCTGATTATTTTTTTTTTTGCAATGTAATTGTATAGAATTATAAACAAACTTGTTTTCAGTTTTCTTCCTTAGTATACAAACATGTTTACTTATAGCACATTCCTGGGTAATTGGTAGAAACAATAATAAACCATTGAAACTTGTTAATTATTCCATGTATAATTTGCAAACTACTTGTAATTTCTTATTTTCTCTGTTATGGACTTCATCCGAAGGGCGGGGGAAGATTTAAAGAGGAATAAGTTCCTCCATTTGAACCTTAGATTACATTCAGTAATTTGTTGTATGCTGCTAGTATGGAATTAGATTTATGCATTTTTATGGTTCTTTTGTGGATTATTAAGGTTGGATGGTTGCATTATTATTTTTACGCTCTGTCATCCCATCTGTTGCATCCCCCCATTCATGGACTGGATTGGATCTGCTTTGTTTAGCTTATTGGATGTGGTTGGAGAAGTTCAAATGGGTTCGGTTGCGGACGTCCACCAATTTTGATCCAATCGGCTCACAATCCTCTTCTTGATCATTATCAACCATTATAAAGTTTTTTAGGCTAGTGCATTCATTTGATGTACATTGAATTGCATTACTACTCGGCAGCTAGTACCATACATTATATGCAAACCAATATAGGATTGTTGGGTTACATATTCTATATCTTTAATCTCTTGTGTTTCAGGTGTGGGTAAGCGGGTAAAGACTAGGTTTCGTACGAGCGAGAACCACTATCAACATGTCGGCCGATCCTCAGTCTGCTTTTGTAGATGAAGACATTTCATCTGGCTCTGCAGATGACATGACAATGCTGGACGGACAAGGTAAAAGCCGGCCCGGAGCTCTAAACTCAGCGCGTCGCAAGAGAAGCCGCAAGGCAACAGGGGATGCTATAGTGGATGCCATGCTGGAGATTGCTGCCGCGTCAAAGATGAGGGCAGCTGCAACGATGAGAAACGAGGAGCGTTTTGCCATAAGCAAATGCATAAAGCTACTCGACGAGATGCAAGGCGTTGATCAAAATGTCTACTTCTATGCGCTGGATTTGTTCGAGAATCCCAATGCCAGAGAAACATTTGTGTCTCTCAAGAACGAGAGGCGGTTGATGTGGCTGAGCGGCAAGTTTGCAGCGTCATCTAATTCGGCTCCGTAAGAGGTATTTAATGATCAGGCCCTGAAAAATGAAAAAATAAAATTGGCCCGGTCCAAAATTTACAGTTTGTGCCCTATTTTATATTTTTAGAATACTTTTGCTTTAAATTTATTAACAAATTTAAAAATATAGTGCCCTAAATTTTAAGGGCCCTGTGCGGTTGGCCACTTTGCACACCCTCCAGGGCCACCCATATTAATGATCACATCAACTCTAACTTACTTCCATACAGAGCAACTGATGATAATTTTACCTCCAGATCCTCTGGATGTTTGATAAATCAATATTTTGCTTCAATCTTCTGCTTCTTTGAGTAGATACTGGAGACACACACACACACATTGTGACTTGCAATGGATTTTTAGCTTCTTTGCACTTGTATTTTGTTACTATTAATATATTGTTGGTGTGTTTTGAGACCAACCATTCTCCTACCATCTATGGATGATGAACTACTGAATACACATTTCCAATGCCATGGAAAGCGATGTGTACTGGCCGTTGTTTGGTTTGAAGTTTTTTGGAGTGAGGAAGCTGGATTTACGTGTTTGATAGGGGAAATGGGGGGGGTAGGCGTATGATACTTGGATGAGTTTACTAGACACCAGCATTGGTATACCATATGCAGACCATGCAGTACCCTTTTCGGTGGAATCGATGCCCTTATCGGTGAGAGACAATTCTGGTTGGTCTGGTTCCAGGGTGGTTCTTGGTGTTTTTTTTTAAATACTCCGTAGTTTATCTTTATTGTGAAAATATCTTTCTTGTGAAAATAAATATATAAAAATTATAATGTATATTAAACTATATACATTTTATTATGTTGTACTCCGGGTACTATATAATAAGGTTTACTCATAATATTAATATTATAAATTAATATGAAATGTACGGAGTATAATGTATCTTAAATTATAATTTATAAATAATACTTCGTGTATTAATATTTTAACCAAAAAACCAATATTGGTATCGACAGTTCTAGTACCTATTTTTATGCAACCAAAACTCATGCCTTGATTTCGATACGGTTCCTCATCCATATCTCCCACCTAGACCTGTCAAAAAATGACTCGACTTGTTTTTGACCCGAAACCCGACCTGAAAACACTGGGTTTTGAACAAAGGTTTTGATGACCGAACCCGAAGTTGACCGAACCCGAAATGACCCGCTAGAAATGGGTCAAACTTGACCAAACCCGAACTTGACCTGACCGACACGCTAAAGTAAGAGTTTTTCAAAATTATACACTTTACTAGTCGTTTTAGTGTATAAATTTATATATTCAAACAAAACTTTAATGATATTGCATAATCATCTTACTTTTTGTAAAACATAAGCATTTTTTAAATTCCTTATATTGATTTATATATCTAAAAATTACTTTAGAATTTAAAATAAAATAAACTAATAAATTTAATACATATTTTTTGATATTTTAAATTTATTTAATACAAAACATAAGTATTAATGTGAATTTAAAAATTTTAAAAACCAAAGCCATACTCGTTGGGTCGACCCGAACCCGATGACACTGGGTCATGAACATACAGGTTTCAATCCGAACCCGAATTGACCCGAACCCGAAATAACCCGAACTTGAAGTGACCGAACCCAAACCAGCTCTACAGTCCCACCTGCTCGGTTTTGGACAGTATATGTTTGAGTATATTTTTCCATTATTTGATGTACCCCATTTGTATACCATGATTGTCAACTATTATTATTTTAATCCGTGCCAGCACGAGGTTGAACGAATTCTTTTGTTGATTCAATGAATTATCTTAAATGCAATATTTTTAAATAATATTATGCAATTATATGGAATGGGCTTTTTAACACTATATGCATTAAAATAAAAGTAAAACAAAAAATTTAGCATTTAATATTTGGTAAAAAAATGCTTATATTTAAATTCAAAAGTAAACACCTCACAATCTATTTTAAATTCATATTTTTTTTTGAAAGCTTTTGGGGAATATAACATTTTTTGTATGGTTTAAATGATTTTCATTATCATTTAGAACTAATATTTTTAATCTTATCTTAGTTTTACTTGTGAAACAACATAAAGTTGACCTTGAGTGAATTTCATCCTGGTTAAAAATAATCCAACACATGAAAATGCTTGACATTAACTTTAATTCATAGTCATAGTAAAGTATAAAGTGTTCATCATCGCAAGTCTTCCTTTGATCTTCATTAATTGTGGATATATATTGTTCAAAATCGTATGACAACTTTTTTCTTTGTTATAGTCCAACTCTTCTACCAATAAATTGTTTTAAAATCTATTAAGTAAATTGTCATCTTGGAATGACATACCACTAAACTTCTACAAGGATTGTCTATTTGAATTAAGTACGTTTTCAATTTCAATCAAACACAAACTCTATAGATATTCGGAGAAAATAATAAGTTCTGCAAAAAAAAGTTAAAATGCAACTAAATTATTTCAATCCATACCTCAATTCTAGAGTTTTCATCTGCACCATGCATTTCATATTGATCTTTATATAAATAATAAAAATTACTTTTTTATATCCATACCTCAATTCTAGAGTTTTTCATGTGTACCATGCATTTCATATTGATCTTTATATAAATAATAAAAATTACTTTTTTATAGAAATACTTGATTATGCAATATTCTTCATTTGTCTAATAAAATCCCACCAACCAATAGTTCCCGTGATTTTTCCAAACAACTTGAGGACAAATCATGGTATTTGTCGCTAATAATGTGACTAACAAGTTTCTTAGTTGACTCTGAGATCCTAGCTCAATAGTCTCTTTTATACCTTCAATAATTTTTTTATCATTGGTTAATAACTTCAATGCTTCGCATGCATTCTCGAATGAGTTCTGTACAATAGTGTTGGTAATTTCTTCAAGCTCTAATAGCTTGTACATCATGTTGAACCATTAAAACTATTTTCAAGTAGTATAATTCTCCTGTTTCTATTGACACATATTGCGGCCTGTCGATGGTCTTTGTTGCCTCGGGAATCATAGAGAAATTATAGTCACCAAAATATTTTGTTTGATTTAGTTATTATAGATTTTCTAAACAAATGTGCATTAATTTTTCATGTTTCCAATTGCTATGGAAAAGTTGGATGCTCCTACCAACAATACGTAAAAAAATCGAAAGATAAAGTTTAAATACTGATTCTATCTTTTTTTTAATCACAATATTGAGCCTCTTTGAACACGTATGCAATGTATTTAAACTTGAATGAGGGTGGTGGATGGAATGACATGTTCTTTGAAGGAAAAAAGACTAAAATAGGAGTAAAACTTTGAAAATATACTAAAATAGGATTTCAATGTTTCTATTACCTATATAAGAGTTAAAAAGCATTTACATTACCAAACATGGTCATGTACATTACCAAAAAGTATAATAACGTGCACGTGTAGAGTGCCACATTACAACCACATTACCACAGTGCAAAACCTATTTCGTGAATAAAACATAGAAAAACTCCTATTTTGCTACTTCTTTTTATGTTTTAGTTCTATTTAGGAAGATTTCTATTCCTTGAATCATATCTGAATATTTTGTAATTGAATTTTAGGGGTATGAGTTATTTCCATTAATATGACTCTAAAATTGAGTAATTTAAGTAACAAATCTAAAAAGAAGACCATTTACATCACAAGTTACTATATTTAATGTTTAACTAAATTTATAAGATTTAGAATAAAAAAAGAGCAGAAGTTATAATATATAAATTTTTTTTATAATTTCTAAATAATGAAGTGTGACATTCTACTTAGGCCATGTTCTCCAATACTTAGGGCCCGTTCCGCAAAACTTATTTTTTTTACTTATTACTTATTCTTATTAAAATCAGTTCAAACCAGGTTAGATCAGATCCAATCAGATAAGATCTAATCAAATCAGATCAAACCGAATCAGATTAGATCCAATCAGATCAGATCAGATCAGATCAAAACAAATCATGAAAGAAATAATATTATTTCAAGGATTAAATAATAGTTACTATTCGATTAAATCATGTTACTTTATTTAAAGCTACACACACCTAAATATTAATTAATATGATAACTTTAATTATTATTATTATTATTATTATTGCTATTACTACTACTCCGTGTTATTATAATTATAATTATTACTATTATTATTATGTGAACTGTAATTTGTAACATGCAATATATTACTATGTAAAATGCATAAAGAATGTAATAGTCTTGTAGAATGACATCTGTATTTTCTAATATTTGGTTATTTTAATAGTGTGTAATAATACATTCTTTTCACTATACAAAGTGAAATTGATTATTCCATTTTCACAGAGATTAGAAAAATAGTGACATTGAAAAGATATTTAATATTTCAAAGAAAATGTTTAAATATAATAATGATTAGTTATTGTCCATCATTTTCTTATTTTACATTTTTCTATGTATATATGAATTGTAATAGTAATACTTTAAAATTATCAAATTTTTTATAATAATCATAAGTTTAATTTAAATCAAATTTAAATTTAAATACACCAGATCTAATCAGATCAGATTCAGTCAGATCTAACTAGATCAGAACTTTAAAAATTCAGATCAAATTCAATCAGATAAACAAAGCCTCATTCTTTTTACTTATTTTTATTGAAATCAAATCAGATTAGAAATAATTTTAAATATAATTACATTAAAATCGAATGAGATCAAGATCAAAATACCAATAAAATTAAAATTATTGAGATGAGAAGATGACAAAGGCATGCATCTACATAGTGGAAACCTTTTTGTGGAGTAATGTGCAACTTTCTGATAACCAACGGGTCATTCGGGAAAATAATCCGAGTTTCCCGACCATAGGCAGGCAGTGGATACAAACTCCCGCCCGGAACCAAATGGAGTAATCTGTAAACAGCCGCGGGCATTTCAGATTCCTCTTCGCCGCCGCAATGAGCAACAGGTATCCATTCCAATTCCTCTCCCGCATTTCGATTGTTCTTCTCTTCCCAGAATGCGCTTCAATTGATTCTGTTTGATCTAGACTATAAATATGTATGACATCACATAGCAAGAGGAAAATTAGAGCATTCAAAAAATGGATGAACTGGAAAGGCATAGAGTGCAGCGACGCCTTGGAGCTCGTCGAGGAGGGATCCTCCGTGTTCGTCAGAGCGGTCTGCGATCTACACGAAGGCGACGTGGTGGCGAAGATCCCCAAGGAGAGCTGCCTGACGATCAAAACTTCTGGTGCTCGGCGAGTGATTGAGGAAGCCCAGCTCGACGGATACTTAGGCCTGGCTGTAGCTCTCATGTACGAACGGAGTCTTGGCCCACTTTCCCCTTGGTTTGGTTATCTTCACCTCCTGCCCCATTCCGAGCCTATTCCCTTGCTCTGGCCACTCTCTGAAATCAGCTCTCTTCTTGCTGGCACTGAACTCCACAAGGTAATCTCACCATTTCCTTTTTTTTAAATCTGTTATTTTGCTCGCAATTGTAATTTTAATTTTGGTTTTTTTGAATTCAAAACTGCTTGAATTTTTGTAGGTACATTCATGATAAATTTGATTGACATCATTACACTGATTTTAATGATTGAAATAGACCTAAGCATCACTTGATAGTCTTTTAAGGAAATGGTAAATAATGCTAAAACTAGATACACACCGGGGCACCCCGTTTTAGTTGCTTCGGGAACTACGTTCCACTCTTCATGGCATATGAAATCCGCCACTTTTAGTAGCAATTTGTCAATTTCTAGTAGTAACTCTTTTTCTTGATATACAACGCACTAGATTGAGTAAGTGGACTTCATGATGGTACTAGCCATATTGACAAGGAAAACATGTGTGCTTTGGTTTATACCAGCACAGTTGCATGTAAGATTCTTAGTGGGGTCCTTAAATGCTATGACCTTTGGCCTTGTTATGCCTGGTTTCTGTGTGTGACTGTGCTGGTATTCTTGAGGAGTAATGCTAGAGTCACAAACAAAACATTCACAAAATTCACAAACTTGCCGAATATGTAAAGTAATGGATTCAAATAATGGTCTCAAATAATTGAAAAATAAAAACTAAAATACACAAATTGTAAGTTTGTGCATTTTGTGAGTGTTTTGTTTGTGACTCTAGCATTACTCATTCTTGAGGACAGATAATTACAGAAGACAAGATTCTCATCCAGGAGGACTGGAAAGAGTGCATCCAACCTCTTTTGAGCAATTCTTCCCTGAAGCTTAACCCAGCATATTTTGGTATTGAAGAATATTTTGCTGCCAGAAGTCTTATTGCATCTAGATCATTTCAAATTGATGGTTACCATGGATTCGGGATGGTTCCCCTTGCAGACCTGTAAGTTACATCATTGCCCATATTTCTTAAGTTNAACATATTTTCTAAAATTAATGTGAAAATATGGTAGAATCTAACATCAATCTACTTCATAACGCTTCATAGTCTGAACCAGGAGCAGATTCTCAGGTGACCAAGTGCAGCTTTCTCTGCGAGATGACCGTAATATATATTCAGCCTTAGAGTGAGTTTCCACCATCACCTATCCAAGCCCGACCTCACATCATTGCTCCAGCCCTTCTGAAATAGCTTTAAACTCAGCATACAAAAGACAGTTTTAATTGAAGGTGCAGAAAGCACTCACAAAATATCATTTTGCATTTTTAACATTGTTTTCTAAGGTAATTGACAAGAGACACAAATGCAGTTTGACACTCAGATTAAGCCTCAGTGGCGTAAGCCTCTAAGTCCATATCCTATGTGTGTAGAAGGCCTGGAGCCCTCTTCCATTGGCTTTGGAAGGTTCATCTTAGCCCATTCCAAGTGAATGCATGGCAAAAGGGCCATTCCTTCAGAGAGGAGGATTTTTTATACCTTGGAGGAACTTGGAAGGTCTTGGGATACCAGATATACCAAAAGCCTCGAACATGCGTTCCTTGTATCTAGAAGGGTGTCACTGAGCTTTACTAAGCCTTTCCAGGTCAAGAATTCATTTGTGCTGATGAGATTAGTTTTTTTGTGACTTGAGATTTGGAAGGTCTTGATTGCTAGCACAACAAGATAACATGTCTAGGCCATGGCTCACCAGTTTGCATAGAAGTCAAGCAAGGTCTTTTGAGAATATATTTCCGATAATTCTCATTGACTTACTTTAATACCTCATCAGTATGGTTCTTGTCGTATGTTTTAGTGTACATGTAGACTAGTTCCCTTATGTGTACATGTAGACTTGTTCCATCATCTCCGATGGAGCCAAAATTTCACCATTTTTTGGCTTTGGGGTGTGATGGAATAAATCAAAATGGATCTCTAAACTGTCTGCGCTTCTTTAATTAATGAAGTAGCAGTTAGTCAAGCAATGCAACTTTCGACGTTGAGCCGGGGGTCTCTTTGGAAATAGCCTCTCTACTTTCGAGTAGGGGCAAGGTCTGCGTACACACAGCCTCCCCAGACCCTACTCTTGTGGGATTTAACTGGGTTGTTGTTGTTGTTGTTGTTGTTGTTGTTGTTATCTGTGAATCCTTTTGTTGCGTGTCTCGTTCTCTTACTAATTTTTCCTTTTAGCATATTTTGTTGATTATTTTTATTTTTAGCCTAGGGTCTTTCAAAAACACTCTCTTTACTCCTTAAGGGTAGATTTAAGGTCTGCATACTACATTCTACCCTTCCCTCCTACTCCTAGGACATCACTTTTGGGACTACATCGAGTTTGTTGTTGTTGTTGTTGCAAGTTTTACATGAAGAGACAATGGGAGGGATCAGTGGAGGTGATTCCGGAGTGGAGTGATCTCAGGAAAGAAACATGGTTGTATGGGTAGACAAGGTTGTGGCCGTCGACAAATTGAAGGTCATGGACGTTGTGAGAGAAAAAGCAAAACAATAAGGGCAAGGAAAAGAGAAAATAACATTGGGTAGGTGAAGATAATTTGGATGTTCCTAGTTTCTCCCTGATGATTAAGACATTGATCTTAATCTCAATAAGGATGTAAACGGTGGAGGAAATACTATTGGTTTTTATCCAAATTCAAGCTACTAATATGACCCTCTTTTTCATTCTTCAATCTAGTGCACATTCCTCTTTTGAAGGGTGCAATATTTCATCTTGTGTCATGCTTGAAGTGTCTAACTATACGTTATGAAGGGGTTATGACATTGTGGTTGTTGGATTATACTCCCTCCGTCTTGCTGGGATCCCAGTTGACTTTTCTGTGTTCATTCACTGAAACCCTCTTTTTCCGCTCGTTTTTGTGATGCACCATGTCTGTTTTAAGATTCAAGAATATCATGTCCTTTTTTAACCCTTCAATCTAAGCCATTTTTGCTCTACTACAGTCTCTCTTCACGTCTCCAACACCCTAAGACTCCATCTATATCTGCTCTCCCCACTCTCTTAAATCTTTCTCATTGCACATTCTTTCTTTCTAATTTTGTTGGACATCACTAATCTCTGTCTTTTGTTCTTAAGACAAGATCTTCCGGAATCCCCTTCTCTACCTTTTTCCAGAAGGGGTAAGGTCTGCATTACCCACCCCCAAGGACCCTCTCTGTGGGAATATAATGGGTAAGTTGTTTAGAGGCTATGTGATAGAACTCAAGATTGGTGGGGAAAATAAATGAAGGATAGTCTTTATCAAATTATGAAATCAGGATCTAACTTCATAAATAATAAAGATGAAGGAAAATCTTTATCAAAATATGAGCAAGAATCTTAAACTCATATAAGTAATAAAGTCAAGGAGTATCTCCAATAATAAATATTGAATTACTTTTCTGGATAGTTTTACAAATAATAAACCTCAATATTTATAGAAGCCAAATAACTACCAATCCCTATAATTTAGGCCCACTACCACACTACTTAGTAACTATTCCTAAACTTTAGGTTCACTACCACATTACTTAGCAACTACTCCTAGAATTTAGGCCCACTTACACACTATTTACTAAGTAACTGACATATATCAAATAAAACATTTGACCCGATAAACAATAATCCTAAGGGACTCTACCATAAATATTAATAACATAAAATTACTGCGTATGGCACTCTATCACTATGCAGTTCCTGCGTCAAACTGTCATCTTGTTCCTTGAGTCTGCCTGCATTTGGTCTGTTGTTCATATTTCAGTCCTGTATCTTTCCATTAATCTAAAGCGTTGTCCTCTAGCACTGATTGAATGTTCTGTTGTGCAGTTTCAACCACAAGACTTGTGCTGAGGATGTGCACTTCACATCCATATCCTCCTACTCTGATTCAGATAGTGATGTGGATGATAAGAATAGTAACAATGAGTACCAACATGACAGTACTCACGAACCAGCTAATCAAAATATATGTTCAGAAGGAGAATATTTGAGCGGGAGTGACTTAGATTCTTCTTCAGTGGCAGGGGATGATCCTGCAGTTCTAGAAATGATCATGGTAAAAAATGTGAAAGTTGGATATGAGGTAAGTTATGATTTTCTTGCAAACTCAAATTGAATAGTGCAGCATTGATATTAGTGCAATGTGAAAATTAAACTTCTGCATCCGTCCCAAACTAAGGCTCCTCTTTACTATTCACATTGTCATACTACATCTTTCTTTATGCAGTTTCATTGATGGTTTGATGAAATAAAATAGTCATGTCACCACTTGTTTTGTTGAACTTTTGATATAGTTTTTAAATATATACTCTGTAATTCTTATTTTTAAATTATATACCAATTTTCAAATATGTTGAATTGAAAATAACTTTCGTCAAATATCGTAAACCAATACATGAGCCTTATTTTGGGACGGAGGGAGTATATATAATATAATAATACTGGTTGGTTTTGAATTTCAATTTGGCTAGAGCATGTGTACTACTATAGTTGATGTGTCACCCAATCACCATCGACGCTACGCATTAGTCCATCGTAAACAATAAACTATTTTTTAGTGTATTACTGTATTTCGTTGTGTATGTGTGTTGAGAATTGACGAACATGTGTGATTTTATATTCAAACAATGCATATCTCCATGAATTTCTTGATTTTAGGTATTTAATACATATGGATGCCTCGGCAATGCTGCATTGCTGCATAGGTATGGGTTCACAGAGCCAGATAATCCATATGATATTTTAAACATAGACCTTGAACTGGTGCTTCAGTGGAGCTCTTCTGAGTTCTCATCTCGCCACAGCCGGAGGAGGGTCTCACTGTGGAGGAAGCTGGCTTATTCTGGATGCGTCAGCCAAGACACTGAATATTTTGAAATCTCATTCCACGGCAAACCACAAACCGAGTTGATAATTTTGATTTACTTATTGTTGGTTTCAGATGATGTTTATGATGAGGCACATCTTGCTCTGTCGACCACGTGCGATGCTGGGAAATCGTGGGATCTCTTTTTATCAAAGAAAGGAGTTTCATTTGACAAGGGATTATTAGAACTTGGTAACCGTTCGCTCCTCAACGTACGCGTTTGTATGGCTCTTTTGTCGCTAGCGGATATGCGGGAGAGTTTATATGGTTCGGAGTCTCTGACTGATGATATTAATGCGCTGGGGGAGTGTTCTTGGCTGACCGAACCTAAACTGTATCATTCGCTAGTTCTGCGTATAAGTGAGAGGAAGATCATTCAAAAGTTAAGAAACTATGCTTCAGACCACCAAGAAAGGTACTAAAGGAAGAAGGTAAATACAAGATATATGCATATAGAATCAATCAAGCCACCAGGTTGAAGTCCTGCTATGCTGATATTCTTCTTATGTGGCTCTTTCTTTCTTTATCTATTTATTTTGGACCATGCTACACTTACACCAAAAAATATACCCCATTTGTACACCACAGGTTTGCACAAACATTTCGATGGTTTACACCGACACAAGTGTTGGTGCGTTAATAAAAACTCACACGGACACAAATGTTGGTGCATTTAACAAAAATTAGTTTTACACCAACACTTTGTGTTGGTGCAAAACTGCGGGGTACAAATTGGGGTACAAAACTTGGGGTACACATAGCATAATCCATTTATTTTTGGTAATGGAAGGATTGACGTCTTGCTATTCAAGCAATGTTCTTAACAATGCCGGGGGAGGGGTGTGATAGAGACGTAGTGTCTGTGGGCCTGAGCGGAGCATAGGCGGGCCTTGGTTGGGCCAATGCAGAAATACGGAGTAAATCTTTGCGACTAAGAGCATTGTCACTGTGTTGGATTAACAAAAGTGATTATTTTTGTATCACTTCATGAAAAATCCATAATCTAAAGTTAGTATAAAAAGTAGTGTTGTTTGCAGCTCAAAGTGATTTATTGCCTTAACATGCATTCTAATGTTTGGCATTATAATCACTTCTAGATTTCTACACATTTATTCTAATGCCCCTCTTTTTTTACGGTTCCTACTTTCGAGTCAAACTGAACAAATTTTAATTATCAATTACTCTCAAATTGTATTTATTACTATTATGTTTATTTATTTTTTGATTGCTAATATTATATTTATTAATACTAGAAATAAAATTTTAAAAATTCTCAACAAGATAAATCAAATGAAGTAATTTTTATATTAATATAATTTATATAAGTTTACAATATTTATTTAATTGAGATCTAAAGTTCACCCATTTTGACTCCAAAAACTGAAATTGGAAAATGTAATGAGATGAAGGTAATATTTATTTATGTAATATTTTTTTATTTTTAGTAAAAATATGTTTGTTATATTTTTTATTTAATTTAGATGATTAATAAATAAAATAATAATAATTCTGTAATTATGAGAAGGAGCTTTTTGGCTACACCATTTTTGGCCAATGAACGCCATGATAAGGTGGTTGTCACATATCAAATAATGCTTTTCTTGGGTTCTTCAATTATACTCCCTCCGTTCCAAATTATTTGCCACATTTGTATTTCCGAGGCAAAATATCAAGTTTTTTCAATTCATTTTATTTACATATTGGTATAGAAATAAAAAATAAAATTTACATATAAAAAAACTACATGAAAAGTTCTTCGAAATAAGAGGTGTCAAGAATATTTTATTTTATCAAATTACCAATGAAAACATCGAAATAAACAAAAGTTCCCGCGACTGCTGAAAAAGCAAATATTGTGAATATTTAGGGACGGAGGGAGTATTACACTCAATATTATGGAGTTGGAAAAGGAGTAAAAAGAAAAAAAACAATTTGATCCATTGGTCTATTCTTGATCCGGAGTCTGGACGGATGAAACTCAATCTAGTCCGGGCTGTTGGTGTAGCTTAGTTTTATTCATAATAAAGTTTGTTACTCAACCAGCAGGTTTAGGGTTCCAAGCTGGTACAAAAGTTTGTTAGATTGTTGGTGAAAAAAATCTAGAGGTATCCGAACCGGTGTATGCCAAATAATTAAAAAAAAATACACTCATCGGTAAATTTAAAAAAAAAAGAGGCGAAGTACTACTCATTGCCATAAACTTTTAGTTAGAAAATAGATTTGACTTTTATATGAAAAAACGGTCAAATTCCACCCGTCATTCTGTCTAATTCACTCGGTCCACCGTAATTCCAACAACTCTAAAACTAATGCCCTTTTCTAGGAGACATGCATCATACCCACATCAATATATTTTTGAACATTAAGCGAGCATTCAAAAATAAGGCCGGATAATAAAAATAGGCATCAGTGGACCATGAAATTGGCTAATCGATTAGGCGATTAGACACCTCAGTAGAAAAACCTTGGTGCCAAATTCGAGTTCAAAACCCACAAACATTAGAATCCCAGGTCATTCTAAAATGGTAGTGCAATGAACAGAGTGGATGACTGGCTACCCCAGACAGCAGACCCCACAATCATCTTCCAATGCATAGTTAAGAAAAATAAATAAGAGTTCAAGTCTGAAGATGTCTTGATGTGGAATCTCTAATAGTTTTATCATATCATATATTAATAGAAACACCTATCTTCTTCCCCTCGCGGATCCTGCAGCAGGTTCAGATAGAGAGTGCACATACAGAGTTACTTACTTCATCATCTTAGCCAAGGCAGCATTCAACCCTTCCTTGGCAGCAACCTCCTCTTCCTCGTGCCTGCGCTTCATCTCATCCATCTCCGCCTGGTGCCGCTGTTTCATCTCATCCTCTTCCGTCTGGCGCCGACGCCTCAACTCTTCGTAAGCCTCCATCAGCTTCTGCTTATGTTCCCCTGAGTGCCCCTTTTCCAGGTTCAGAGACTCGAAATATTTCGCCAGTTGGTCAGCTCTGATTCCAATCCATCAATTAATAACATTCGAATGCAGACCCCGTGAAAAAAAAAAGAGACAAAAACACTAGAAAAATATGAAATTACGGCGAAGGTTGTTAAGGCACAAGTCGCTAAGGTTACCTTCGTTGATCATCCACAAGAGAAGAATTTGGATTATTAGAACCCCCAGCAATCTTGGCATCGTGTATGCTCTGCAGCTTTTCCTTGATGAAACTGTCCAGATAATCCATCTGAAGAGAGAAACAAAAAACAGAGGGTAGTATGATGCAATTTCACCAAAAAAAAAAAAGTGGGTGGATGAAAATCTGAACCCCATTAAAGAACAAGGAACAAACATTGTCACAATAGCAAACTACTCCCCCCGTTTCACAAAAGAGTTCCGTTTTAGACTTTTGGAAAATCGAAGGAGCGTATTTTGAAGCTAACTTTCCAATTTTTTCCTTGTATGTGATGTATAAAAGTAGGATGTGATGAGTAGATTAATAGTGAAGAGATGATGTGATAGGTTCGGTAAGGGTTAGTAGGGGTAAAATAGACTTTTTAATGGAAAGCGGAATGTTTTATGGGAAGAATGAAAAGTGAAAGTGGAAGAATTGTTTTGTTAAACAGAGAGAGTATAAAAATGAACTAAACAATAGGATCATATTTATTTAGATAAAAAGCAAGAGAATTCAAGATTCATACTCTTCTATCACAGCATATGGGGAAATCAAAGACAACAAGAAATGTCAATGGCAATACTTATGGAGAATTAGAAATTGTTAAGTCCATTTAAGCACTACGATTCTTTTCACAGCAAGCCAAGATAGATGTCATACTATGACACCGAGGCATACGGTGCTTTGTTTGGCCCCAAACCCATCCCTAATTCCCTACCCCCCCAATCAAACCCTCAGCCCCCTGGCAATGTAGCCAAATGGCATGAGCAAGCCCCTCCGCCCTAGGCCGCCAACAACCCCCTACGCTCCACCCCTGAACCCATCCCCATGCCAGATGGAGCACCATAGGGGGCCCCGTATGGCATTGCATCATATTTTGACATCCAAGACCATTGTCAAAAGAANCAGCCCCCTGGCAATGTAGCCAAATGGCATGAGCAAGCCCCTCTGCCCTAGGCCGCCAACAACCCCCTACGCTCCACCCCTGAACCCATCCCCATGCCAGATGGAGCACCATAGGCCCCCCCCCCCGTATGGCATCGCATCATATTTTGAGAAGACCATTGTCAAAAGAACTATACAATATATATGTGTGGAGCATCAAAAATCACCTAGCACTCTAGGAGTAACTACTTATCATATAAGCACGAATCTTTTTCTTGACAGGAGTAACAATTTCCAAAAAGCATTGTTTTCAAAGTGGACAGCCATATTTTGAAGATAATCGATAACCAAAACAGAAAAAAACTGTTATGTTGTTTTTGTTTGTCTCCAATTCTTACACTATGACTAAACAAAATTGTCACAGCATCACCCAAAATCACCACCTACTCTTATGACTAAAGAATATTTTTCTTGAAGTGCATACACAAGTAACCATCCAATTTAGCAAACCAAATAAAATGATTATAAAACCATTCGTATATTTTCATTTTAGATTCAAATAAGCATAGCTTTTAAAATGTCCAAGGATGTGATAATACCTCTTCCTTGTTCTGTTCATGGTGAGTTTTCGTTCTTGATATAACAATTTTATTTTGTTCAGCAGTCTCACGATACTTTTCACCCATCACAAGAAATGATTCTTCAAGAGCTTTTGCCTGCCTTTGGTGTTTCTCAGCTTTGTTTTTATACCACAATAGCTGCTGGTTGTCCTCACTCATCTGCTTCATTGGATTCACAACCATCTCTAGATGAGATTTCATTTCAAATCTCAGCTTGGATTTACCTTAGAAACCATGCAGACATTAAAGCATCAGACACTGTATACTTCTAACTCTAGCTGAAAGCATACAGGATTGTAAGCATACCATGTGAATGCTGGTTAAAGGCATCTAAATCTTTTTTTCCAGCCATGTAGCCATAGAGTTGGCGCTTCCCACCAGCATAAAACAGTACAGGATTTCTTAGCCAGGTTTCCCTGTCTCTACTCGTATCTGTAAAATGCTTGGCAAGACGCTCAGCCTCAAGGTAGCCTACAGCAGTTTCCTCAAAAATAAGCACGCTCATGCCTCGATGGCCTTGTGGCCCATACGAATGCCGGGCCCTGACAGCAGCATAATTGTGGAAGTAATCAACAAGCTCCTGGTTCCCCATTCCTGTCCACTGAGAAATTCCACAAAAAAATGATAAAAGAAAGCAAATGAAAAAAATCATCATGACAGATTTCTATAAGTAGTAACTAAATAAAATATAAATAAACAAGACCAAGTAATTGCAATACCTTGTCCTTATCATCTTTCTCAAGCCTAGTGTTCATGATTATGACCATCGGTGGCCACACTATCTCAAAATCCTTCTCACTAATTCCATTCCAATTTCCGTATGATTCTCCTGCTCTAGAAACAGAAGTGCCCCTTATGTTCAGCTCTTCCTGCAATAGTTCAGCAAATTCTTTGTGCAACTTTGCTCGCTTAGACCGTCGTGTTTTGGCATGTGTCATCAGTGGAAGCAAACCTTTAAACCATTCAATAGCACCTGGACCCCCTTTGCAAGCAGGACAATGCCATTGTCTTTCAGGGTCATTCAGCTCTTCGTTCACCAATTTATCAGTACTATCAAAAAACTTCTTGAACCAGGGATTCTGCTTGCGTGTCTCAAAACTCTTTTCGCTTTCGTCTGAGTCAAAACCATCACTTAGTAACTCGTCATCAGTGTCATCAAGCATATCGTCATCCTCATCATCTTCTACTTCTGTTACATTGTTAACCGCTTGATTGTCTGCTGAGGCTGGATGATTGTGGTTGTTTGGTATGTTTCCAGGGCCATCTTTAGGAGGTTGAGTGGGCGCCAATAGAGCAGACCAAGTCCTCCCATGCTGTAGGGGAGTTGAAGTATCAGGAGGAAACCTCCCATTGCCTCTTCCCACCAAAGGTCTTCTAGGATCTGTGTTGCTGACAGAACCCCTTCCTGCTCCGCCATTCCATGCTTTAGGTGCTGAAGGAGCAGCGGGATTTTGGGGAGCACAATAATTTGTACCACTACTTCCAGCTTTGTTCTTGGATTTCTTAGCATACATCTCCCAACCATCATCGCGCGGCACTAAACCAGATGTACCAGAACCAGAAGGGTTCTTACCCCCCTTAGTTGAACTCATCATTGAATGGTACCACTTCACAGCATAAAAATTAGTGCCAACAGGGATATAAAGTATGGTTAAATATGAGTTGGTGATAGTTTTTCTTGTTACCTTTAAGAAACATATTTCCATTCCATGAAAATAATGAAACACTAGCTATCAAGGGAATACACGATTAATAATTTAATACTACAGAAACAAATTTTTACATAAATATTTTTTTGGAAATGTTAATGTTGCCAGAACTATAAACAGGACGAGAATTTGCAACATATGCACCAAATTACAAATGATGTTACTTAGTATCTTCCAATATAAAACTAACATTAGCTGTCAAGTACACCATGTATACAAGTATCATATCCTACGTAGAAAATCATCTCAATAAACTACAAAAGATCATGTTTGATTTCGCAAAGTATGCTAGACAGAAAATTGTTTGGTTTGATCAGCCTCTCCAATGTGTTGTTCATCACTGGGAGAGTTTAATAACTCATGACTCTTCTTTGATTTAAACTTCAAAATATCCTCATTCCATATCATTGAGGATCAATATGGCTTTAAGCGTAAGAAGTTGATATTACATTTGCTTTATATTCTCTGAAAACAATTTGTTGCTGGTTTTACTTCCAGAAACTGATTTTAAGTAGTAATCAACTGCTTGGTTCTCCAGAATCAGCTAATTTTTAAACAACCAATTTTGGAAACAGATTCTGCCAAACAAAATCAAAGCCAAATGGCTCTTAACCCTATGTGGCACGTATATTGCAGAGCAATCAGCAATCATTGTTAAGATCTAGTACCATACTGTAAAATGTATATTCTGAACACGCAACCATGTAGATAATACTCACATTTACCATAACTCGTTGCACATAAAAGGAGAAAGTATGCTTCAAAACGTTCAAGTTCAAAAGGAGGCTATTACAAAAGAGGATTAATCGTAGGCAAATGAAGATGATGGAGAAAACAGTGTAGCATATTATGAACTTCCATCTGACGTTAAACTAAAAGAGTTTTACTCCTTAAACCCTTCCAGTTCAACAAATACCATGAGACCGTGGAAATGGACGAACAAATCGTGAGTAAAGTTTCATATCAGGTAAAATACAGACCAGCGTCTCAGAACGAGCAAATAGCAACCAAAAAAAGCAAAACTACTTGTACAGTTGTATGCATCGGATGAACTAGGCGAAGGTGACGAGGGTTTTAACGCTTACCAGGAAGATGAAAATGAGAGAATGCCGGAGATTAAAGGAAACGATCTCCGATCGCCGTTCGCCGGTGACGATAGCGACGGAGAAAGTGCGAGGAAAATCGACAAAGCAGAAGACGACGCGTAAGATGTGGTGGGGTTTTCTATAAAAACAAGTTTTGTGTGAGGAGTGACAGGTGGTCACTGTACAGAGCCTATAGAGCTTAGACTGTATTCTTGTACGGACCGCGGACTCCCAAAATTCATTCAATTCCGTGAGGTTATCCGGAGAGTTACGTCCGCCAATTAGCAGGCAGCCGTGGCCCGAGGATCTTGGGTTAGGTTCAATAAGTTCTGATTTGATCTGGTTTGATCTGATCTGATTAGATCTGATCTGATTGGATCTGATCTGATTAATTATGACTTAATTTAAAATTTCAAATCAATAATTTAATTTGACTTTATAATAACGTTTGAAAATTGTAATGATAATCCATATTATAATATAATTAATATTTTTTATTTAATGATTATTTTTTAATAAAATAAAAATAGTTAATTCATATATTAGAATAATCATTCATATTATAATGTAATAATATTTTTTATTTTATGATTATTTTTTTGTGAAATTAGAATTATACATTAGAATAAATATTTAATTTAGATATACATTAAAAAATAATTAAATTTAGATAATCAATATATAGAACTAATAGAAGAGATAGTATTTTTATTAAAATACCTCATTCTTATAAAAGATCAAAAGTTTAGAAACTCAAATAACAAGTTAAAATAAAAATACATTTTAAAAGTAGAATTAGATTGACATTGTCAATGTATTTTAAAAGTAATTTTTCCGACGTCTAATAATTAAGGATTACTTTCTTTGTTTTCTATTTAACCTATTTCTAAAGTTTATTCTTTTTCATTTTTAAGAACAATAATAATAATAATAATAATAATGATGATGATGATGATGATGATGATGATGATAATAATAATAATAATTCTTGATGGGATCTGATTTTAATAAGTCCATCTGATCTGATCAGATTGGATCTGATCTGATTGGATCTGATCTGATCTGATCTGATTGGATCTGATCTGATCTGATTGGATCTGATCTGATTCAATCTGATCTGATTTGATGTGAATCGATCTGATCTGGTCTGATCTGATCTGATTTGATTTTAATAAGAATAAGAAAAAATAAGAAAAAATAAGTTGAACGGAACGGGGACTTGACCAAAATACGGTGTAATTGAACGACCGGTGGCCTTAATTCCAGTGGCTATGTAACACCCTAATCCGTCCAGGTCTGCAGCCCCTTTCGGACTAAAGTATTAACTTGGTAATCGTAAAATTTAAAACATTTCAAACACTTTTATTTATCACAATAATATTTTTCATATCATAAACAGTACAGAGTTTTCAATATTGCGGAAGCTTAACAAATTATAACCACAAACATAATTTATTTATATTCTTTAATTCAAAACCATCACATCCATTCCGACTATCTCGCCTCCGTCTGCCTCCAGGATCACGTCACATTATTCTATTGACCTGCGTGTAGCAAATAAAACATACTACACGCTCAGCGGTAAAGCTGAGTAAGCATATCTAATGCGTTGAACATCCACATAAATTGAATCTCAATTCATAATCAACCATTTGATATCATGCACATAATGTTCAGTTCAGATACTCAATAATCAATATACAATTTTCAACATTGATTATTCAATTATTCAACATGTATATTCATCATTCATATTCAACATTTTTATTCAACATACATCATACAATATTCATCATTTGTCATTCAACAATATCCTTAAACTATTCTTAGTCTAAGGCCAATCTATTTGATGTTTACCAACTCTTAAACGAATTCTAGTCTAACATAGTTAAACTATATTCAAGTTCAAGGTACTCTTATCTAACCCTTAAGCTAAGCCTAGTTTAAGATATAAATTTTCAAAGAGAGGTTTTCAAAATCTTAAACTTACCTTCGATTAAGGTCATCCAAAAACCGAACAGCGGATCCGAAATGCTCACTGTCGGGTTGAGTGGTATCCCCAAACGAGTGCCTCAAGTTTGGTTTGTAGATCCCGTACGTACGTTTTAAACCAGGCCACCGAATACTCATGATTATACCCGCAAGGCCTATTTCTAAGCTATCTTAGAGGTCTTCTAGATAGTCTTAGAAACCAAAGTCAACCTAGATATATCTTAGAGTTCTTCTAGATATCCTTACAATCCAAATCATTTCATAATCATCAACATATTCATTTCAATTCATAATTTAATCCTTGATAATCATTTTAATCAGTGGTTTCCTCAAGCCATAATCATCATAATAATCATTCATCATAATCATCAATCAACATAACATTCGATAGCAAATAGCGGCCTAGCTTCGAGTGTTAACACCCGAACTTACCGTCATGCATCATATAACATTTTATTTGTCAAAAACATAATTTTTATTGTGGTAAATCATTTTTATAATGATCATAATCAATTGATATCAAAAACAGGATTTTAGAGCTCAAAAATAGCATTTTCAAACAAATTTTCGAATCAGAACTTCGGGGGATCGATCCAGCCCTCTGGATCGATCCATGATATGAAAAATTACACCCAGGTGATCGATCCACCCATTTGGATCGATCCAAACAGCCTGGTTTTTGGTTACTGTTCATCATCTTCTTCGTTCGGGTCCAATTTCGAAAATACCGTTTTTAGTTATCGAATTTCAACGAAACTATATAGAGATGTTCTCCAAGGTTCATAGATCATTTTGGCATCATTAATTCATAGTTTTAACATCAATTTAATGGTTTATGATTCTTGGTTCTTTAAGCATATCAAACACAAAACTCAACCAAACGACCGTTTATGAACGTAAAAACGATCTATACGAACATTCTAGTCACTAGATATATCAATGGGCTTACCTCGAAGCTTGATGGAGGTTTTGACGATATTCCGGCGAAACTTCCGGCAAGGTTTGTGGCTAGCTCCGGCGACTTCACACCAAATTGACAGCACCACTACACTCCTTACACTCTTAGGAACACTTAGGAAGAATTTTGAAGATGAATGGTGAAGAAATGAGAAGAATTGAGTTTCTTATATAGCAAGAGGAAGAGGAAGAAGACATGGGAAGCTGAGTTGCTGCTGCGTAGGATTCCCATTTCACGATTCATTCGGCGATAAAGAGATTCA